GAGCCGCCACCCAGCCCCTCACCGCCATCTCCTGCACCGCTCCCGCCTGGCGTGCCGCCTTCTTCGCCGGAGCCGCCACACAGCCCCTCGCCGACATCTCCTTCCCCGCTCCCGCCTGGCGTGCCGCCTTCTTCGCCGGAGCCGCCACCCAGCCCCTCGCTTCAAAGGTAGGTCCTGGCGTGTCAGGGATCATGTGCATGCATGTGGGGGCATTTAGCTGCATCGTACTAGGCATGTTGCATGTGCATTGAGCATTCATTGGAGGGCCTACCGGTGGCGGGCTCGCACCTGCTTTTCCTGCTGATCCTTTCTCCCCCCTCCCTTCCTTGCTCCTGCTTCCTCCCCCCGCAGTTCTGGGGGGCCGGCACACGGATCGGCGACGGCCTCCGACACAGGAGCGGGGAGCCAGCGGCGTGCGGAGCCAGCCGCCGCTGCCGTACCGCTGCTATTCGCCAGTACGGCCCCCACCCGCATCCATTTCGCCTAGCGACAAAGGTGAGTTTGTTTGCTACAACGTTTCACACGCGTGCCTGCCCTGTTCGTAGTTCTGCACCCACAACTATCTCGAATTATCTCAATTAGTTGGGAACCTATAGACGACGGTTACGTTTTGCCCAAGCAGCCGGCCTAGTTGGCATGCCGCATGCATCGCCTGGCCACCGGTGCATGTGGCATGTCTATTAGGCCGGCTGTGTGGTCACGGCATGTTGCTCTGAGGGCCCGTTGCATGGGGCTGGAGTGTCTCCGGCTAGCTCGCTGCCTGCTTCTAAACGTGCCTTGCCCTAGTGTTCCATCCGTTCACTCATCGCCACCAACCCATTCCCTTGCCCCCCCCCTCCTTGCCCCCCCCTTCGATCTCCGCATGAGCCTCCGATCCTGGCTCCTGCGCTTCGTCCAAGTATATCGTCGGCATCAGTCCCTGGCACCCAGCCCCTCACCGCCATCTCCTGCACCGCTCCCGCCTGGCGTGCCGCCTTCTTCGCCGGAGCCGCCACCCAGCCCCTCGCCGACATCTCCTTCCCCGCTCCCGCCTGGCGTGCCGCCTTCTTCGCCGGAGTCACACCCGGCCCCTGCCCGCCATCTCCTGCACCGCTCCCGCCTGGCGTGCCGCCTTCTTCGCCGGAGCCGCCACCCAGCCCCTCACCGACATCTCCTGCACCGCTCCCGCCTGGCGTGCCGCCTTCTTCGCCGGAGCCGCCACCCAGCTCCTCACCGCCATCTCCTGCACCGCTCCCGCCTGGCGTGCCGCCTTCTTCGCCGGAGTCACACCCGGCCCCTCACCGCCATCTCCTGCACCGCTCCCGCCTGGCGTGCCGCCTTCTTCGCCGGATCCGCCCAGCCCCTCGCCGCCATCTCCTTCCCCGCTCCGGCCTGGCGTGCCGCCTTCTTCGCCGGAGCCGCCACCCAGCCCCTCACCACCATCTCCTGCACCGCTCCCGCCTGGCGTGCCGCCTTCTTCGCCGGAGTCACACCCGGCCCCTGCCCGCCATCTCCTGCACCGCTCCCGCCTGGCGTGCCGCCTTCTTCGCCGGAGCCGCCACCCAGCCCCTCACCGACATCTCCTGCACCGCTCCCGCCTGGCGTGCCGCCTTCTTCGCCGGATCCGCCCAGCCCCTCGCCGCCATCTCCTTCCCCGCTCCGGCCTGGCGTGCCGCCTTCTTCGCCGGAGCCGCCACCCAGCCCCTCACCGCCATCTCCTGCACCGCTCCCGCCTGGCGTGCCGCCTTCTTCGCCGGAGCCGCCACACAGCCCCTCGCCGACATCTCCTTCCCCGCTCCCGCCTGGCGTGCCGCCTTCTTCGCCGGAGCCGCCACCCAGCCCCTCGCTTCAAAGGTAGGTCCTGGCGTGTCAGGGATCATGTGCATGCATGTGGGGGCATTTAGCTGCATCGTACTAGGCATGTTGCATGTGCATTGAGCATTCATTGGAGGGCCTACCGGTGGCGGGCTCGCACCTGCTTTTCCTGCTGATCCTTTCTCCCCCCTCCCTTCCTTGCTCCTGCTTCCTCCCCCCGCAGTTCTGGGGGGCCGGCACACGGATCGGCGACGGCCTCCGACACAGGAGCGGGGAGCCAGCGGCGTGCGGAGCCAGCCGCCGCTGCCGTACCGCTGCTATTCGCCAGTACGGCCCCCACCCGCATCCATTTCGCCTAGCGACAAAGGTGAGTTTGTTTGCTACAACGTTTCACACGCGTGCCTGCCCTGTTCGTAGTTCTGCACCCACAACTATCTCGAATTATCTCAATTAGTTGGGAACCTATAGACGACGGTTACGTTTTGCCCAAGCAGCCGGCCTAGTTGGCATGCCGCATGCATCGCCTGGCCACCGGTGCATGTGGCATGTCTATTAGGCCGGCTGTGTGGTCACGGCATGTTGCTCTGAGGGCCCGTTGCATGGGGCTGGAGTGTCTCCGGCTAGCTCGCTGCCTGCTTCTAAACGTGCCTTGCCCTAGTGTTCCATCCGTTCACTCATCGCCACCAACCCATTCCCTTTCCCCCCCCCTCCTTGCCCCCCCCTTCGATCTCCGCATGAGCCTCCGATCCTGGCTCCTGCGCTTCGTCCAAGTATATCGTCGGCATCAGTCCCTGGCACCCAGCCCCTCACCGCCATCTCCTGCACCGCTCCCGCCTGGCGTGCCGCCTTCTTCGCCGGAGTCACACCCGGCCCCTCGCCGCCATCTCCTTCCCCGCTCCCGCCTGGCGTGCCGCCTTCTTCGCCGGAGCCGCCACCCAGCCCCTCGCCGACATCTCCTTCCCCGCTCCCGCCTGGCGTGCCGCCTTCTTCGCCGGAGCCGCCACCCAGCCCCTCACCGACATCTCCTGCACCGCTCCCGCCTGGCGTGCCGCCTTCTTCGCCGGATCCGCCCAGCCCCTCGCCGCCATCTCCTTCCCCGCTCCGGCCTGGCGTGCCGCCTTCTTCGCCGGAGCCGCCACCCAGCCCCTCACCGCCATCTCCTGCACCGCTCCCGCCTGGCGTGCCGCCTTCTTCGCCGGAGCCGCCACACAGCCCCTCGCCGACATCTCCTTCCCCGCTCCCGCCTGGCGTGCCGCCTTCTTCGCCGGAGCCGCCACCCAGCCCCTCGCTTCAAAGGTAGGTCCTGGCGTGTCAGGGATCATGTGCATGCATGTGGGGGCATTTAGCTGCATCGTACTAGGCATGTTGCATGTGCATCGAGCATTCATTGGAGGGCCTACCGGTGGCGGGCTCGCACCTGCTTTTCCTGCTGATCCTTTCTCCCCCCTCCCTTCCTTGCTCCTGCTTCCTCCCCCCGCAGTTCTGGGGGGCCGGCACACGGATCGGCGACGGCCTCCGACACAGGAGCGGGGAGCCAGCGGCGTGCGGAGCCAGCCGCCGCTGCCGTACCGCTGCTATTCGCCAGTACGGCCCCCACCCGCATCCATTTCGCCTAGCGACAAAGGTGAGTTTGTTTGCTACAACGTTTCACACGCGTGCCTGCCCTGTTCGTAGTTCTGCACCCACAACTATCTCGAATTATCTCAATTAGTTGGGAACCTATAGACGACGGTTACGTTTTGCCCAAGCAGCCGGCCTAGTTGGCATGCCGCATGCATCGCCTGGCCACCGGTGCATGTGGCATGTCTATTAGGCCGGCTGTGTGGTCACGGCATGTTGCTCTGAGGGCCCGTTGCATGGGGCTGGAGTGTCTCCGGCTAGCTCGCTGCCTGCTTCTAAACGTGCCTTGCCCTAGTGTTCCATCCGTTCACTCATCGCCACCAACCCATTCCCTTGCCCCCCCCCCTCCTTGCCCCCCCCTTCGATCTCCGCATGAGCCTCCGATCCTGGCTCCTGCGCTTCGTCCAAGTATATCGTCGGCATCAGTCCCTTGCACCCAGCCCCTCACCGACATCTCCTGCACCGCTCCCGCCTGGCGTGCCGCCTTCTTCGCCGGAGTCACACCCGGCCCCTCGCCGCCATCTCCTTCCCCGCTCCCGCCTGGCGTGCCGCCTTCTTCGCCGGAGCCGCCACCCAGCCCCTCACCGCCATCTCCTGCACCGCTCCCGCCTGGCGTGCCGCCTTCTTCGCCGGAGCCGCCACCCAGCCCCTCACCGCCATCTCCTGCACCGCTCCCGCCTGGCGTGCCGCCTTCTTCGCCGGAGCCGCCACCCAGCCCCTCGCCGACATCTCCTTCCCCGCTCCCGCCTGGCGTGCCGCCTTCTTCGCCGGAGCCGCCACCCAGCCCCTCACCGCCATCTCCTGCACCGCTCCCGCCTGGCGTGCCGCCTTCTTCGCCGGAGCCGCCCAGCCCCTCGCCGACATCTCCTTCCCCGCTCCCGCCTGGCGTGCCGCCTTCTTCGCCGGAGCCGCCACCCAGCCCCTCGCTTCAAAGGTAGGTCCTGGCGTGTCAGGGATCATGTGCATGCATGTGGGGGCATTTAGCTGCATCGTACTAGGCATGTTGCATGTGCATTGAGCATTCATTGGAGGGCCTACCGGTGGCGGGCTCGCACCTGCTTTTCCTGCTGATCCTTTCTCCCCCCTCCCTTCCTTGCTCCTGCTTCCTCCCCCCGCAGTTCTGGGGGGCCGGCACACGGATCGGCGACGGCCTCCGACACAGGAGCGGGGAGCCAGCGGCGTGCGGAGCCAGCCGCCGCTGCCGTACCGCTGCTATTCGCCAGTACGGCCCCCACCCGCATCCATTTCGCCTAGCGACAAAGGTGAGTTTGTTTGCTACAACGTTTCACACGCGTGCCTGCCCTGTTCGTAGTTCTGCACCCACAACTATCTCGAATTATCTCAATTAGTTGGGAACCTATAGACGACGGTTACGTTTTGCCCAAGCAGCCGGCCTAGTTGGCATGCCGCATGCATCGCCTGGCCACCGGTGCATGTGGCATGTCTATTAGGCCGGCTGTGTGGTCACGGCATGTTGCTCTGAGGGCCCGTTGCATGGGGCTGGAGTGTCTCCGGCTAGCTCGCTGCCTGCTTCTAAACGTGCCTTGCCCTAGTGTTCCATCCGTTCACTCATCGCCACCAACCCATTCCCTTGCCCCCCCCCTCCTTGCCCCCCCCTTCGATCTCCGCATGAGCCTCCGATCCTGGCTCCTGCGCTTCGTCCAAGTATATCGTCGGCATCAGTCCCTGGCACCCAGCCCCTCACCGCCATCTCCTGCACCGCTCCCGCCTGGCGTGCCGCCTTCTTCGCCGGAGCCGCCACCCAGCCCCTCGCCGACATCTCCTTCCCCGCTCCCGCCTGGCGTGCCGCCTTCTTCGCCGGAGCCGCCACCCAGCCCCTCACCGACATCTCCTGCACCGCTCCCGCCTGGCGTGCCGCCTTCTTCGCCGGAGCCGCCACCCAGCCCCTCGCTTCAAAGGTAGGTCCTGGCGTGTCAGGGATCATGTGCATGCATGTGGGAACATTTAGCTGCATCGTACTAGGCATGTTGCATGTGCATTGAGCATTCATTGGAGGGCCTACCGGTGGCGGGCTCGCACCTGCTTTTCCTGCTGATCCTTTCTCTCCCCTCCCTTCCTTGCTCCTGCTTCCTCCCCCCGCAGTTCTGGGGGGCCGGCACACGGATCGGCGACGGCCTCCGACGCAGGAGCGGGGAGCCAGCGGCGTGCGGAGCCAGCCGCCGCTGCCGTACCGCTGCTATTCGCCAGTACGGCCCCCACCCGCATCCATTTCGCCTAGCGACAAAGGTGAGTTTGTTTGCTACAACGTGTCACACGCGTGCCTGCCCTGTTCGTAGTTCTGCACCCACAACTATCTCCAATTATCTCAATTAGTTGGGAACCTATAGACGACGGTTACGTTTTGCCCAAGCAGCCGGCCTAGTTGGCATGCCGCATGCATCGCCTGGCCACCGGTGCATGTGGCGTGTCTATTAGGCCGGCTGTGTGGTCACGGCATGTTGCTCTGAGGGCCCGTTGCATGGGGCTGGAGTGTCTCCGGCTAGCTCGCTGCCTGCTTCTAAACGTGCCTTGTCCTAGTGTTCCATCCGTTCTCTCATCGCCACCAACCCATTCCCTTGCCCCCCCCCCTCCTTGCCCCCCCCTCGATCTCCGCATGAGCCTCCGATCCTGGCTCCTGCGCTTCGTCCAAGTATATCGTCGGCATCAGTCCCTTGCACCCAGCCCCTCACCGCCATCTCCTGCACCGCTCCCCCCTGGCGTGCCGCCTTCTTCGCCGGAGTCACACCCGGCCCCTCACCGCCATCTCCTGCACCGCTCCCGCCTGGCGTGCCGCCTTCTTCGCCGGAGCCGCCACCCAGCCCCTCACCGCCATCTCCTGCACCGCTCCCGCCTGGCGTGCCGCCTTCTTCGCCGGAGTCACACCCGGCCCCTCACCGCCATCTCCTGCACCGCTCCCGCCTGGCGTGCCGCCTTCTTCGCCGGAGCCGCCACCCAGCCCCTCGCTTCAAAGGTAGGTCCTGGCGTGTCAGGGATCATGTGCATGCATGTGGGGGCATTTAGCTGCATCGTACTAGGCATGTTGCATGTGCATTGAGCATTCATTGGAGGGCCTACCGGTGGCGGGCTCGCACCTGCTTTTCCTGCTGATCCTTTCTCTCCCCTCCCTTCCTTGCTCCTGCTTCCTCCCCCCGCAGTTCTGGGGGGCCGGCACACGGATCGGCGACGGCCTCCGACGCAGGAGCGGGGAGCCAGCGGCGTGCGGAGCCAGCCGCCGCTGCCGTACCGCTGCTATTCGCCAGTACGGCCCCCACCCGCATCCATTTCGCCTAGCGACAAAGGTGAGTATGTTTGCTACAACGTGTCACACGCGTGCCTGCCCTGTTCGTAGTTCTGCACCCACAACTATCTCCAATTCTCTCAATTAGTTGGGAACCTATAGACGACGGTTACGTTTTGCCCAAGCAGCCGGCCTAGTTGGCATGCCGCATGCATCGCCTGGCCACCGGTGCATGTGGCATGTCTATTAGGCCGGCTGTGTGGTCACGGCATGTTGCTCTGAGGGCCCGTTGCATGGGGCTGGAGTGTCTCCGGCTAGCTCGCTGCCTGCTTCTAAACGTGCCTTGCCCTAGTATTCCATCCGTTCTCTCATCGCCACCAACCCATTCCCTTGCCCCCCCCCTCCTTGCCCCCCCCCCTCGATCTCCGCATGAGCCTCCGATCCTGGCTCCTGCGCTTCGTCCAAGTATATCGTCGGCATCAGTCCCTTGCACCCAGCCCCTCACCGACATCTCCTGCACCGCTCCCGCCTGGCGTGCCGCCTTCTTCGCCGGAGTCACACCCGGCCCCTCGCCGCCATCTCCTTCCCCGCTCCCGCCTGGCGTGCCGCCTTCTTCGCCGGAGCCGCCACCCAGCCCCTCACCGCCATCTCCTGCACCGCTCCCGCCTGGCGTGCCGCCTTCTTCGCCGGAGCCGCCACCCAGCCCCTCGCCGACATCTCCTTCCCCGCTCCCGCCTGGCGTGCCGCCTTCTTCGCCGGAGCCGCCACCCAGCCCCTCACCGCCATCTCCTGCACCGCTCCCGCCTGGCGTGCCGCCTTCTTCGCCGGAGTCACACCCGGCCCCTCGCCGCCATCTCCTTCCCCGCTCCCGCCTGGCGTGCCGCCTTCTTCGCCGGAGCCGCCACCCAGCCCCTCACCGCCATCTCCTGCACCGCTCCCGCCTGGCGTGCCGCCTTCTTCGCCGGAGCCGCCACCCAGCCCCTCACCGCCATCTCCTGCACCGCTCCCGCCAAAGGCACCGACACGGGTGCCAGCGCTAGTAACAGCAGCAGCGAGGGCAGCAGCAGCCCCAGCGGCGGCGATACGGAGGACGGCGATGATGACCAGGACGGCTTCTAGCCTCCATACAAGGGACCTTGGCTGAGATTTCCGTCTCACCCGCGACTCCGCCTCTGTCCTTGTCTGCAAGCAGGCATGGAGGACGAACCGACACCGACACCGCCGCCGTACCAGCAGCTGCGGGGGCTGCGTCCGCTGACTTGGTGGAAGGGCAGCCGTCGGCGTCGTCACGCCCGTCCCCTGCGCGGCTGCTGGCGAGCGGCTGTCAGGGCTGGCGGCAGCTGCTGCGGCGGCGCTGCGCAGTGCTGGCGGAGGAGCGGCGGCGGTGCCAGGGCTGCGGGGCGACCCGCGGGTCACTTCATGTGCACCCGCTGTTGGGAGTGCCGCTGTGCCGCCGCTGCCGTGCGAGCGACGCGTTCCGACTGGTGACCCGGGAGAACGCCATGCAGGTGAGGTAGGGGTGTGGCGCGGGTGTGGATATGGGGTTCATTTACGTGTATATGCTTTTAAGCGTATGGTTGGCATGGACATAAGGGATTTCGAAAAGGCCAGAGTCCAGTCAAGAGCAGTGTCGTGCTTGGAACTGCAGATAACTGGCTTTCCAATCCAGTTCTTCAGTAACAGGCGACTGGCTTTGCAATCTAGTTCTTCATCTTTGCGTTCCGTCTTGTTGCACGCTCCCACGCAGGAGTTTGGGTTGCGGGGAAGCGACTTCAGGGGCCTGCGGGAGGGGGCTGCAGAGGTACGGCTGCAGCGGCGGGCGGAACCGAGGGGAGGGGCAACAGCAGAGGTGGCGGCGGTGGTGGTGGTTGTGGAGGCGACAAGGGGCGTCGGGGCGGTGCATCATCGGGTCGGAGGGATTGGGGTGGTGGCAGCAGTGGCAAGGGTCGTCTTAGTGGTGGCGGGGGCGGAGGTGGACCCGTGGGTCACAAGAAGCGGCCCGACCGGCAGCACGAGTGGTATCTGCTGTCGGAGGTGCGCGGGCGCGCGGAGGAGTTGTTCGGTGCTGGGTTCGAGGAGCGGGCAGCGGGGCTGCTGGGAGGGGGGCCCGCGGGGTGGAGCTGATGGGGCCTGGCTGAGGAGGGGCGGCGCGATGAAGGCGTTACGATGGGCGGGGTGAAGCATGGTTGGATGAGATGGGATGGACCTCGGTTGTCGTCTGCTCCGTTGGCTTACATACAGACCGGTACATACAGCGGCAGGCCAACCTACACTTATTAGTGGTTGTTGGTGGTTGAAGGGAATAATTTATTGCTGGTATAACAGCTGCCTGGTCCTGCCTGGCCTTTTAGCGCCCCAGCCTCTACGGGGACCCCTGGACGTCTGAATGAGTGCCGCACACCGAAAGCCGCATGGGCTGACGGCACTTACCTAGCTGGTCTTTGTTCCGATGTCTCCTGCCTTGGGGTTGGAATGATTGCAACGGTTCTTCATCGAAGAAGCCTATACAACACTCCGTCGGTGCAATTGATGATCACTACCTATCAAATGTTGCTTGGGAATCTTCATATGTCTCGGGCTTGTCCCGAGCGCTGTGGCTGTGGGTCTGTTGTTTTGCGGATGTCTCAGCGGTTGCATTTTTTCTGGGCCTGTCCTGTTGAAGATGCTGTGGTTGAGCAGCTTGAGATCAAGTTGGGTGCTGTGGTTCCTCGGGCTGCTTTGTGGTTGGCTTTGCCTCCCTCGGGCGTGCAGCAGTGTGTTTGGGATGCTCTTGTCCTGGGTGCTTTGTCAGCTATGGTAGAGGGTCGGCGGTTTTTGCGGGCTTGCGTCAGTAAGGCACCCGCCATGAACTTGGGCGCATTGCGCGCAATGGAAATTACGCTGAAAATGGGATGGTTGCGCGCAGCGGTCCCGCGCAACACGCCCATGTTCCTGGCCTCACAAACCTCCTCGTTTCAAAACGCAGTATGCATTTATGAAAATAGCGCTGTATTATCTATTCGCAGAGTCCACCGGCGTCACAGAAGATGTAGGAAAAGGTTGCCGACCATGTATGGGTTGGTTGCGCGCAACGGTCCCGCGCGGCACGCCCATGTCCCTGGCTTACAAATTCGCCTCGTTTTACACCGCAGAGCGTATGTTTGGGCATAATATGGTGTCCTCTTTTTGTAGCGTATAATGGGACGTTGGGAAATGTAAGAAACGGTTACAAAGTACACATGGGCTGGTTGCGCGTAATGGTCCCGCGCAGCCAGCCCATTTGCCAGGCACTGCCTGGCTTTCATAAAATGAAGCCGCAGTTTGTAACTTTGATAACGGCACAATGACCTCCCGCAGCAAACCCCAAAGTCTCCCGGTAATTTGTCATAGTTTGCTGGGATCATACTTTAGCCCTTATAAAGGATTGTGCGTAAAGATGCCCAAGCTTGACCAATTGCGCAATCCCAGAAATATTGGGATACTACTCATGCAGCCATACCATTTGTGGTGGTTACCACTTATGATGGTATTCCATATATGGCCTCGCGAATTGCCAAACATAGCCTGGTGAACCAAGTATTGCACTGTCCACACTGAGCCTTTTTAGTGTACCGTTGTTATCCAACCTCTCGTGAAGGCAGGGAATGTATCGAAGGTCAATGTTTGGTGGTCGAATTCCTGGGACTATCTTTACAGCAGAGATGCTAGGTTATCATCATACTAAAACTTAGAAGATAATGTGCAGCTTGAATGGCTTAACCTGCATGCTTTATGGGCTACAAGGCGCGCGAGCGACGGCATCCATTGGAATGCCTTGCTTGAGCGCTGCCCGCCTGTTGACTCGCATTCACCTAGAACAAGCAGGATGTATAGGGGTCCGGTTGCCTGGTTTTGAGGTGTTAAGGATGATACTGGTAATGAGGGCCAGGGTCCCGCGGGTCCAAGACATGTGGGAAACCTACATGCATGCCCAACCACACTCGCACGGCGCAACTAAACGAGCCCCACGCTTGGCCACATGATACTATAGGTAAGGAGTCTATAGGTGTGACGGCGGGCTCAGGTACCGCTCGCACGGTCGGATACGTTCCCCAAATCCTGGAATTAATTAGGTCCCTGATCAAAGACAAGTTTACCGCCCCAACCATGCGTGCATGCCGCAACCACTTCAGAATTACGCCTGTTTACATGCTTTGTGAATTGCCTTATGCCGGAACGGGCCTATCCTGTGTATATCTTGAGGCTTATGCGGTTTCCCAACGTCGCGCGGTCCCGTGGGCCCGTAAGTTGCCCGTGGCAAGACTTCCCTTTTAAAGTCGCGCCTTCAAGCTATAGCTGACCGTTTGTTTAGTCCTGTCCTGGCGGTTAGCAATGTTCGCGAGAGAAGGTTCAGTTTGGTCAACTGACCGGCATGGCCTCCAGCAGTATGCACCTCCAGCGTTTTGTGTGGCTTTCTTATAATTATTTTGCAGTTTATTTTAGGTAGAACGGTGCATTTGTCGCAAAGGCGTTTAATTGAAGGGCAGCTCTGTCAACGACTTTCGCCATGCTCCCTGACTTCGGGAAAGGGCGACATTGTGACACTATATGAGGAACACAGTACTTAGATCAGCAGTTCGGGCCAGCGTAGCGATACCTGGGTGGCGGCTGCGCTTCGTCCGAGTATATCGTCGGACCCTAGTGCACATGCCCCACCTTAGTGCACATGCGCGCCTTGCTGCCCCCAACCCAGTCATCCGCAACCACACCCGCCGCACACCCCTACCCTACCCTACCCAGCACCCTAGTTCCCTCGTCTCCCTGCTCCCTGCTCCACATCATTCATGTGCCCTCACGAGCAGCAACCACCACCAGCACAGCCCTTGCAGCAGCCGCTATCCACCCCCTGCTGCTGCGTCGCTCTGGGGCTCCTCCGCTGGCAGCAGGGGCCCTTCACCAGCGCCCGCAGCCCCGGCATGCCGGTTCCCTCGATCAGCTCCAGGGAGGCGCCGCCGCCGGTGGAGATGTGCTTGATGTTGCCGGCCAGACCCGCAGCCGTCACGGCGGCCACAGAGTCGCCTCCTGGATGGTTGGAGGTGCATGTCAGTGCAGCATAGGGGGTGGGGGAGGTATTGGGCGTGGAGGAGGACGGAGGCGGGAGTGAAGAGGTAGGGGGCAGCGACGGTAAGCAGGGGTTGGGTGTCCTGGCCCCCGGTCGCCCTCGCCCTGCCCTGTCTCGCCCCATGCGGCTCTGCCAAAACCCACACCATCCGTTTGCCTGGTTGCAACCTCGGTTCTGCATCCGTACGGCTTTGCGGATTTCCCCACAGTATGTACATACCGGTAGCTTAGCCACCTCGCCCGCCCACTCCAGCGGTCCCGCGCAACACGCCCATGTTCCTGGCCTCACAAACCTCCTCGTTTCAAAACGCAGTATGCATTTATGAAAATAGCGCTGTATTATCTATTCGCAGAGTCCACCGGCGTCACAGAAGATGTAGGAAAAGGTTGCCGACCATGTATGGGTTGGTTGCGCGCAACGGTCCCGCGCGGCACGCCCATGTCCCTGGCTTACAAATTCGCCTCGTTTTACACCGCAGAGCGTATGTTTGGGCATAATATGGTGTCCTCTTTTTGTAGCGTATAATGGGACGTTGGGAAATGTAAGAAACGGTTACAAAGTACACATGGGCTGGTTGCGCGTAATGGTCCCGCGCAGCCAGCCCATTTGCCAGGCACTGCCTGGCTTTCATAAAATGAAGCCGCAGTTTGTAACTTTGATAACGGCACAATGACCTCCCGCAGCAAACCCCAAAGTCTCCCGGTAATTTGTCATAGTTTGCTGGGATCATACTTTAGCCCTTATAAAGGATTGTGCGTAAAGATGCCCAAGCTTGACCAATTGCGCAATCCCAGAAATATTGGGATACTACTCATGCAGCCATACCATTTGTGGTGGTTACCACTTATGATGGTATTCCATATATGGCCTCGCGAATTGCCAAACATAGCCTGGTGAACCAAGTATTGCACTGTCCACACTGAGCCTTTTTAGTGTACCGTTGTTATCCAACCTCTCGTGAAGGCAGGGAATGTATCGAAGGTCAATGTTTGGTGGTCGAATTCCTGGGACTATCTTTACAGCAGAGATGCTAGGTTATCATCATACTAAAACTTAGAAGATAATGTGCAGCTTGAATGGCTTAACCTGCATGCTTTATGGGCTACAAGGCGCGCGAGCGACGGCATCCATTGGAATGCCTTGCTTGAGCGCTGCCCGCCTGTTGACTCGCATTCACCTAGAACAAGCAGGATGTATAGGGGTCCGGTTGCCTGGTTTTGAGGTGTTAAGGATGATACTGGTAATGAGGGCCAGGGTCCCGCGGGTCCAAGACATGTGGGAAACCTACATGCATGCCCAACCACACTCGCACGGCGCAACTAAACGAGCCCCACGCTTGGCCACATGATACTATAGGTAAGGAGTCTATAGGTGTGACGGCGGGCTCAGGTACCGCTCGCACGGTCGGATACGTTCCCCAAATCCTGGAATTAATTAGGTCCCTGATCAAAGACAAGTTTACCGCCCCAACCATGCGTGCATGCCGCAACCACTTCAGAATTACGCCTGTTTACATGCTTTGTGAATTGCCTTATGCCGGAACGGGCCTATCCTGTGTATATCTTGAGGCTTATGCGGTTTCCCAACGTCGCGCGGTCCCGTGGGCCCGTAAGTTGCCCGTGGCAAGACTTCCCTTTTAAAGTCGCGCCTTCAAGCTATAGCTGACCGTTTGTTTAGTCCTGTCCTGGCGGTTAGCAATGTTCGCGAGAGAAGGTTCAGTTTGGTCAACTGACCGGCATGGCCTCCAGCAGTATGCACCTCCAGCGTTTTGTGTGGCTTTCTTATAATTATTTTGCAGTTTATTTTAGGTAGAACGGTGCATTTGTCGCAAAGGCGTTTAATTGAAGGGCAGCTCTGTCAACGACTTTCGCCATGCTCCCTGACTTCGGGAAAGGGCGACATTGTGACACTATATGAGGAACACAGTACTTAGATCAGCAGTTCGGGCCAGCGTAGCGATACCTGGGTGGCGGCTGCGCTTCGTCCGAGTATATCGTCGGACCCTAGTGCACATGCCCCACCTTAGTGCACATGCGCGCCTTGCTGCCCCCAACCCAGTCATCCGCAACCACACCCGCCGCACACCCCTACCCTACCCTACCCAGCACCCTAGTTCCCTCGTCTCCCTGCTCCCTGCTCCACATCATTCATGTGCCCTCACGAGCAGCAACCACCACCAGCACAGCCCTTGCAGCAGCCGCTATCCACCCCCTGCTGCTGCGTCGCTCTGGGGCTCCTCCGCTGGCAGCAGGGGCCCTTCACCAGCGCCCGCAGCCCCGGCATGCCGGTTCCCTCGATCAGCTCCAGGGAGGCGCCGCCGCCGGTGGAGATGTGCTTGATGTTGCCGGCCAGACCCGCAGCCGTCACGGCGGCCACAGAGTCGCCTCCTGGATGGTTGGAGGTGCATGTCAGTGCAGCATAGGGGGTGGGGGAGGTATTGGGCGTGGAGGAGGACGGAGGCGGGAGTGAAGAGGTAGGGGGCAGCGACGGTAAGCAGGGGTTGGGTGTCCTGGCCCCCGGTCGCCCTCGCCCTGCCCTGTCTCGCCCCATGCGGCTCTGCCAAAACCCACACCATCCGTTTGCCTGGTTGCAACCTCGGTTCTGCATCCGTACGGCTTTGCGGATTTCCCCACAGTATGTACATACCGGTAGCTTAGCCACCTCGCCCGCCCACTCCACCCGCCCAACCCGCCCATCGCTCACCTCCGATAATGGTGATGGCGCCCCGGCGCGACGCCTCGTCCATGGCTCGAGCCACCGCCAGCGTCCCCGCGCCGAACTCGGGGACCTCGAACTTGCCCATGGGGCCGTTCCAGAAGATGGTACGGCAGCCCAGCAGGGCCTCCCGGAAGGCCGCGGCCGTGTCGGGCCCTATGTCCACCCCGTAGCGACCTGCATGCGCACACAGCAGGAGGAGGGGGCAGTTTGTTGAAACACATAAGCAGTGGGGCACCGTCTCCCTCTCAGGCAACAACGCCAACTGCCTGCGGGGTGAGCCCAGCAACACCCGCCTACCCTTCCATGTGGCTAACAACACCCATGGGCAACACCTGCCCCACATGCAGCAACCAGGCTTCCCACCCGCCACACTCGCATTCCCAACCCTCACAACGCATGGAGCGTTGGAGGTGAATGACCGCGGGGTGCACCCAACCACCCAGCCACCCAGCCACCCACCCGCGGGGATGCAGGGGCTGTCCGCGGTGCAGCAGGTGGGGGTGAGCTGCTGCACGCCCCCCTCCGGCCCCGGCCCCGCCAAACTGGCGCTCCACAGCACATCGCTGGGCAGCAGCAGCCGGGTGCCGCGAGCGGCCGCCCGGGCCATCATGCGGCGGCAGGGCTGCGGACGGGAGGGGGGGGCGGGACGGGTGGAGGGTAGGGTGAGGGCGGGTAGGCGGGGTAGGAATGTATGCAGGGATGTACGGGGCACTGCACATGGGCTCTGGAAACGCCCATGGCCCAGTCCCCCATGCACCTCGCACACCACCCGACGCCTCCACCCCTCGTCTCCCCTCCCCCTGCCGTACGCACACACCGCCCACACCCACACCACCCACCTCCAGCCAGTTTTCCTCGATCTGCGTTGCCCCCACCGCCACTCCCCTCGCCGCCAGCAGCGTGAAGGCCATGCGGCCGCCCACCAGCACCACATCCGCCTGCTCGATCAGGGCGGCCAGCTGGGGGGGGAAGGGGGGGGGACAGGGAAGAAGAAGGAGTGGCAGGGGGAAAGGGCGGGAATAAGAGGGGGGTACCTGCGGGTGGCGAGAAGGGCTGCGGGGAGGTGACGTGGGTGGCCGAGGGAGCGCAATGCGAGAGCTGTGCCGGTTAAGGTATGCGGTGGTGAATAGCATGGTGTTGCGTAGCGGAGGGGGGTGGGCGGGCGAAGGAAGGAGGGAAAGAGCAAGTGGAGTGGCAGCAGGGGCAACCGAAATCGGGAGCTTCCAGGCACGGGTCCAGCGTGTAGCGAACCGTACAAGACACGTAAGAAACGTAGGGCCCAGGGGACTGTCTTCCACCCCATGCCTGCCTGCCTGCCTGCCAGTTGAAAGGGAACCCCTCCGACCACCGAGCGGCCCTTCCGGTCTCGCCCCCCTCGCCAGCACCCCACCCACCACGCCAATCTTATCCGCCACCTTGGCCCCGCCCAGCACCACGCCTAGTGGCCTGCGGGTAGGCGGGGGGAGGGAAGGGGGGGAGTTGGGAGGCAGCAAGCGCAAGAGCGCAACGTAGTGGCAGCGAGCAGGAGGGAGGTGTGCCGGCAAGACAGCACAAGCGTCACCGACCTTGTAAGGGGAATGGGAGTGGAGCACGCGTGTGCATGGTTGGGCAGGTGCGTTCCCCATCCCTTTCGGATGGCTTGGGCTCCATGCATTGGGAGCCCCCAAGACCCCGAATTACCTACAACTACTTTGTTTACCTCCTGCATACCTGTAAGCAATTGCTTACTCCCATCACTTCCACCCCCCCCCCCCCCTCGCCCCCCCCCACCTCTCTGGCTCGTACAGCCGGTCCGCCAGCTGGGATAGCTCCCGGCGAACCAGCGGGCCGGGGTAGCACTGGGGCACGAAGCGAGTGACACCCTGGGGGCAGCGGAGGAGGGGGGGAGATTGGCATGATGGCTCAGCAAACCAACCCGCGATCCCACCAAGCCCGACACATGGGGGGGCGGTGGGGAAACGGGCACCATGCAGGGAGGATGATAAGGAGGAGAAAGGGAGAAGGTTGCCGATGGAGGGACGCAGCGCGTAGCAAGGCTGCAGAAGAAGGGAGGGAATGGCAGCGAAGGTGCATGGCGGACGGGGAGGTCGAAGGCGGACGCGGGTAGCTGATGTGTCTTGGCAGCGGATGGTCCCCCTTGCTGGTTTTAGGACACAGGGCAGCAGCATGGGGCAGCTAGGTAGGGTGCTGCCTGCTCCACACCCTACCAGCCCCCAGCCACCTCTCCCCCCCACCGTGACGCTGCCCTGGTCTCGGTGCACCACTCCGAATGCGTCGTTCACAAACACGTCACACAGCGCCGCCAGCGAGGCGGAGAAGGCGGGGCAGTTGCTGCCGTCGCCCGAGTGGAAGCGCGTGTTCTCCAGCAGTAGGACCTGGCGGGGGGGACGGGGGCAGGGGATAGGGAAGGGATGACGGGAGGAGGACGGGAAGGGTGCTGGTGGCTGCTGACAGCCGCAGCAAGCGATGTCCCAGGCATGCAGCCGCATGCTCAGGTGCTACAGACTGGTGAGACAGTTTTAGAGGCAGGCAACGAGGGTCAGGCAAAATAGCTATGCGATAAATCTTAGGATCGTAGTATTGAGTACAGCCAATGAATAAGATGGTATGCCATGTAGGCTGTTCGGTCCCGCAATCTCAAGGCCCTACACTGACCAACGGCAGGCGCCGAAACCCCACCTGTCCGTCCTGGAGCGCGGCAACGGCAGACTCCGCCTCGACACCTATGCAGTCCTCGGCAAGGCCGCGGAACACACTTGTGCCAAGCTCCTGCTCCAGCCACCTTGACACGGGCGAGAGGCTGTACAAGGCTTGCATGTCCGAGCATGTTTGCTTTTTTGGCTCTGGACGGCCAAAGTGGCTTGCAAGTATAACACGTGCATTTTTGGAAAGTAGAAGCTTAATCGTAGGTAGCACAGCGTTGATTCGAGAGGCGTCTGTCACCCTGCCAGTCGCCTCGTCTATTGGAACATTAAAATCCACCCGCAAAAGGACACGTTTACCGGCAAACTCCTTGCTCGATATATCTAAGTTTGGTTGCAAGAGCGTTTCAACCACATCCTGCAGAGGGCACTCGCAAGCCATGTCTTCCAGTTCTTTGTTTGGGCGCAAAGGCTCAATGCAAGGGCCCACGTATAGTACCATGAGCAGTTGCGGAAATTGAGACCCCATACATCGTTCCGGCTTGAGATAGAATATGCTTTAGCTAGGTACCAACCGACATAAGGTAAGACGGTATCAACCCATCACCGTCAAGCACTACAGTTATAGTCCTATCCTGTTTATAATACCCTCTGTACTCGGCAAGCTTTGTCTGCAAGTTAAGCCGCTAGTCGTTGCACAGGATGCCTGCGAAAGTGCTCTTGAACGGTTGCGGGAGGATAGGTAGGTTGAAGAGAGGTGGTCATGTATGCAAGATTCATGCTACAATGCGAAATGCCTTGTGCGCACAGGTCGCCTTGCGTTCCGGTTAGCATGGGCGCAGCACGACGTTTTCCAGTTCGTTCATCTGAATGACATCACTGCCATTGATTCCGTGGCCTACCTTTTGAAGTACGATTCAGTTCACGGTGAGCACGGACTTTGTGGCATGGCCTCTACTCCATGATGCCCGGAGCTTTCCGTTTGCCTTGTTGCTTGGTGCACTGCCTGATCCTGGAAGGGGTTGGCGCTTGCTCACTTTCGCTGTCGTTGTCCCGGCAGGCACGTGGGGCCCAGAAGTTTCCGTGGATGGCAACTGCATCGTCGTCCGGGAGGGCGACCGAGAGGAGCGCATACCCTACACCAACTCCAACACCATTACAAACGTGGGGTGATATTGCATGTGAATCTGTACACAGGCATGCTGCATGGAATACACAATGACTTTAATACCCCACGGCGTCTCCGCAATCCTGAGTAAAAGCAAGGTAAAGGTACTGCATCCCCTTTCCTTCCCACGCGACGGACCCTCATCGGTAACCCCGGCCCTGTGCTAGGTAGCTAGTCACTGCTGTCGAGACCTAGCACTCTGCTGCGCCCTGCTGCCGCTAGCCTTGCGAACCCGCTCTAGCCTTTTCAATGCTACCCAAATAGCCTGCCTCAGCTTCCTTACCCACCCAGCAGCGCTCCCTGTCACCCAGGGTATTGTCTACTGTTAACCCAGGGTTACCCACCCCCCACCATCACCACCACCTTTGCATGCGCTGGTAGATCATTTGCAGTCCCGCCCGTCCGCCTTTACTCACGCACATTGCATGCCCTCCCGAAACCCACTCCTCGTTCTGCAGAGCAGACCCCTACACCTCTGGTTGTGCTGCCTGGCCAGCGTACATGGAAATTGTTTTGTGTTCTTGCTTCTCGATCAGTACGTACCGTACTACAATCTTCTGCAGATGCAGTACTAACTTCTTCACACTTACTCACACCACGCACAGATCTCGCTCGCGGAGGGCGTCTCTGTTGACATGGTGTTCGAGTGCACCGGCGTCTTCCTCACTCGCGCCAAATTGGCGCCCTACTTTGAGCAGATGGGGGCCAAAAAGGTGGTGGTTTCGGCGCCGGTGAAGGACACGCCCGCCGTACTGAACGTGGTCATGGGCTGCAACGAGGTACGGCGTGGGGCGCGTCATGCCCGACCGCAGACATGCGCAGCCGCTGCGGACGCGTCACTAGCTCCTTCTCCCCTCCCCTCCCGCATGCATGCAGTCCCTGTACGATCCCGCTGCCGACCACATCGTCACCGCCGCCTCCTGCACCACCAACTGCCTGGCGCCCGTGGTCAAGGTGGTTCACGAGAAGCTGGGCATTGCGCGCGGCTGCATCACCACCATCCACAACCTCACCAACACGCAGGTGAGGGGGGAAGGGCGGTGGGCATGGACATTGAATGGGAGAAGGGGTGGGAAAGGTGTACGGTACTAAGCAGCCGAAGTCACGATGGCGGCGTGGTCAGCGCGCCTGTGTGGGTGGTGGCTGGGCAGCAGCATGCACGGCAACTGCGGCTGCTGCTGCCGTGTCAGGGCGGGTGTCCCCTGTCCTGAGCTCACCTTGGGGGCAGCATGAGGGGGGGAGAGCTAACGCATGCTGCACACACGGGCATCCACATGCCTGGCTGCCCACTCATTCCCCCTACCGCATGGCCGGCCCCGACCTGTGTCATCCAGCCCAGCTCAGCCTCCTCCGCGCCCCCTGCCTCCCACCGCCCGCAGACCCTGGTGGATGCGCCCAACGCCAAGAAGGCGGATCTGCGCCGAGCCAGGTGGGGAGGCCCGGGTGTGTGCGGTTATGGGTGCAGTGCTGCTCCGAGATGGGGATGTCCTTTCTTACTCTTGCTTGCCTTGGGTCCGCATGTTTGGCCTGCCGTGCAGGTCGGGGCTGGTGAACCTGGCGCCCACCTCCACGGGCAGCGCCACCGCCATCGCACTCATCTTCCCGGAGCTCAAGGTAGGCGGAGGGGGGGTGGAACTGACGAGCTGTAGGTGGGAAACTGACGGGGGATACGGTTGCGGCAGAGAGAAAACCAACCCTGTTTTAAGGAAACCCACGATTTTGGGCAAGGCCGGTTGGGGCTCACAGTGTGACGGCCCCCTGGAGGGCTATAGCTGGGATGCCTGAGGGGGGTCAAATACCATACCAAACCATAGGAGATCACAGGTTAGGGCAGAGCAACCGGGGTAGGAGCCGGCAGGGTGCCACAAGACAAAGTATGATGCCTAGGGAGATGGAGTGGCTGATGGAGATGGGAGAGGTTGCACAGGGGTTGTAGGGCCGTTTGCTACGGGCCCGTACATACCCGACCTCTTCTCTTCTCCAGTTACAGTTACAGTTACACCCGTCTCTTCTCCACTGCCTCTGCCTGCTGCCGCCGCCTGCCGCCCCCAGGGCAAGCTGAACGGCCTGGCGGTGCGGGTGCCGCTGACCAACGCCTCCATCACCGACTGCGTGTTCGAGCTGCAGCGGCCCACAACGGAGGAGGAGGTCAACCGGCTGCTCAAGGTGCGGTAGGAGGGAGAGGGGGGGAGTGGGGAGTGGGGTGGGGGGTAAGGGCAAAAACGCATGGGGCCAACGAGTGGGGGAAAGGGAGCTCAAACCTGTTCGGTTGAGAGCAGGTAGGTGGCAGGGGGTGTCCCGCCACGAGTATGGTACCGGAGCCAGCTGCTGAGCGGGCAGGGGCGGAGCAGCTTCCTCTGTGTACGGGGCTTCCTCTGCGTGCGGCGAAACACAGGTCCCACACCGGCGGGGCAGAGCTGCACCCGGGCAGGGAGCTTGGCGGGTCAGGCTGGGAGAAGGCAGAACACCCGGCGCCGAGGAGCAGGGTGCAGGGTGCCGTACACTCATCACCGGGCCGCCTTCAAACTGCTGACGCGACTTTTAAGATGATAGAATCGGCGTACAGCCCCAGCCGCGAAGCAGCTTCTCGGAGTAGCAGCTTCTGTTTGGGTAACGACAGCCTGCCCGCACCCCCTGCCGCTCTGACTGCACCGCAGGAGGCGAGCGAGACGTACCTGAAGGGCATCCTGGGCTTTGACGAGGTGCCCAAGGTGGGGCCGGGGGGGTGGTGGGGAGATGGGGAGGGGCCGGGAACAAACGCCCGACAGGCAACAGGCAGTGCGAAATCGTCGGGGCGGGATGTGGGAGGGCCCTTCGGGTTCAGGGCAGCAGGGTTGGATGCTGGGTTGCGCAATCGGAACTGAGGTTTGGTGTTAGTTGTTGTTTGCTGAGAGCGGCAAGACACTCATTCCTGCCAGCGCATTGCCTTGTGTCCTGCAGCCATGTTCGCTCTTCCCCTTATCACCCCCCAGAAGCACCCCTGCCTCAACCGCGACCCCCAACCTCCTGCCACCCTCCTGCCACCCCCCAGGTCAGCACCGACTACGTGAACGACTCGCGCAGCTCCATCGTGGACGCGGCTTGCACCCAGGTGGGTAGCGGTGTGAGAGGTAGTCGGCCCCCACGTCAGCCTGGACGACGTGGCTCCAGAACTGTCCCATGGGTCCGAGGCGACTTCCCACTGGGACGGTTGCATTGCGTTTCCCATCATCATGCGCGGCCCGGTTGGCGCCGGGCTGCTTCTTCTGCGTGGCACTGTGCGTGGCGTGATCCGTTGCCACGATACCGTGCTTACATAGTTTCGCAGGACCGCCGTGCTTTAGCGTATTTTCACCTCCTCAGCCACACACCGCCACCAACCCCCGTCGGTCTTCTATTTCTAGGATACATCCCGTCTACACAGTATCCCCCACCCATCACCGCCCCCTGCATCAGGTCATTGACGGCACCATGGTCAAGATCTACGCCTGGTACGACAACGAGTGGGGCTACAGCTGCCGCATGGTGGACCTGGCCAAGTACGTGGCGGAACGGATGTGAGGCTGCGGAGCTGGGGCGGGGTAAGGAGAGGAGCCGCTAACAAAACCACTACTGTTCCAATCAAAGGGGTTGCTACAGATGTGCACGTTGGCCATGAAACCCAGAGGTGGTGCACCCTGGTGTGCTGCAGACCACACTCGAGCGGGTCGCCTGTCTTACTTATTCAATATGGTTGTGCAGTGGTGATGGCTGATGATAGGCAGTAGCAGCTGCTGGTAAGGCGGAGTGTGCGTGTATCTGTCCGGCTGCATGGCGGGACATAACGGGTGAGCGGTTGTGGGGCCCACATCGCCGTAATGCTGGTGATTGGGGCAAGCGATGAGGGCAGCTGCAACAGGGTAGCCGACATCGTGCCGGTACCTGCAGCAGCGCGATTTCAAGACGAGAACCATTAAAGGAATGTGTCGGCCTTTTCGGGGCCGGCTCCAGCGCCCACCACACTTCCCACTCGTGTTGAGCAGCAGGGCACTTGCTTTGGGCTGGGGGCCGCCGCCTCGCAGCCGCCCATGCATGCATGCACCGACTCCGTCCGTTGGATGCGCAGGTAGATAGGGAAGCAAGACCCGCCCCCTGGCCATCCATCCATCCATCCTGCGTCCACCCATGCATGCGCTGATCCAGCTCCTGGATCGGCCTCCTAGATAGCCAGGCATCCGCGCACGCACAGCAAGCCACCAGGCCCCGCCAGCCGGGCATGTGCGCATGCGAAGAGCAGTAGGACATGCCGAGGGGTGCAGGGACGGCTTCCAGGCCTAACTCGGCCTCCCGCCAACCCAGTGACGCGGCCAAACACGCAAAACGTCGGTTTGTGGGGGCTGCAAAACGGATCGTCACCAGGGGTTCGCACGTGGTCCCCCACCGTACTACTGATCTGACCCAAAGGTGCTTACGTGCCCAGTGCTGATGGGATGGGCGGTTTTCCATGCATGCTAAAAGACTTAACCTTGGAGCACATGTACCCAAGAGGCCGAGGGCCTTGCCTCCCAACACGCGTTTCCGTGCGAGCAGGCATGATTCATACGTAGATAGGCGACCGCCTAAGCGGGGCATATAAAGGGTCCTCGGCTGCCATCGGCTTCGCAGCCAAACGTCTTCTGTGATTTAGTTGAAGCGTACGAGGGCGCTTCCAAGCTAGAAACTTTGTAATCAGTGCTGGTACGTCAATCCTGCAATTAAGTGACCCATGGGACCTTTGGATTAAACCTTATAGGAGCTGGTCTTACCAAATACTAGTAAGGCCCGCCTTCGGCGGGAGCTGCCCGTAGCTCGCGGGAGGGAGGTGATGTCGAGGAGATACGGTTGCACGCATGCATGGCGTGAGGATGCAGAAGGATGCTTAAAGCACAAAAGGAATGGCAGCGATTGTCGCCAAGGCTGCTGGACGGGTAGGAAGCACAAACGGCTTGCGGAAGCCAAAGAAAAACGCAGGCATATACCGGTAGGTGGTGGAGTGCAGAGGGGCGACGCACAGGGAAGGGCTTGGGAAGAATACTTGTCCTCTAGAAAGCAACGGATCCGCATACACACTAAAGGTGAAGACCTGTCCAATGCTTAACGACGGGATGTGGCGTACATGCACGCAACACGCTCGGGCTCCGCTACTCCTGAAGCCCAAGCAAGTAAAGCAACTGTGACAGCATCTTATTTGGCAACAAAGCCTGCAAAAATTCATGGCTACAAACATCTATGTATGCTGCAAAGCCGAGTGATGGCCATACATGCCGTGCCAGTCACCGGCACCCACATGCGCATGCATACCCTCCCGGGCCTCCCCCTCCAGCTCTCTGTGCTCAAGCGTGCAGACATCCTCTCGTCCTGCCACGAAGGCACGAACCAGGTCCCATGAGCGCGAGCATCACTGCCCTTCTCAGCCACCTGCGCCCAACCATGCATGAACGCCGACGCCTGAATGCATGCCCACCCGGCCCATGCGATACATGCATACATACCCGCCATGCCCAAGTACCGGCGCCCATGCTTGTACGCACACCAACCATGCCCAACTACCGCGCTGGTGAACGCATGCATTCCATGTACCAACACCAATGCGCGCACGCAGACACCCCCTGTGCAAGTCAACTACCCGAAGCCCATGCTCATAAACTAGCGCGTATGCGGGCAGGAGTGAGGGGGCTTGGAGGCAGAAACTTTACGAGGAAGGGTAGGGAGGTCGCACTCGCGGCGCCACACGGGGAAGAGCAGTGAGAGGCAGGTGCTGCCCGGGGAAGGGCGGCCGCACAGAGAAGATGGCAAAGAGGCGCAGTTAATGCAAGGGAAGGGCAAGGGCAGGCAGACGCCTGGCATGAAAGGACAGGGGTAAGCAGCCGCCATTAAACCACCATTGTAGCGGCAGGCTCATCCGTTCAGTTAATTCGAGGGAGAGACAGGGCCGCACGAAGAAGGGCAGACGCACAGGGAAGGGCATTGGAAGGCAAGCAAAGCACGGGGCGACGCAGGTGAGCTGCAGGGGCGCCGCACGGGTTAGGGCAGAGGGAGGCATCCGTTCACGCACTGTCCAACTACCGGCGCCTGCATGTGCAGGCATACTCGCGCTGCTGGACGGCGCCCACAAGTCCCGCCCAAAGGCCGGCGCGCCCATGCAGTCCCCGCACTGGCCAACAGCAAAGCATGCATGCGAGCAGGCATGACCTCCGGATCTGCAGCGGATGCCCGAGGCCCCATCCCGCCGCAAGCGCAAGATAAAGCTATTGCCACCGCTGCTGCATCGGCCAACGCCCCGTCCTCAAAGCCCGGATGTGCGAAGCCTAGCGACACAACAGGCCACAGAAGCACAGGACAGATCCCCATGCGTACCGTTTGGTCTGTGTCCTCCACTGCAGTCTCCAGGGCCCGTTCGTACCACCATAACCACCCGCCCTGTAAACTGGCACCGATACATGTATGCATACTCACCATGCCCGACTACCGGCTGCCATGCGGGTACGCACACCCATTGTGCCCGTTTACCGCGGTGATGTACGCATGCATCCCTGCCCTGCCCGAGTACCGACACCAATGCGTGCGTGCATAAAACCCCGCCCTACTCAGTTACACTCGGCCATGCGACCAGCGGCCACGCCCTGCCCCAAAGCTGACCCATGTGCATTTTCTTCGTAAGGGCCAGGGGCCTGGTAAGGGCCAGGGGCCTGGTAAGGGCCAGGGGCCTGGTAAGGGCCAGGGGCTCGCGGGTAAGGACAGCCGAGGGCATTCTGGGGCAGGCACTGCACATGGAAGGTCCCCGAGGCCCACACGGGCCGCATGAGGCCCGCAAATTTGCTGCACGGGAATCACGCACACAGGGAAGGGCAGCTGTGTGGTTTATGGCATCGGGAGGCAGCCGCCGCCGGGGAAGGGCAGGGGACACAAGCGCGCGCCGCGCGGGTAAGGACAGTCGCATGGGCAGGGCATGGGGAGACAGGTAGGTACAGCGTGGGGAAGGGGATCCTGCACTGGGAAAAACTTACGCCGCGATACAGCCGTCTCCACCTCCCCTGCTTCCAGCCCCTACTCGACAAGCCTCCTCCACCTATCCTCGAAGTCAACGCTCCTCATCATGTAGCTGCCTTCTCACCGCACGGCTTCCTAGTTCAATCCGCTAAGCAACATTGTGCAGAACACGCGTATGTGCTGACCTGCTGAGGCATGCACCATCACAATACCAAAATGATGGCTCCCCGTGTGTGCAGCCATCGCCTTCTTGCGAAAATGCCGCTCATGCATGTAGGTATCCCGCCCTGCTTGTCACCGGCACCCACATGCACATGCATCGCCGCCCCTCCCGGCCATCAGCGCTCCTGCGTACAGGCATCCTCTCGTCCTGCCAGAAACCGGCACCCATGCGTGCAAGCATCACCATCCTTCCCAAGGACTTGCACCCAGGCATCTCCGTCCGCACCCACCCGCGCATCAAGCCCATCAACTGGCACCACTGTAAACATGCATACCCACCATGCCCCCCTCCTGCTCATAAACATGCACATATCCGTGCAGGAATGAGGGAACCTGGAGACAAATTTCACGGGGAAGGACAGAGAGGCCCGCTGGAGGCCGCAAGGGCGCCGCACGGAGAAGGGCATAAGGAGGCAGGGCCGCGCGGGTAAGTACAGCCGCATGGGGAGGGCATGGGATGGCAGACACTGCACATGGAATGGCAGCACGGTAGGCCGCAAGAAGCCTGCAAGTGCGCTGCACGGGAAAGCACACGGGGAGGCCGGCGCAGCTGCAATGGTTCGGGCAATGGAAGGCAGCCGCCGTTGGGGAAGGGTTGGGGCAGGCAAGCGTTTTCTGCGCGAGTAAGGAAAGCCGCATGAGGAGGGCATGGGGAGCAGGGGAGACAGGTAGCTACAGCGCGGGGAAGGGCAGCGAGGCCCCACGGAAGGCCGCAAGAGGCCCACAGAACGCAAGAATGGGACAGACTTGGGGAGGCTGGCGCCGCACGTTGAAGGGCATCAGAGGTAGGCCAAGCACGGGAAGGGCATGGAGAGGCAGGCATCGCACGCTGAAGAAAATATGAGGCAGGCAGGCAAGAGCCATTTCATTCACCATTCAAGGAACAGGCAACAACGGAGGCACGCGCCGCGCGGGAAAGGGCATGGGAAGGTTATTACTTGGCGTTGAAAAGCGACGGATCTACGCCTACTTAAGAAGGTAAAGACCCGGTAAATGGCTTAAGGACGGCACGTGCGTACGCACCATGCTACGTTTCCTGAAGTCCAAGCAAAGACGGCTGCTCTCATGGCAGGTAAGCGAGAAGCAGACGTGCGTGGAGACTGGGGGGTAGCAAGCGCGACATATACGTATGAATATGAAACACAACGTGCGACATCCGTAATCCTGCCTTTACTACAAACCCATTTACGTGGCTGAGCCTAAGGATGCCGATGTGCAGACAAACCAATGATGATTGAACCGCCGAAGCGACATACCTTGCACCGCGAGCCCAAAAGCTGCTGGCCTGCACGATACATAAGTGGCACTCTGCTTTTTCGAGTATAGCGAGGTTAGCGACGCTAGCAGTTCCTTTCCTTTTTTACCTACAAAAAACAGGAGCCACTATGCGCTGCACAACTAGAAGCCTGTGAAGCGGTGACCGGCAGCAGCGCTTTGGAAGCTATACTGACCCGTGGGTCTATGGACGGGACGAGCGCCAAGATCTGCCCCCCATAATTCACCGCTTAAGCAATAGCCTTGTATGTCTTAAATTAGAGGACGCTTTAAACAGCGTGATCTAGGAAGCGCGACGATGCCGTTAAAAGTTCGTTAGGTGAGCGTGACAGCAATGGCTGGCTACGCTGAGCGGTGCAACATGAACGCCGAGCCGTGAACAAGCCGGCTGAAAGGATCCCGTTGAGCGTCAGCGGAACCGGGTATGCTTCCCTTCGCTTCGCTCCTCCGAAACCGCATACTGCGTATACGTTTTCTTCGTTTCGAGCTACGGGGATAAGGTCGTTTCTTGCGTGCATCACATATAGCCTGCTAGCAACATCTTGGTTACAGCAACATTTTTTTAACAACAACAAAGTTACCAAAGTTAACAAACGATGGCCAACGCACCGATGGAACCGGCCGCTCTAGCAGAGCTCACAGCTGCCAAGCAGCTGGGGCCGGATCAAGCGGCAGTCAAGGAGTGCGTGAAGACTTACTACGCAGAGGTAAGTAGGAGTAAGTAAGTTTCGCTCGCGGAGCACGGACTGACGTACCTGACACAAGGCCTAGCTCAACGTGCTGCGCTGCGCCCCGCCACTTCAGACCCTCCGCTCCACCGGCGACCTCCGCACCTCAGCCTGCACAGCCTGCAGGCCCCCGCCGCCTGCCGTACGCGCAGCTCTGTCTGCCGTACCCGCGGAGGTGAAGGACAAGTTCTACGGCTGCGGCAACCCCATCCCCGCCGGCATCGAAGGGCTGCGCGTGCTAGACCTGGGCTGCGGGTCGGGTCGGGACTGCTATGTGGCGGCTAAGCTGGTCGGGGAGAAGGGCAGCGTCATTGGTGGGTGAAATGGGGGCAGCAGGGTGGATTGGGGTGGGGCAGGGGGCGGCAAATGGGTGGAAGGGTAGGGTGTACATACGGGGCAAGAGTTGGCCTTTAGTAGCCCGAAGTAGCTGGCGGCTGCCCCCTTGTGGTTCCACACCCCATCCAAGTCCGGTGCGTGCGCTAACCCATCGCAGCCTCTACCCTCCCCCGCGCTGGCACCGCACGTTTTGCACCTTCTGCATATCTAGATCATTATACCCATACTGCGCTTGCACTAAATTAAGCATGCTCGTCCCATGCCGTACTTCGCATCGCCGCCTTTCGCATAAATACTAACTCTCGGCATAGTCCCGTCTCTTTCATCACGATAAGTCAGCCATCTTCATCGTCATACAGCATGCGTCGATATACAGCGCAGCTCGCAGCACCAGCACAGCACAGGGACGCATGCCTGCCTTCTGTTCGCTCGTCGCGCCGCCTTCTTGTGTCTCTGGACGCTTTTCGCTCACTATTAACGAAATTTGGTACGTCTTCGTTGCACAAATTTCCCTTGCTACGCAGGTCAGTCGGGTTCGGTCGTGGGTGGGCTGGGCTAAAGTTCGATCCAGGGGTCACTTGCGCGGGCGGGCGGGTGGGATGTTTAGGTGCACACAGCCGCATACCAGCCACAGCTTACAGCGCGGTTGCGCACAGCAATGCAGTGGAGCTCAGACGCCAGTTTATAGCTCGTCAGGGATTCGTCCATAGATATGATGTCAGCACAGCCGCCAGCTTATGGAGCTTTATCACGGTTTGTACTTTGTGTGCTGCTACTAACCCAACGATATGACTATGCGCAATCCTAAATTCCAGCTTAATGCGGAATCTTCCAACCAAATTAATCCCCCGCGTCCCCTTCCAAGCTTGCCCTTACTGGTAACCCATCTCCACGCCCCTCCCCTTCCTCTCCTCCCTCCCTACCTCACCTCATCCCAAGGTATCGACATGACCGAAGCCCTACTGCAGGTGGCTGCCGCACACGCTGACCGCTACTGCCGGTGCGCGCTGCGCTACCCCGGCTGCAACATGCGGTTCGTGCGGGGCGAGATCGAGTACCTGGATCGGGCGGGCATCGAGGACGGCTCCGTGGACCTGGTCATCTCGAATTGCGTGGTGAGGGGCGGGGCGGGGAGGTCGGGGAAGCTGCGCGCAGGGAGGCTGGCGTAGATAGGTACGGGGAGCCGTGCATCCACCCCCTACCTACGAACAACATGTCCTATCCCAAGTCTTGGACATACTCCCCACTCATCAACCCGCCGCTAGTTACCACTCTTCCCCTCCCCCCATTCCCCTTTAAACCCTCCATCCCCCGTCCAGTTAGTTTGCTTCCTGTTACGTCCCCCGGTCCCTTCCCACCCGGCCCAGATAAACCTCTCCCCGGACAAGGCCCGCACGCTGTCAGAGGCCTACCGGGTGCTCCGGGCGGGCGGCGAGATGCACTTCTCCGACCTCTACTGCGACCGGCGGCTGCCCGCTGCCGTGCGCGCACACCCGGAGCTGCTGGGGGAGGGGCTGGCGGGGGCGCTGTACGGCAATGACTTCATTAGGCTGTGCCGGAAGGTACGGCACGGGCTTGGGTTAGGGGGATAGGGAGATGCATGCTGGGGGGGGATTCTGGGGGTGGAGGAGTGGGGTGGGGTTGGGAGTGGGGTTGGGGTTGGGGTTGGGAGTGGGAGTGGAGCAGCAGGAGGAGGAAGGACGCAGTATGGGAGTTGGGGTTGCGGAGGTAGGGGCGTGGTGGCGGTGGCAGTAAGCGGCTGGTAGTGGGACCGTAAGAGGTGTTCGTGGAGGGGTCGGAGGGCTGTTCACATGCATGGAGGTGGGGGCCCTCCTCCCTTGCCCGCTCGCCCCGCTCCGGTTGCCCCCGCAGACCCACCCTCTGGGGCATCCCCTCCTCTTCCACCTCCTCCTCCTCCTGCTGTTGCCCCCCCTACCGAAAGTGGGCATTTTCCTGCGGTTAGTTCGTTGCTGCCTGCTTTCCTCCTGCTCCGCCCTCAGGTGGGCTTCACCGACCCGCGGCAGCTGGAGTGCGAGGAGGTGCGCATCATCGACCCAAAGCTGAAGGTGGGCTGGGGAGGAGGGGGTAGTTTGTGCCTGGGGAGGGAGGGGGAAGGGAGGGAGAAAGGGAGAGGAGGGTGGGAAAGGGGCTTTCCAAGTGGTATGTGGACGGGCTTGGTGGGCGAGCGGTGTTGCGGGCCGCTGGGGTGATGGGCTGTTGCCGGGTGCTGCTCGCCGCCCTACTGGCGGCAGCACACCCTCCCCATACCCCCTTTCCATCGGCCGCCTCACATCCCTCCTCCCCGCCCCCTACCGTTTCTGCTGGCTTGTCTATTGTCTTTGTCTTGTCTTTGATTCCCCTCCCCTCCCCTCTTTGAATCCTCCGCTGCTGCAGGAGCTGGTGGGCGAGGCTCGCTTCTTCAGCATCACCTACCGCATGTTCAAGGTGCCCGGGCGGATGGAGGACCTGTGTGAGGACTACGGACAGGTGTGTGTGTATGGGGGGGCGGGGGGAGGGGAAGAGCTGAACGGCCTGGGCGGGTTTGCAGCAACCGCCCCTGCTGATAAGAAAGCAGCACATATCCTTCACGCATGTCCCCTCCTTGTTGTCTGTGTTCCGCCGTACAGTCTCCCGCTTCCGCTCCCTCCCATCTGCTTCTGCCGCCGCGGCGCTTCACCTGACTCACTCACAGGTTGCGGTGTACAAGGGCACCATACCCGGCTGCCCGCACGCATACGACCTGGACGACCACCACAGGTAGGTGGGGCGCCAGGCGGGGGGAGGGCGGCAGCAGCGGCGGGGAGGGCGGGGGAGAGCTGGGCTTGGGGTGGCTCCGGCAGACGGTGGTTGGGACGCTATGCTGCTTGCTTGCATCTGCCGACGTCGATGCCGTGAGGGGTCCATGTTACCCATGATGAAATGAGTACGGTAGTCCCGCACCTGTTCTGTTTTGCTGTCTGCTCACGTGTGCTCACCCGCCGGCGGGATGGCCGCGGGTATGAGTCACCCGCCGGCCGCCACCCCCCACCCACCTCCACCCCCCAGGTTCGTGACCCGCAAGCCCATGCTGGTGTGTGGCAACACCGCCTCCATGGTGGGGGAGACCTGGCTGGCGCCGCACTTCACCGTCACCGGGGACCGCGCAATGCACTTTGGGCAGTTTGACTGCTGCGGCGGGAACGGACCCAAGCCAGCCGCCGCTATCGGGAGCCCCGCTGCGAGTGGTCGGGGTACAGGGGGAGGGGCGTGTGCGGGGGCCGCATGCTGCGTGTAGGGGGCTAGAGACGTAGGCAATTAAAAGGGGAAGGAGTGACGGTGTTGGCAAGAGGCGGTGCGAGGAGGACGATTACGGGAATTAAAGAGGGGCCTGGGTGTCGTGTCCTTTTCAGAGCGCATGGGTCCGGCGCTGCTTGCGTCTTTTGAACATTGCTAACTCGTTGCTGAGCTAGAGCGGGGGCAGATTATTGTTTCTGGGTATGGGCAAGTCAGTCCGTTGATAAGCCGCTAGCACACGGATACTGATGAAGCTTGAACATGTGGAGGCACACGATTGTATGCCATCCTTGTATGTAGTTCCGGCGGATAGATGCGCTGTGATGCAGCGAAAAGGGGCTGGTGTGTGCAACTGCGACGTGTATGTCCGCCACAGCACGAGCACACCATTGCGTCGCAGGCTGCGTAACGTGCAAGTCGCCCGCCTTTGATGTGACCTAACAGACCAGGCGGCAGCAGCGGCAGCAGCTGCTGCTGTGACGGTGCGTTCTCAAGACGGAATGTCTGTGCCTTCTAAACTTTGCGACCTCCTCTGGGTCGCTCAAGACTGCTCAAGAGTCAAGACCAGCTGGGTTGGGCATGACCTGGCACATGGTAACTAACGCCGCTGGCATCCTCACGAGTCCCCACAGCGGGGGATCATCCTAACATCCATCCATTTATCCATTCATTCATACATCCACCGTAACACCAAACACGTCGGCAACATGCAACCTGTCTCTGTGACACCACGCCGACACGACAGCCATTATTGTAACGATGCAATACCCTTAACACCACCATCACCCATTGTAACGGTCATTCATTCATTCATTCATCACCCGCGCACCTTCCATCGTAGCACCTTGGACTTATTAGCTACCACAGCAGCAGCAGCAGCAGCCGGCAATCGTTTCCACCTGCGACTCACATACACCCTGCGGCAGTTCTGTGGGGACTTCATCTTCCGACATCCCAGTACGTTCCTACTCGCGGCCAGTTTTCTTAACACACCCAGCTACTCGCCTCCTTCGCCGCCTCCACGTAGTCCGTAGGGCACGGAGATACGGAAACCAAAGTAGTACTACGTTTCACGAAACGCACGCAGATAACATCAGCGCACCTGCTAGCCCAGGACAACCCATCACCCAGCATCCCATAAACACGCGTGCAGGTGGCAGGCAGCCCCAACGGCCGTGTGCGCGCATCCCGGGCTGCCCCCCGGACATGAAACTGCCCTAGCATAATCACCCCCTGATCGCCACAAGCTCACAATGCAGCATCACAGTTCACATACTGACATCCTTTCAGCGTTGCCGGGTTTCTCTGCCGCCCTCCTGCCTGTAATCGCCCTCAGGTTATTTGGCATTCCGCAAAATGAACCGCTATGGCGACAGGTCACCTGCTACGCTCTGCTAACCGCTCAACTAAATACATATGAGCAATCCAGCCACCTCCAGACTCCACTACAACAGCTCGGCGTGCGTCATGTCGGTTGGCTCACTCCTTACTCCTCTCTTTACAAGGTGACTAATCACACCAGACGAGACAGTGTGTGGGGAAAGAATGATTTGCTTTCGAAGCTCTTCCGGGTTTGTTCGTTCACTAGATGCGCCCCCCGGTGACCTCCTTCACGGGGAGCTACTCCGGGCTCTAGCAAAGTCGGCGAGTCCCTTCTCCCACTCTTGTCTTGTAAGACCTACATGCATTTGCACACAAGCACAAGAGTACAGCGACCCGTGGGTCAGCAAGCAACGGGCTAAATGCAGACCATTAGACCACGAACACGTCAGGACGCTGACACAGCATGCCACGTGGCACCTTCGCGGGCCATCCCATCATCCCGGCTTGTCCCCTTGCAACACCCTGCTACAGCACGCCTTTCAGCCTGGCCTTTTACCTTGAGCCATCTTGGTTTCCTTTACTTCATCCCCTCCCGCTCCCTCCAACCTCCACCACCCCGCCCCCGCCTCCCACCTCGCGGCGTGTACACGCACGTGATGCCCAGCTTTGCGCACTCGGTGATGTTCCAGCGCTCATTGTCGAAGAAGATCATGTCCTCGTAGGGAATGCCGGAGCGCTGGTGGATGGCGCGGAAGTGCGTGAGCTTGCTGCCGGGGTAGATCTCCTGGAGGGGGGAGGATAGGGTGCGGAGGGGTGCAGATACGGGAGTAACATTGGCGCGTGAGAACGCGTGAGGTATGAGGCACTGTTCACGAGGACGCACGGACATGCCTGCATGCACCTCACATTGCGGCCGCCACCTCCATCCTGGCTCGCCTGTTGCATGCAACCCTTCGTGCCAAACCCTCTTGCGCCTCCGTCCCATACACATATCCCACACGGACCTAGGCACTGTTTTACCATGGTAACGCCCCAAGCCCCTCTCACCACCTATACCGGTATCCTCCACCCATGCAGCTCACCTGGTGTGAGGAGATGTCGTACATGCTGCGGCCCCCACTCCGACTCCCGCCCCCGCCCCTGCTGTCCCCCTTGCTTTTCCCCTCAGCGGGGGCCACCAGGAAGGTCTTGAGGCAGGGTACGGCCCACTCCGGGTACTCGGTACGACTGACGTACGCCTGCATGCGTGCGGAAGGCAGTGGGGGGGCGCGGGTACGGGCAGGGTGTGCTGCTTGACCGCCGGGCAGTGGAGCCTTTGCAGGAAGCCGTGCCTCCATTAACCACCTGACTACCAATCGCCCACCCACCACCTCCGTATCCGCCCACTTGGGGTCTCCCGCCAGCTCCGCCAGCACCGCACCGCTGTCCCCCATCAGCTCTATCCGCTGGTTGGCGCTGTCGTACACCGCACCGCTGGCCTTGTCGCGGCGGAAGGGGGCGCCGCCGTCCAGCATGTACCTGCAGGGAGGGGCATGGTACGAAGTTGGGTAGGTGGGTGCATGGGGGAGCATTTGAGTTGGGGCTAACGGGGGGCATAGGCTAACAGGATCAGAGATGAACGAGCACTCGACGGAACTGCGACTGGGGTTCAAGTGCATTGGTTCAAGTGGTAATGTAGGTGTTAGGGCATGCGTCGTGTGCAGCGTTCGCGTGTGTGCGAGCCAGTAGGTAGAGGAAGGCAGGCAGGCGGAAGAGGTGACGGTGAGGAAGACGCAAGGCATTGGCGGGCCCGGCGCAACCAGATGGACTGCACGAAGGAAGCTCCAAAAGCGGTACTTCGCGTTAATACCGGGGTTACGTGGCTGATGGCCGGATGGCCGGCAATGCCGGTAGAGGCATTAAAGGCTTCACAAAGTAAGGTCGTAAGGATGAACCCCCGCTTGGCGCTCTTTCCACACCGCTGCCAACTCTCTTCGTAGCTGTCGGGACGTGGTATTGAGGACTTGGGATACTGCAGCACGTGCCCAATCCCTTTCCGGACATCCATAAACGTTTTTGATAGACGAAACCGCCCCCGCTTCCCAGCCTCCGTTAACTCACATCTCTGGCCACCTGCAACCAAGAGTCCATCAGGGAACTATGTGGATGCCCGTCTAGCACGATAACGTAGTTCGGGGCCTGTTGAGGTGGTGGGGACTGAACATTAAAGTGCACATCAGGGAGCGTCCATTCGGACATGCCAAATGCCACCCACCATAACGTCCCGTCCAGGTCGAAGGCCACCAAGCGGGGCAACGACGTCATATCTGATGCCTTTCGTGTGTGGTTCGCTGTAAATGCCCCCCAAGAAGGCAGTCCTTTGTTTCCGGCAGCGGGCCGATTCAATCGCGAACGCGAAGGGTAAGAGTATGGTCCAGCACCGAACGGCCTAAAAATCAACACGTGCAGTTCATAACGTACAATGGTATGCGACAGCGGTAAGCAAAAATGAAGGTAGTTGCACGCTACAGGACGTCGGGGTTTAGCACCTTTTTTCAATTGAACAGCCCTTTTGGTAGCGGCGTGTACTGTTCCTGTCTGCTTCCTATGGTACGCCCTTACGGCCCTACGCCTTAGGGAGTTGCTGTGTTATGCTCCGAAACGACCGTATAAGCGTCGGGCGTTGTGTCCGGTTTCTGGTAAAGCTCTTGTAGTAGTTTTTGTTAGCGCATTAACATGATGCTGTAAACAAGAGTCTCGGCTCACTGGTACAAGAGTTTTGCAGACCTCGTGCAAGCACTCATGGCAAGCACTTTTTAATATTACATCTGAAGGTAGAATTCACAAGCTGGTTAGCACAGAGGCGACCGGCAGCGGCTTTTGACTTAGTTCGGGAGCAAAGGCCGCAAAGGCTTGCAGCTGGATTAAGCCTTGTATCGCCACAGCATCACTTCTGTACAAAGGCATTCGAAATACGTTATTGCCGGACATTACCTACCTGGAGTGCACAGTATGGCGACGCTGCCGCTACAAGTGCAACATCTACGCCAGGAGCTGCAATGTTCGGCGACACTGGAGCATGTCTCACTGCACCTGAGAGTATGCAGCCTCTCTATTCCTTGGTGTGGAAGACAGCTGCGATGGCAGGTCAGACGCGAATAGCACATGTAGAAGTGCACTTTGCACGGCAGGGCCTATCGTGTCAATCCTCACAGATGTTTTCCTCCCTTCTTCTTTTACTCGTCATCCTTTCCCTGTCTGAACCCCTGACCCCAGGGAATAAACCCAGCAACCCCAAACTAAGCCTCTCCCCAGCCCCGTCTCAAGCCTCCCCGTCTTCTCCTCCTGCTCTTCCCTCCACCTGCTTCCACACTTCGTTGCTCTTTTGGCACAGTCTGGTACATGGCGCACAATACCACGTGACTTCGGGTGTTGTTACCACATGTAGCGCTCAAATACTTTCGTCCTCCCTTCCTCCCTCCTACACCTTTCCCCCCGCACAGCTCCTCATTCCCACAGCCGGCGGCGCTCCCGACGTCCTGTTTGATGACGAGGACTTCCGCCCGCTCTGCTGCCCTCCCGCTGCCGTACCCGACGCCAGAGCAGCGGCTGCCTCTGCCGTACGAACCGTCCTTCGTACCTGGTCCTCAACAAAGACGCAGATCCCTACCGCCAGTCCGGCTAAGACCGACCCGGATGGCAGACCCATGGGTCACTCACAGGCGTCGCAGCAGCAGATCTCTCGCTTATCGCGGCTGGTTTCGGCGCTGCTGGACGCCTATCGCTGCCACCAAGTGGCTCGGTTGGAGGAGGCGGCTGTGAGGCGGCAGCTGTCGAGGCTGCAGTTCGAGCTGAGCACGTTAGAGCTGGGGCGGGGGGTTCAGTTGGAGCTAACGGCCCAACAGCAGGTGGGGCAACGGAGGGTTATGGCGTAGTGACCAGCGCGAAAGAGGCTGTGGTGCTGTTTCTTAGTTGCCGGTTTTAGAGTGGGGTGGTTGCGGTGGGCTTGGCAACAGGTGGACTTGGTGCCGGCTGACTCAAGCTAACCTGCTTCCCCTCCAGACACAAGTTTGCCGCAAACATCACCCTAACTTAGCTATACTTTCACTGGCCTTAGCACCCCATGCGGTAATTCTCACAGGCGCGGTTCGCACTGCCCCTACCGCCCCTCGACCTTCGACAACTTTGGGAGGTACTACAATTGTACGGCATTGCCGTTGAGGAGCTGTTGCAGTACGACAGCAGCAACCACCAGAACCGCAGTACAGCGACTAGTACGGCACCCGGTGTGCGACAGCAGCGAGGCGAGGGCGCTTGCAGCCGTAGCGAGGGCAGCTGCAGTAGCGATGATGATGATGCCAGAGATGTGTTGGAGCCGTTAGAGCCCGGGTGCGAGGAGGAGGAGGCGTTATTGGTGGACCTGATGATGGGGCAGGCGACAGTCAGCGGAGGTGGGGAGGGAAGGCGGCAGCAGCTGCACCCTCAGCAGCAGCAGCGGCGGCGCAGGCGGCGGCAGCAGCACCATGCAGAGGGTGCTGGAGAGGGGGTCAAGCAGGACGAGGAGGTGGTGGCCAGGGGGGAGGAGCTCGTGTTCATGCTGCATGCAGCGTTCCGTCTGCCGTCGGGGGCCGCTGCTGGGGATGTGGGGGACCCCGAGCTCACTTTGCAGGTGGGTGGGTTGGTGGTGGGGAGAGGGAGAGCGTGTCAAGGTTGGGCTTTGGAGTGTGGGTTGGGTGGGGGGGGGCTAGGTCAAGGCGATCGGGTTGGGGTTAGAGTGCCTGGGTCGTATGGTGTTTTCCTGGTGTAGGTTGGGCTCTGCGGCATGGGGAGAAGAGCTAGGCTGGGCATCTCTTGCCCCGGGAGTTCTCGCATGGCGGGTTTAATGCCTGAGAGGCGTCGGGAGCCTATCTGGCTGCGTGCTGTGTATGGCACCTGTGCAATACCTGGCACATCTCAATACCCCTTCCTTTCACCACTCGCCAAGTCCTCCCCTGACCCTGCTCCTGCTGGTTGCTTGCAGGTCCCTGCCGCCCTGGCAGCCCTCCAATCCCCACCACCCCCCTCCCCGCCAGCACCAGCTACCGGCACCTCCACCACACCACCGGCCGCTACCGCCAGCGGCAGCACCAGCCTCACCAGGGCCGCCGCTGCCGCCGCTGTGCCCCTCCTCCCCCGCCCGCTGCTGCCCCCCTGGAGCCCCGACATGTGCCTGGCCGCCTACCTGCCGCTGGCTGCGGAGCGGCTGCAGGGGCAGCTGGAGGCGCACTGCGGGGGGCTGAGAGCAAGGCAGCAGGTAGGGGGGTGGGGGGTGGGGGTGATGGTGACTGCGGGAGCTTGGGCATGATTTGTTGCTGGATTCACCCGATGGAACAGGGTTAGGAAAGGCGGAAGGTCAGTCCATTCGTTTGGCCTCCTCTCGCGCTCCTCGACTTGACCTCCTCCCCCTGTCTGGCCCTCCTTCCCATGGCCCTGCCGTTCCCATTCATCCCTCCCCTTGTACCTGCCTCCCTTTGCACCAGCAAGCCTACCTGCCGTACTTGTCTGACCCTGTTCGGCCCCACATGGGCCCCCCGTGCGACCTCCACTCCTATCTCCAACGCTCTTCCTCCCACCCTTCCCCCCTCCCCCCCCCACCAGTTCCTGCACCACTTCTGCTGCTCGCTGCTCGGCCCCGGCGGCTCCCCCCTGGAGCTCAACCTGCCGGCCGGCACCGCGCTGCTGGCGGTGTGCTGGGAGGGCGCGGGGGTGCTGGTGGGGGCGGAGCTGGGGGGCGGCTTCCCGCGGGAGCAGCCGGGGATCAGCCTGCAGTGCGCCAGGTGGGCGGGGAGGGGGGCCAAGGGAAGATGAGGGGGGAGAGATATACCAGAATCACAGGGACGAGGAAGGGGCAGGGCGGTGTCTTGGCGATGTGCTAGTTGTTGTCGACCTGCTATTGGTAGGCAAGGAGTGGAAAGTGGGGCAGCCTTCTGGGGTGCAAAGTGAAGGGGCACAAGAGAGGGGAGAAGAGAGGGACACAAGCACAAGCCAGAAGATACTACACTCGTTTACGTGCATGCGTGTGCCTGCTCTTCGTCACATTATGCCAGCTTGCACCGTTGTGCGGGACAGTGGTCGTGCTTTCGACGCCCTCCCCCACCTTCCTGGGCCCCTACCCCACACACCTCCTGCTCTCCCTCCCCCCTCCCCCCTCCCAGGCAGCTGTCGTACTCCGACCTGAGCCGCACCTACCGGGACTACCCCTGGAGCCCCCGGTGGGCGCCGCAGGAGATGGCGGCACGCATACACAACTGGCTCAGGGTGAGGGGGGGGGCTGGGGTTGGGGTTGCGGTTGAGGAGCGGGGCGGAGGGTGCCGGGAGTTGGGAGCTAGGGTAAGAGTGCAAAGAGAGAGGGGGGAAATCGGATAACCGCTGGTGACGGGGTCGTGGCTGCTGATACAAGCCTAGGAGTCCAGCGATGTCCTTTGCTGCAACCTGAATTGTCTGCGACCCACGGGTCGGTTCAGCTTCAACATGGCAACCGGCTCACACCTACACGAGCTCCCCCCGCATGTGCTTCCCCCCCTGTGGTGCCCCCGCATGTGGTGCAGGAGGAGCTGCCCAACTTCCTGCGGGGTAGGCCGCAACAGTAGAGGTCATTGCGTGGCTGTTACTCAGTCGTCGTGTCGGCTGTAAGACATCCATGTTGGCGCAGCCACAGTTGCAGTTACGACCAGTTACGACAGTACACAAGTGGTAAACAGGGGTAAATCGACTAAGCCGCGGAGCTGCCACTGACCCTGGCTATGGTAGTCTGACTGACCTGAGTCACCTGAGCGGCACCTGGGCGCCAGTGGAGTCATTGCACGACACACTGCATAGTGTACGGATGCATGGTACGGACAACAGCTTATGAGACAGCAGCAGGACATGCTGTAAGGGGGGCCCGGTGAGGGTAGCCCAGGCATGGCTGGCTAGCCCCGTCAGTTGGTGCGATACCGGTACCAGCAGTACGGTTTTACAGATAGAGGACTCGAACTCAGATAGAGAACTCGAAGTAAGATGCAATACATCCTATGTATGGTCAGGTTTTCGCCGCTTTGCACCCTTGTTAGCCGGCTGTTGGTTGTGGTGGTTGTGGTTGGGAACGGCAGGTGTGGCTACCGGTATGGGTGTTGTCCATGGGTGTTGCGATACCCTGAGCAGGGCTTTGGGTGGTTGGGGGGGGGCGCATCCATGTGTGCACGCAGGTTGGGATGGGTTGGTTGGTAGCGGAAGCACCAGCCTGTTGGCTAGGCATTGTAAATCATATACTGACCAAGTCTTGACAGCGAGCTGTTACGTTTTGATGAAGAATGGAGGGCTTAGATCGAAGAATATGGTAACTGAAGAACATGTGAACAGGAGTGTTGATTTTGCTGCTGGGCTTGTAGGGTAACGTAAATGGGGTCAGCGGCAGAAGGCCCATGACATTGAGCAGCCGATGTTCTCACTTTACTGTCGCCAATCTTGGTATCGCTTTGTTGATGGCCGCATGCCATGGATCCATGTACCCCTTCCACAGCATGAAACGTTGGCCGATGACCCATGGGTCGTAAGGACCAATGCAGCTTGTCATCAGCAGCTGTTCTGAGCACCTACCGGTAGCGAATCCAAACTGCCGTACCAATCGGCCTAACCATTCACCCGCCCAACTGGCTTCATCCCTCGCCTCTCCTTATCACTCCTCTCCTCTCTGAACCTTTCTCCCATTCTTTCCCAACATTTCCCAGTCCGCCTCCCTTCTTTTCTTCCACCACCTACAGCCTCTCCGCTGCCTCTAGCGCCACCCTCGCGCCCGCCTTCACCACCGCCCCCACCGTGCCCTCCACACCCCACTCCCGAACCGCACCCGCCACGCCTGACAGCACAGAGGGTCCCTGACCAGCACCCCCTGCTGCTCCCCCTCGTGCGCCCGCTGCCGTCGCCGCCAGGCCCTCTTGCAGTACGGAAATGAGGTCGGGGGCGGGCGGGGCGCCCTCGGGGATGCGGGGTGTGTCGCGGAGGGTGCGCAGGGTTTGCCGTACGTCGGGTGCCTGCAGAGGACAACGGGGGAAGTGGGTGGAGAGACCTTACGGCACGCTTTTGGATAATCCCTTGGTGAGCACCGGTAACGCGAAAGTACGACAGCATATGTGCGCAGGCAGCTGCAGCCATCTGTACAGCGGCAACGTGAAGCCCTTCCAATAACTTATATGATACCCTGGCGGATCCTGATACCCAAACTAACTGTGCTCCCCCCACCCATCCAGCCCCCCTCCCTCCCACATGGCGCTTAAAACACCCTGCATCCTTCCTTTCCCCCTCCCCCTCCCCACCTGCTCCGCCGCCCCCGCCTCGTTCAGCCTCCGCAGCTGCTCGTTGTAGTGCTCCTCCAGCGCGCCCCCCACCGCCCCCACCACCGCCAGACCCAGCCGGGGGGGCGCGGCGGCGGCGGCGGCTCCCAGGGCCATGCAGGCCAGGCTCAGCGGGCCCTGCAGGGGAGGGAGGGGAATGGTCCGGATTGGTGCAGGGGCCGGTGGTGGCGGTGATCGGAGGCTGGAGGTGACGGGATAGAAGAAGGCAGCACGTACAGGCGGTGTGAGAGCTGTGATGGTGGTAGTGGTGGGGGAGGTAAGGACGCACATGGAACGCATGGCCCTTGAGCATGGTTCGTAGTTGAGAAGCTGGGAGGCAGTGTCGGTGTGTTGTGCGTGGGAGGCATGCGCCATGCGCCCTGCAGCCGGCCTGCTGCCCCACCTGAGCCAGCGAGGGCCGCACGCGGTACCTGGGCAGCAGCTGCCGTACCGCCTCCGCCGCCTGCTGCTCCTGGTCCGCAAACCACTGCACGTCGGGGCGGCCTCCGCCGGGGGCACCCGCCGCCGCACCTGCTGTACCGCACCCACTGCTGCTGGTGCTGGCGGTGGTGGAGGTGCTGGTGCCGAACGGGGGGCAACACCCTGCCTTGCTGCCGCTGCCGGGGTCCCCAGCTGCTGCCGCCAGGGGCCCACACCTGTCCCGCAGCAGAGCGCCGCTCAGGTTGCAGCTGAGGCCGCGGAAGAAGTGTACGGCAGCAAGCTGAGGGAGGGGAGGAGAGGTGGGAGGGTGGCAGAGAAGGAGATGGATTGGCGTTGGGGTGTAATGGGATTTATCTATAGTGGTCTTAGCACTAGGCCCAGCAAACGGACCCACCTCAGCCGCGTTGGAGGACCGAAGAATGCGACGCAGAGCGCGGTCACGGTCGTGCTGGCTGTCCTGCTCCTCACCATACTCGCTGTCATACTGATTGTTGCTGTCATCATACTCGTAATTCCCTTTAGGCATGTTGCCGATGGTGCCTGTTCCAGCGGCCTCCGCGTCATGCCGGGGGCTACCGCTGTTGGCGGTATTAGTGCTCGCGTCAGGTGCTGAGCTGCTGAAGTGACGCACTGGCGCAAGGATTGCTTGGTGGCAGCATCCTGCTTGCGCTAAGTTTGTGTCAGCACCTGCCTGCAGGTCAAAGCGTGCTTAATCAAATAGCTGCACAGCGTCCTTGCGGTGGAAATGGTCTAAGGCAAGCTCGTTGGCGAGCAAGCCAACTAACCGTAAGTCGTCGCGCATGCCGAGCAAGCTGCGCCAGCCGGCTCATTGATTGTAAGGATGCCATTTACAGTCGATGGTGTACACTGCTCTCCAGGAACAGTTGAGGCTTTACAGAAAATAATTGTTCCCGTTTTCCTTAGCAAGCACCATCTCAGCCGCAATCGTAACCTTAATTTACTTCAGGAAAATTTCCACACGGCCCTTGGCGTTCTCTGGCTATCGTTCTTCCGAGTACGACTTGGATAGAGGAGAGGTGGAAAACTCAGGCATTTGCTAACTGCCGCAATGCCAGCGCTATAGTTAATCTAATATGCCAAAGTTGTGAAGTGTAAGGCTTTAGATCTGACTTGCAGTAGCTTTCTTGGTTGTTACACTGGGCAACGTCACAAAAGATGTCAAGCATGGCGTTAGGTGCTTGCTCAAAGCTTACAATCGGATGCACAAATAGGCGAGTTGCTTCTCCATTGCCTGCGATCGGACCAAGCCTTCTGCCATGCCGGACGATCCATTCTCGGCGCTGCGACACAGCTGCCGCTAGCAGCAGGGGCAACGGGCGTGGTGGCTCTCCCGGAGACATGGATTTCCACGAGACAAAGCTGGGACCCAACGTGCTGGCGTCAGTAAAAGACCTTCGAGATGGGGTAGGGTTTAGGTCCGGGAGTTGTATCGGAGGCAGACTAAGCCACGCGACGCACTTCGACTACAGTGCTTCAGTGGTTCAGTGATTCGGGATGGAGCATGCGTCTGCGGACGGGACTTGAAGCACCCTTAGCCTAACGCTGACCCCGAGCCCCAACCCTGCTTTATCAACTGCCCACTCCCCACCCCACCCCCGCCCGCACTCCAGGGAGTCAAATGGGGTGCTGCGACCGTCGTACGGAACGAGTGAGTCGTAAAAGGGGACACAAAGAGGGAACCGACGAGCTGTATGACGAGACTTCACCATGGGTTGCTATGTAATGGGGCGGGGGCCGGGGTTTAAATCCCTGCATCCCTTTGGGAGGAGGGGTCGGTGAAGGCCTTCCACACGCCTAGGGCTGTGGGATGCCAATGTTACTGCAAGGGCTGTGGGGCGGGGTCTTGTCGGTAAGATGTAGGCCAAGGTGCGACGTTGTTGTCAAGGGTGGTATGAGTGGGTCATTGGCGTTGTACTCCCTCCAAACCAACGGCCCCCCCTCGTTAGTTGCCTCGTCAGTGCCTCCTTGCTTTCACCCCACCCGCACAGGATGGGCCGGGTTCAATGAGCAACACATGGTAAAGCCTCGTCATACAGTTCGTCAGTTTCCTTGAGTTTACCCCCCCCCAACCCGCACGGCTTCTTGAGACTTGAACCGGTCATCGCGAGTTGCCTCCAACCCTCATTTTTAACTCCAGCTCCTATCCTATTCCTCCTCTTAACCGCCCCCCCTGCAGCGCCCAGAGCCTAGACGGCCGTGTGCGCGTGCTGCACCTCTCCGTGGCGGACCACGTGGACATGCTGTACGGCAGGAGGGTCAAGGGGGTGCCGGACGCAACCCGGTGGATCGAGTCGTACACGGTACGGGTGCAGGCGCTACCTCCAACTTGTACAGCTGGTGTACGGGTGTGTGTACATGCGTGTGCGATGCCCCTCCTTAGCGGGCTAGACCACCACCCTCGCCTCGCCTCGCTCCTGCTGACCTGCCCACTCCCTAGCTCCAATGCTCCCTCGTCCGCCTCCACACCCGTCCGCCTCCTCCCGCCCGCCTGCCCGCCCCCACCGCAGATCCCGGGCCAGTGTGTGGGTGTGCGCCTGCCGCCCCGGCAGCAGCCGCCTGCCGCCGCCTCACCGCCCTCCTCAGCTGCGTCGCCCCCCCGGCGGCTCTACTCTATCGCCTCCAGCCCCTACGCCTCCCGCCGGGACTCGGCTTACGTGGACGCATCGCTGATTGAGGTGGGGGGGGGGTGGGGGGACCAGGAACCTGTCGGGGACCCGGGCGGGAGAGCGGGTGTGGGTGTGGGGAGAGCGCGGGGGCGGCAGGAGGGGCCCGCCATGCGGCCAGGCTCCAATCCGTACGGTAGCGGCAGGTTCTGTGGCACGTTGCTAAGCTCGCAGACGCGCCTGCCACACGTCTTCCCCTCCCGCATCGACTCCCCCCCTCCCGCCTCCCTCCTTCCCCTGCCCCAGATCGTGGTTGAGCGGGGCAGCGGAGACCCCGAGGAGGCGCAGCTGGCGGAGCTGGGGCCGGGCACACAGCTGGAGGTGGGGGCGAGGGAAGGGGGGTGGGAAGGGGCAACGGTGGGCGAGAAGAGGGCATTCCTTGTGTTGAAGTGGGTGTAAGCCGGTTCCCCTCCGTTCTGCGGCGCCGTCGGCTTTACCTCTCCCCGCACTCCTACTTGGCCCCCACCGCACTCCCTTCGCCCCCCAGGTGACTCAGGTGATCGGTCGCGGCTTCTGCTCGCTGCTGGACAGCTACAACGGAGTGACGCATGCGCTGGAGGTGGGGGGGGGTGGGGGCCCGAGCGGGGCTGGAAGGAAAAGGAACATGATGGACCAGGTTGTGCGTGAATGTGACACCCCTTGGTGATAACGTCCCTGGGAGAGAGGGAGCAGGGGGGCATATCCTTCAACGCATGGTTCTTCCTCTTCACCCCCCTCCCCCACCCCCTCAGGAGGGCCGCAACCTGGTCCTCATCGGCTGCGGCTCCCGCGGCATCTCCGCGCTCCGCTCCGCGCTGTCCTGGCAGCCGCTGCTGGCGCACGCCGCCTCGCGCTCCGCCCACCCGCCCGCCGTGTCAGCGCTGTACCTGGCGGCCTGCGCGGGCAGGGCGGCGTTCGTGGCGGAGTGGGACGGGTGGAGGGAGGCAGGGGTGAGAGGAGGGACGGGAGGAGGGGCGAGAGGGGGAGGGGTCAAGTGCGTGTTAGGGTGTTTGGCCCAACCGCCTTACTTGGAATCGTTGTTTCCTAAAATGCTGTGTATGAAGCGGTGTGTCAACTGTCTTTAATATGCGCCTCCCTTTTTACCCCACCTCGCCATCATTTTTACCCCCCCTACCACCACCTGTGATGCCGTACACACCTACACAGATCTTGATTCGACCGTTGTACACAAACCCCGGTGCGGGACTGGATGACACAGCGGTGGTGGGGGAGGGCAGCAGCAGCAGCAATGGTGTCATGTCGCCGCCGCAGCAGCAAGGGCAGCAGCAGGCATCAGTGGGAGGTGGGGACAACAACAATAACGACGACAGCAGCAGCGGCAGGAGTACGGCAGCAGCAGCAGCAGTTGCGGATCCGGATTTGGAGCGGTGTTTGGATCTGCTGCAACAGGCGCTGTTCCTGCATGAGGGCGGATTCGAGGGTAAGTAGCGGGGGAGGGGGGAAACACGGGTGTCCAGAGGGTTGCCCTAAGGCAAAGAGCAACCAAAGGGGGGGGTTGGGTCGGGGTATGGCGGATGCGGAGATGGGGGGGCGGATGGGCTCGGGTTGAGTCTGAAACGTTCGATGGTGCGTTTCAGAGGAGCGCCCGGGTTCGTCACTCACATGAAGCTCAGGGTGGCCCTGACCGCCTGCGAGGGTTGGGCACCAATGTAAGACACGTTCTCAGTCAGCGCCTCTCCTGCCTCAACCCCTAACGGAATATCCATCTCTCCTAGCCCCCTAGCTCCTACCCTACAGCCGACAAAGCTCCTTCCTCCCCCTCTCCGCACCTCCCCTCCCCCCGTCCCCCGCGCCCTCCCTCCCACCCCACCCAGCCGTGTGCGGCGGCCCCGCCTCCCGCACCTGCTTCCTGCTGGCCGGACTGCCCCGGGAGCTGGCCTCCGCGCTGGGCAAGCTGCTGAGTGCCCGGGGGGTGCCGTACGAGCACATGCTGTTTGCGCAGGCGGACTTCTTCTAGGGCTGGGGGGGAGGAAGGGGAAGGGGGAGAGGGGGGAGGCGTATAGCTGCAGTAACGGGGGGGCAAGAGGTGAAAACACGGAACTAACCGTGCGGCAGGGCTGCACCATGGGGTGCGTAGCTGGTAAGGGGGGGCTGGCAGCATGGGAGGGGCTGGCTGGGGGCTGGCACGGGGATGTGGGGGAAGCAAGTCGAAGAACTGTACATGTAGCGTTGTTGAACAGCAGACCTAGTTTGCGCAGGGCGGGTGGTTTCATTCATTCACGTAGGAGGATGGTTTCCCGCGGGTGAGAGGGAAGGAGGAGGAGAGTAAAGGGGAAGAGGGGGTGGGTGTGTCGCACACAGGAGGAGGTATAAGGGGGTTTCCTGGCACCGATGGGGGGGAGCAGGAGAAACGACTCCTGTGTGTAATTTAGGAGGGTGGTGCTGACGTTAATGCACATGGCAGCAGGGAGGAAGGGGCTCGTTCGGCAGGGGCTCGGGAGGATGTGTGTTGAGGATAATGGCCGCGAGTATGAAAAAACTGAAGATGTGTGTAAGGGAGGGGGGCTATGAGTAGGAGGCTAGGGCGTGCTTCAGGCTAGGCAACACAGGCGTTGTGATGTGGATTTGGGTAGGTAGGGTGGCTGCTGGGCGCTGGGAGGATGTGGCGGGTAGGCTTCTAGTGGGTGGGGATGGGTTGGGGTAGGGTGGGCGGGGTACGGCTTTCATGCACTGCCTTTGCGGCGGGTATGTGCTAGGGTGGTGTGATGTGCCTGGCTTAGTCCAGGCTTTGGCGCTACATCGCTAAAAGGGAAGGAATTGTTGGATGGAGAGGGCCAAGGCGTGCACGTGCTACGTAGTAAGGGTGTATGTTTCATGCTGTGCCATGCCTGTGCCCCCAGCCTTGGTCCCCCTTGCGGTACTTGGTCCCTTGGGGGTCAATGCACGGTGTGCCCCTCCTCCTTTAACCCATTACCCATTCAACCCCCGTACAGCCGCGACCTGGCCCCTCATCTCCCGTCCTAGGCCTCCATAAGTGGATAAGAGCGTGGGACGTGCAGGGCCGGCCAGGAGCGATAGCATCACCACCCCTAGCAAACACACCTACAAATAGTCCTTAAAACCTTGGTGTAAAACAATGCCCGGGCGCGGACGCCTAAGCCTACCTATGAGGCGAACAAATCCATGAAGTCCGTTGTGACCCGTGGGTCGCACGCCAGGTGGGTCGCAGGCAGCCACACTCACAGCAGTAAGAGACGAGGAAAGGCGCAGCAACAAGCTACGCGTTTTCTCGGATCTATACAGCAAACGGTTCACTCGGGAAAAGCAAGGTACGACATTACAAAAAGTATTGTACGACATGCAGCCTTACTTTATGGAGTGCCAGAAAGCGAACAGCCCAACCGTTCTGCGTATCTCTAATTATTTAGCCGGAACCGTACTCTCTGCTTACCATTAAGGTGTTCTGACCCAGAAATGCAATGGAGTAGGACAGTAAGCCCCGTCAAGCGTCAACAATATCCGGCAACTCAAGAAGAGCAGCAAGCAATGCAGAGAATCACAAGCTGGGAACAAAACCGCTGCTGCTGCCGGCCCCCTTACTTAGCCCTCACACCCCCTGACCACTCTACTCCTTCCTAGACCTCGGAAAACGCATATTTATACCGGCGGGAAGGCGGCAGGCGGGCATCCTTGCATTCGGCGGCCCTCAGGGGGCTCGGGTGCAGGCCTGCTGCGGGCTCCCGGCGGCGGCTGGGACAGCTGCAACAAGGTCCCTTGAGGAGCTGCCGCCGCCTTGCGAGATGGGATGACGCCTTTTCGCCTTGCTACCCTGATCCGTGCCATCGGCGGCTCGGTTGGTATCGAGCAGCGCACTGACCCACGGGTCATCATCAGCGGGCAGCTGGGGCACCTCCCATCACTCCTTGGTGGGGGCACAGCCACCGCGCCTTCACCGGGCTGTCAGGCACCGCCTTCCGTGCGCGGGAGCAGTTGCAGTACTGCACCCACGTACCCATAAGCACCTGTATAATGGTTTGGAGTTCTTCAAGCAACAGGCTAGGTGTGTGATTACCTCGGGGGGGCGCAACTGCTGCGGACCCGGTTCCCGGTGGGCAAGGAACTGGGCTCCGAAGCTGTTCGATGGGAGCAAGTCAACCCCAAAACCAAATCAAAAGCTTGCTCTTTATGTCATGTATTGCAGCACTGGCTAACGGAACACATACGGTTAATCAATTGGGACATGCGACCATGCTCAAACATTGAGGCCGACCAAGGCAATACAAAGCTCTACATAACTAAAAGTCCTTATTTGCGAACAAGTTCGTGTGCAGTTATAAAGACACCTTCCGGCCAGAGCACACCGAGAGACCGCTCTTCGCGCGCCAGTATGAGTGCGGCCGGAGCCAGCTCATCTGCGGCTTCTGCTGACCCGGATATCGCTGAAGACCACATCACCCAAATCAACCAGCTGCCGGAAGAGTTGCTGCCCAGGATTGCCGCTTTCACGGGCGGCCTGGGCGGCTTTCGCTTCGTGTGCAGGTCCTTCCGCACCGCAGCGCGCAGTCTACAGTGGCAGCCGCAGCTGCTGGCCCTGCTATGCTGACGCTGGGGTCCGGAGGAGGCGGTGCGTGAGGTGGTGGAGGCTTACCGTTACCGCTCCGCCGCCCTCCTCTCACTGCTGCGGGAGCTGAAGACCCTAGGTGCGCGGCTGCCTCCCGATTCGCCAGCGCTGGGTGAGGTCCTCAGCAAAGCAGGCACCTTCGCTCAGCCCGCTCTGGTGGATGTTGCTGTGGACCTGGGAGCGGATATGAACCAGGAGTACGGCGTAAAGGCCTTCAATGCGATGTCAGTTCTTATGGGCCATCTGGGCACTGCTGAGCGGATGTTGTCGCACCGCTACAACCCATCAGCCAATCCGCAGCGTGCGAGGGAGGCTTTCCATAGTGCGGCAGCTGCTGTCAGGCACGGCCGCTGCCCCGGGGTCATCCGGTTCGTGGCGGAGCAGGCCCGGGTGGATGCGCGGCAGCACGGGTACGAGGCGCTTCGGGCCTACATGGAGTCCCCAGCAGCGGTTTCGGAGCTGCTGGCTGTGGGGGCGGCGCACTGCGGAGGGAACGAGGAGGAGCGCCGGAACTGCCTAACGAGGGCATGCCGGCACGGCAGCCTGGCCGCCTGCCGTGCGCTGTTTGCGGAGGGGCTGGGGGTGGTGGAGGAGGAGATGCGGTGGGAATGCTACAACCTGGCCATGCAGGGCGGCCACACTGCTGTGGTGCGGTGGCTGGAGGAGGTCTGGGGGCTGGGGGAGTGAGGTGAAGGAGTAGGGAGGTGCATCATGAGGGGAAAGGAGGAAGCCGAGGAAAAGGAGAAGGCAAGGGTGCAACCGTTCAAGGAGGGAGAAAAGGCGAGCGGAGAGTGAGTGCTGGTGCCGGAGGGGCTCGTGGGTAAGGAGGGTGCAAGCAACGGGTGCAGCAGGCGAGTAGGAATGAGGCAAGGAGCAATTGGTCGCGGAAATGTGGCTTGCGGCTCTGGAGCGCTACTACTGGGGAAGGGGAGTGCGGAGGCAACAGTTGGACATGTGAGGGGTGCACCTTGGGTCATAGGGTACTGTAGGAAGTGGACATGGCGCTTCAACAGTTGGGCGCGTTTAAGGAGTCGCTGCATTGTTGTTGGCGCCCCCAATGGGTCTTGCTTGTATTAAGGAAAGCGGCCGCGACTCGGCGCGTGTAACTAAGGAAGCTGCTGCTGCTGTAAGCTCTACGGTGCAATGGACGGAGGATACACTCAAAAGAGACTGCACTAGCAGGAACCTCAACCCAGCACTGACCTCGGCGTGTATCCAGGCATGCAACTGCGCCGCTTTCGTCGACTGGGTGCACTGGGAAGACCAGGCTACACCATACCGGTACTTCACACATGTGAGTAGCTACATCGAGCTCAAACGAGGTCCAGCGGGCACAACCGCCACCACCGGGAAGCTGTATGGCTTCAGGGTGGGCTCACATGCGACCTGCCCGCCCTCCCTCCCTCTCAACGCATGCACCCATGCACCGTGTTCCTACGTACAGCACCGTGCCGCATGTGAGGTCCTCATCCGGGCTGGCCTTGCAGCTCCTCTCATCCTCCGCACGCCCGCCCGAACAAGCAATGTGCACCCAGCGCATGGGAAACCAAGCACGTGCTGGCCCACCTCGCAAGCTAGGCCACCCCGCGGCAAAGCCCCCTCACCAAGACCAGTCCGAAGGGGACCTTGAAAGCCTCACAGCTGCTCCTCCTGTGAATCCACCCTATTCACTGAATCCACCCTACACTGCACGCCTGTACTCATAGGCACCTACGCCGCGACTGCACAAGGCTCTGCTGGGGCCCTGCCCCCGAACACACTGCCATGTGTCAAAACTAGCGCCTCAGCGGGCGCAAAGGGCGTCTCGCACAAAATACCTAAATGGACAAGGTTAAACACCGCTGTCAATCCCGGTTGCAAACACAGGCACCGCCTTCCGCTCCTTGTGGCCCCTGCTACGGCTGCCGCCTCTCGCCACACCCACATCCACTCGAGAGGGACGCATGTGGGACCGGACCCCGCTCATCATGGCGGTGCTAGCGGCCCGCTACGAGGTGCGGGGCCGCTGGGCGCCTGCTGGGGAGCCGCTCTCCGTGTCGGGGGCGTCTCTGCAGCGGGGTGCGGGGTCCGCGGGGAGGAGAGGACATGTATAGGAGGTTCTGGGTAGAATGGGCTCAAGAAGCAGAGGCATGGGGGACATGCAAGCACGATGTAAGCATCCCACCCCACGTGCTCACCCTCGCACCCGCTCTCACCCTTGCAAAGGTAAGCCCAAGTCACCCTCAACCTCACCTCGCGCGCTTTGACCCGCTTGGTGTGTCGCCTCTGCCGCCACCTGCCCCTGCCCCTGGCCCCGCCTCCCCCTCCCCCTCCAGGTCAGCTGGCAGGTCGTCACTCAGCAGCAAGTCATCGTCACCCTCGCACTCGTAAGTTCCTCCGGCACCACCGTCACCAGCGTCACCACCCTCCTGCCCCTGCTCCTGGTGCTGCTCCTGATCAGGGTCGCCACATGCTTCGTCGTACAGTCCGGTGCCGTCATCCTCGAACGTGTACGGCGTCTGATCCTTTGCAGCAGCTGCAGCGGCGTTGCTGGCAGGGGCGGTTGTGGCAGTGGCGGCAGGGGCAGTGGCGGCAGGGGCAGTGGCGGCAGGGGCAAGGCTAGCCACCTGGGTCGTTTGCGGCTGGGAGCTGCCGTTCCGAGAGGCGGGACTCGCAGCGCCTGACGTGCCAGCTGTGACGGTCCCGGCGGGTGCTACTGGTGCCGCATGGCCGTTTGCCCGTTGCCGCTTTGCGAGTTGCGACCCATGGGTCGTGATGGCACCATCACCGATACTTGCGGCCTCGATTGGCGGTTGCTGCTGTTGCTGCGGCGACGAAGCCGGAGCAGCAGAAGCAGCGCCGGCAGCGCCTGCCTTGGCGGCTTTGGTGGTGGCTCCTGTAGCGGTGTGCAGAGAAGGCGGTTAACAGGGCCAAAGCGGAGCATGGGGCGTGTAGCCAGGTCTCTTTTGACTCCCAACTTCTTTATGCATGTCCAAAAGCACGACCTTGCCCTAAGCGGTTCTCCTCCTCTCCGCCCCGCACACCACCGCCATCGCCTACACACCACCTCGCCCTCACCCTCCCCCTCCCTCCCACCTGCTGCCCCCTTCTTCCGCTTGAGCTGCTGCTGCTTTAGCCGAGCCTCCTCAAGCGCTATCACCCGCCGCATCAGCGCTATGGCGTCCTCCGTCTGCTTCAGCGTAGCATCAGCCGGCGCAGGAGCGGAGGCAGCAGCTGCTGCAACCGGGGCAGGAGCTGCCGCCGTCCCCACCTCCGCAGCCGCCGCACCCTGCTCCCCAGCAGCTGGCCCCGCCCCATGCGGCCCGGCTGGGGGTGCCCCCGGCGCTTGCACCACTGGGGTGGGGGAGGCAGCCGGAGCAGCAGCCGCCGCTGTCACCGCTGCTGCTGCGGGCGATGTGGGTGCTGCAGGAGCTGCAGGTGCTCCAGACTGACCCGTGGGTCCAGCTGCGCCACGCACCCACTTGTTAGGCCGTATCCCGGGTCGAGGAGCATGGCCTGGCAGGTTGCGGATCAGGGCAGGGGACCAAGCGGTCGGGGTGTGAAGAGCGGTGTGGGAAAGGCCAACTGTGTGCCAACCCGCATGCATGCCTCAGGTACTCGGTAATCGAACACCTGCACCGATTTGGGCAGCCCCATCGACGTGCCGCAGTGTCGACGCATTCACAGCACCGCAATTCTGCAGGACCCGCCCTGACAGTCTCCTCGCACCCCACACCAGGGCATGACCGCCCAACCCACCCCTGCCCAGCCATTATGTCCCCCCCCCCCCCCGCCCCCGCCCCCGTCACCCAACCCACCAGTGGGCGAAGGCGCGCCCCCCGCCCCGGCAGCCACCGGGCCGCCAGCCGCCGTGTCCAGCGCAGGGGGAGTCGGCAGGCGGGGGCCGCGACCTGCAGACCCGCTCCGCTCGTAGCCCCTGCAGGGCCATAGGGGTAGGATTGGGGATAAAAATTAGTTCGTAACTGACAGACGGCTAGGTGAGGGAATCATGTGAACTCTAACCAGGGCGGGGACGATGCCCATCCGACAGGCCGAAAGCGCTGGGATCGCGCCCGCGCAATCCCAGCGCCCATTCGACCCACCAGCACGCGTCCGCAAGTCAGCAACCCACCTCCTGTTTCCCCACCAAGGTCCTCCTGCTCCCGCGGGGTTCAACGGGTCTGCTGCCGCTGCTGCCTCCAGCACGCCCTCTCCTTCCAAGCCCTCCCCGTCTCCCCTACTTGCTGATACCGCTGTTGCCCCCGCCTCCTCGCTACCACCGTTTCCCAACCGCCGCCAAATGTTTAGGCCCTCAGACCCAGATGCGCCATCTGCCCCCGCTTCTGACCCTCCCGAAGGCCGAGACGTCAAGCGAGCGTTGGCTTGCTGCTGCTGCTCCTGCTGCAGCCGCTGCTGTGGCTGTGGTCGCGGTCGCTGCTGCTGTTGTCTAACGTAATAAAGGTTCTGCTGCTGCTGCTGCTCATCCCGCTCCCCATCCTGCCGCTCCCACCACTCCTGCTGCTGCTGCTGCGGTTGTACAGCCGGCGCGGCCGCATCACCGCCCCGGGGGCCGCCAACGAGCTCGCCGCTGCTGCTGCGTGCGCGACCCTGTACGTGCGGCAGGCAGGCAGGGGGACCAGGTGTAAAACCTCGTGTCATATGATGCATATGTTTCCATATCCGGCCAAGACATTAGGGCCCAAGGACGCAGCCACATCACGACAGCAATGTGAGCCACGTCGAGTCCAACCATGCAAATGCGCGCGTTTACAGGTGACATGTTAGCATGTTAGACGCCACAAACCCAAACGCCCCTACCTGTCCGGCAGCAGCAGTTGCAGCAGCAGTTGCAGCAGCAGCGCCCTGCGGTGGCAACGCCGGTGGGTTAAGAATCATGGGCCTCCGGTGTTGCTGCTGTTGCTGTGCCCGCTGCCACGTCGTCTGCCGCTGCGACCCCTGCCAGCCCCAATCCCGCTGAGCCTGTCGCTCCTCCTCATCCGTGCCTTCCCCGCCGTCAACGAAAGGAGACTGCTGTCGCTGCTGCTGCTGTCGCTGCGGGTCTGACACCGCAACGCCAGGGCCTCCAGCATCCAGCCCGGTAGCACCCGCTGCGGGTCGGCGGCGAGCAGGGGGCGGAGGGGGCGGCAGCGGCAGCGGACCACCCTCCAGCATCATGCCTGCATAGGGATAGGAGGCAACAGCAGTGTGCATGATACAAGTGCCTCTGGGTAGCTTGACGGCACACAAGCGCAGCAGGCTCTAATCCGTTCGGCACATTCCAGCAGCTGACAGCGGCTCCGCTGGTGCCGAACTCTTGTCTGCATGTGTAGCTGTGTGTATAGATGCATCTTGCGGGCTAACCCTGCACTCACCTTGCGATGCGGCAGTGCCCTCGAAGGAACCATGCATGCGCCCCTGCATCGGCCCGCGGCCATCCGAAAACGCCTCACCGCCCCCGCCGCGCCGCTGCTGAGGAGGCGGCGGAGGCGGCAGCGCCCCCATCGGAGCAAAGATACTCGGCATGTCCACCGCCGCCCCCGCCTCATCCGCGACGCCATCGCCGCCGTCAGACATCCGCAAGCTGCCGCCTCCGTCCGAGATGCGAGTATTGCCCCCGTCATCTGAGATACGCACACCGCCTCCGGCATTATCGCCGCCGTCAGACATGCGGGTGCCATCGTCTGATATCCGGGCCCCATCACCACCGTCGGACATGCGCATAAGCCTAACAGGGAAGCCCCCAGGCCCAAGCTCAGCAGCACCTGAGGGCGCTGCAGCTGCCGTCGACGCCGGCTGTTGTTGTTGCTGCTGCTGGTGGTGCTGGTGGTGCTGCACGTTTTGCATCATGGCCGCCAACGCTGGGCTGGTGAGTCCAGCCGCTGCCAGTGTCGCCATCATCGGCCCGCCCCCCCCGGAGGCCGCAACACGCAACATCTGCTGCTGCAGCAACTCCGCCGCCGCACCGCTGACGCCGGCAGACGCCAGCAGAGCCTGCAAGGGCCCCTGCATGGGACCCGCTTGCGGTCCCCTTTGCGGCATCATCCCAGCTCCGGGATGCATTCCCCGCACGCCGCCACGTCCGCCCATGCCGGACCCTACCCCGGCCGGACCCATGGGTCCGCCGCCTGCGCCGCGGCCCGCCAGCATCAGAGCATGCCGACCGGGTCCTCCGCTGGGGCCCGTACCGCGACCCATCATGCCGCCTCGGCCGCCCCGACCCGCAGGCCCAAGACCGGGGCCTCCCGGGCCAGGCGGCACCATAAGCTGCTGAGCCCCGCCCAACCCACCGCCGCCGCCCCCGCCGCCAGAACCAGGTCCCATGGGCCTCATGCCGCCGCCCCTCCCAGCCGCCGTGTGCTGCATGGCGGCGGCCATGGCTCCAAAGTGCGGCCGCGCCTGCAGTTGTTGCTGCTGCTGCTGCTGGTGTTGCATGTGTAGCTGCTGGAGGGCTAGGGGCATGCCGCCAGCCAGGGCCGCAGCCAAGCCGGCGGGAGGCGGCATCATGCCGGGTGGCATCATCATGGGGTGCGGCATGCCCATCATGCCACCACGGCCGCCGAGGAAGGGGGGCCCAAGGACGCTGCTACGGCCGCTGCCGCGTCCGCCGCGGCCAGTTGCTACGGGTCCCCGCCCGCCCTCTGGGAAGGGTCTGCCGCGACCTTGCTGCTGGTGGAAGCCGGGCTTGGGGAAGTCCACGGAGCCCCCGGCGGTGCTGATGTCCTCGTAGTAAGCAGCTGGAATGCCCTTTTGCTGGGCCTTGGTCTGTTGCGCCTAGAGGGGAGAAAGTAGATGCGGTTTAGTTTTGCGACATGGACAGAAGAGCGGGCAGGCCGCGTGCAGTTCCTGGCATAAGCAAAGGTGGGATGGCAAGGCAGGACTGGAAGATGCGGCCAACCTGCGGTTGAGCTTCCCCGGCGTCCGCTCCGGTGTGCCCGCCGTCGGCAGGAAGTGTATCGCCATTTGTATCGCCATTGATTGGCCTGCAAATAGGGAAGGGAGACGATGTTATACATGCATGGTGATTATTGCCAACGCGCAGGCTGCTCCAAGCCTCTGCTTGCGATAGGGACTATAGGAGAGCATGCACAAAGCGGCGGGCCGACGCGGTGCAACAACGCTAAAACGCCGCGCTTACTCTGCGTCTACGGCATCTCCAGCAGGAGCCTCATCATAATACTCTGCAAGCAATGCAAATACTTATGTAAAGTACAACTGGGATCGCAACTTGGACACTTGTGAGCAACCAAAAACAAGCCATTCCCGTGTACATCGGCCTCTATTCATACCAAGGAGCTCGTCATCGTCCGCAAAGTCCTCGGCATACGCCTCCTCATCCATTCTTCTGCTCGAGGCGCACCAGCGGCACCCCTAGAGGCGGCCTTAACTACTGAGCCCTATACGTGTATCTGTATACATTAACTACACATAATTGGCAAGGTATGGACAGGTCCGCGTCCAAACTTGAGTTAGCGGGTGCCTACTGTGGAATCAGTAAGCGCAAAAAGGAGAGACAAACTATGAGAAGGATATGTAACGTGCAAGTTAATGCGCGATTAGCAAGGTATCAGCTTCGGATGTAGGTTTCAGAGCCACTGATTTGCAAGTCATGAATGCATGATCTCCACACTACCCAGGCACTACTCCTGGCAAGTTTATTACATTAAGTTGGGGTACAAATAGTACATGATCCTTGTTGGACTCCTGCGTGGCAGACAACCGAGCAACATACAAGCAACGTGCCCATGTCTCCCGAGGACCCGGCCGACGCAGTTATCCGTGCTGCGTCTCGGTCAATCGCTCAGTACGCAGCGGAGGCTGCTTCCCGCGAACCCCCATGGGACGGTAAGCCGCGGTCGTATAGGCGCGCAAGCTGTCAAGGGTCCTCTGCAAGCATGAAGTTAACTAGAATACAGCTAGCGACCTGGCCTCATGGGTGTGGCAACATGGCAAGGGCAGTCTTTACCCGTTCCGCAAGGAGCAGGCACGTCAACATTTAGGCCATCCAAGCTATCCCTATAGAAGTTTCCCCCTTCTGCTCTCCCTGCCGTATGTAAACCGGACATCCAGCAGCCCCAGAACAGCCACATGCACACCTCTCCATCCCCTATCATTCCCCTTGTAATGTTCCTCGTCATGTCCTTCCTTCCCTTGTCCTGCCACCCCACGGCACGGTCACTCCTCTCCCATCCTAGCCACCTCCGCCCGTAACCCGTCGAAACTGGATGGCGAGTTGGATTAAACCATCAAGATGGGTTTCTGTAGTTCCTTTGTTACAGCCAGGTCGGCCCTCCTCCTGCCTACCCTCCAACCACACAGGATACGGGGGCCTGGTGCGCATCTGTGACGATGAGAGCCTGCGGGAGCCGGGAGTCGTGTGTGCGGCAGTAGCACGCCAGCCAACCGCCCCCGCACTTGCTCCATGTAGGCCAGAAGCGGCAGCAGCTGCAACAACCTGCCAGGGAAAGATCCCTCGCGAACCAAGACCAGCGGCCGGGGCGCCTTCCCCACCGCCAACAGCAGCAGCGCACCCGCAGCAAGCACCACCGCCGCCGCCGGTCGTTGCAAGCGATGGAGCCGCACCCAAGCCTGCACGTACCACCGCCGACCCCCACAACACCCACCTCCATCGGTCCTCCCAAGGAGCCATTTCGCCGATAGCAGGGAATCTGCAACAGCCGCCCTTGATTCAACCACCCCAGCAGCCCCATCAGCAGCCACACCAGTCACACCGGCGAGTGCCCTCTTGGGTGCAGGAGTACGTGTTGGGGGCAGGCAGCCGCGAGCCGGGGCGCCCGGGGGACTCCAGTGGCGGCAACAGCATCGGCGGTAGCAGCACCGCTGACGCTGCGGCTGCTGCTGGCGCTGGTGTTAACGCTGGCGGTGCTGCAGCGGGGGACCCCAGTGGCGTTAATTCCGTGACAAGAGCTGCTCTGGAACGGTAAGTACCGGTACGTGGCTCCGTGGAACCGGATACGCACATGTCGGGCGGCAGACGCCATGGATGTTGTTTTGGCCGAGGTGAGCTTCTTGTGGAAGCAACAACTGCTCAACTTTGCCCGACCCTCAGGTCTCCTGGACTGGAGGGCGATGGCGATCTGGATCTCGCCTGGGTACGACAGTTGCCTACACCGCCCAAGACCAACTCCGCACCCAAACGTTGAGCTTGCTGGTGTCGGGGAATGCGGTAGCGTAAGCGGCCGCATGGGCGCATACGGGGTAAGGAGACTTAGTTGATGTGATGCAGTTGTGATGTCTCTGCCCAAGGGGCATCGGGTTTTAGGATGGTGAGCAAACCCTAGTGTGATAAGCGGGGATTGGGGTCACGTACTGGCGGTTGGTTTGGAGGGTGTTGCAACACCACCGATGATTGCGAAGAAGTGCAGTAAGTGTGGCGCATGTGCATTGATGACGTACATAAGGATCAGCCCTGACGGGCCGCTTAAGGCGATACTGTAGTGCATTTGTTTCGATAACCTGGGGAGTCCTGTCAGTGCGTTATGACCAGCAGTTAACTAAGTTGAGCATAGGTTTAATGACCCTGTTCGTCCTCGCAACTCGTGCCAGGATGTGGGGTTGGATACGCAGTAAGACGGATAGCAAGAATGCCGGGAGTGTCGTACTCTACCCAACGTGAGGGACACTGATATGTAGCCGTCAGAGCGTTAGGAACAGTAGCGCAGTGTTTGCCTACTAACTACATCGCATTTTTAGTATTGAACTTTACGTGTACTTATCATAGCTGCTCCTCTGAGGTGCATCCTTTCGACTCGACCCAAAAGCGCTTCTGGCCCCACTGAGAAGGACATGAGTTGTGGACGACTGTTTTTATAATACATCTATTACAAGGTGGGTTGTGTGGCAGTCCGGGCTGTGCTGTTCGTGCGCAACCCTTGCCTACATCGCCGCGTGAAACGTTGGGCCATATGCTACCCCCTAACGTTAAAATCGAAGGCCAAACGAGGCACGCATATTGCTTTTGGTGTCTACCCTTGCCCAAGTGCGCTGAACCTGAACAATGTTCCTTCAGGTGCAGCGGTAGCTGTCCCGCTAAAGGCTCGGCGCACTAGATACAAATGCGCGGGTCGTCAATTAGCAGCCAGGAGTCAGCGGAGGAGAATGAGCGGTTGCTTGGGAACCCGACCGCTTCTAGTTCCGAAGGGCACGACGCCGTCCCAGAAGAAGCCACAACACTTACATCACAACAGGATGCGAAGGCGAAAGCCGAGCGGCAAGGCGTCAGTATAATACCTGCTTCTGCGCAACAACCTGAATCTTCTACTAGTGGGCCAACTGACGGACGAAGTAGCTGCCCGGGGATAAGTCCAGCGCCAGCAACGCATTCGCGAACATCCTCAATAGATCGCAGCGTTCCTGGCGGGTCAGATGCTGGCGCTCCAAAAGGGGAGCCGATGCTTTGTCGCATCTGCCTTGAGGAGGATAGCGTTAGCAACTTGGAGCAGCCATGCGCGTGCGCAGGAACGCAGAAATATGCACATCATGAATGCATTCAGGTGCGAGGCCGCTTTAGGAAGGCTCAGGGCCTACGGGGACCCGTGGGGCAGTGTCACTGGTTTGCGGTTGGCAGTAGGGACCTACGCTATGGGGGTGTCTTCCTTGCTACACTCTGGATACCTGGCCCTTACTATGACCGCCACCTGAAGGGTATTGCAACAACGCTCCACCCATCTATCGAATACTGGGCAGGGTTCGCTGCCGTTGAGCTCACTAGAGGGACTTGCAGAAGTGCACTGAGAGGAGGAGTTCGCTTGATTGACTCTGGGGAAGAGACGCATGATTACAGAAACTAGAAATGTGACTGCAACGTAATTTCTCCCAACGCTTCACCCACCCGCTCCCCGCTCCTTCCCCTGCCACCCCGCAGCGCTGGGTGAACGAGAAGGGCCACTTGCGGTGTGAGATCTGCGACCAGCAGTACCGGGGGAGCTTTACCGTGCCCCCGCAGCCCGCTGCGGTGGACGACCCGCATGGCCTGTTCGCGCCCATGTTCGCCATCCGGGTGGACCCGCTGTCGGGCGACCCGCTGATCGGACCCGCGGGTCACCGCGACCGCGCCGCGCTGGACTTCCTGGACGAGTCGGACCACTACTACCAGCGTAACCCGCTGGCGTCCTGGTGCTTCACGTTCGTGATCTTTGTCATGTTCCTGGTGGGTGTGTCAGCGGCAAAAGCACATGCGCATTTGGAAAGACGCACAAAAGTGCGACAGGGAGCGCGTAAGAGCGAACTAAGAGCTCTAATACTTGGTTGGTTGCTGCTGGTTTTGGGAGGCTGCACCTATACTGCTGTTGGGTCTGCAGGCGATGCTTTGTTAGCCCCAGGCGACCCATGCGCGAAGAGATACAAGAGTTGCGCAGATGCGGGCACGAATGCATGCAGTCCTGGCTTTCCCATTTGCCCTCTTTCGTGTAAGAACCGCCGCTTTAACTGGGCACTGCGTCTCTTTGCCCCCACTGCTGTTGCTGCTGCCGCTGCCGCGCAGGTGGTCCTCCACCACACAATGCTAGTCGCGGATGGCATGGACGACACAGGAGACGCCAGCGTCTCCCCCTCTCCTTCTCCCTCCAGCGGGAGTACGGACGGGGACAGCTACGCGTCGTCCCTCACGCTCTTCCTGTTCTGGATTGGCACCAAGGTGCGTGAGGGCGGGATGCGGATCCACGATGCATGACCTCAAAACAGCTGACGTTTGCATGGTGCCACCTATGCGCCATTGTTTGGCGGACCATCCCTGGTCCCTACCAATGCACCATATCCTAAGGTGACCTCCTCAGCGTTGCTTCGCTGACATGACATCCGCCTTCTGCGCCCCTTTCCGCCACCCCCTCGCTGCAGGCGTTCCTCATCGGCATCCCACTCTACACCGTCATGCGCATCGCAGCCCGGCAGGCGCGCCGCGAGCAGTACGAGGCGATGCTGCGGTCGGCGGCATTCGAGGTGCCCTCTCGGCGCTTCATGTGGCGCATGCAGATCAGGAACCAGGAGAGGGCACCCGGGGCGGGCGGAGGGCAGGCCGCGGCAGCACCCGTCGGCAGTAATATCGTCTAACTAGGACTGTGTTGCGACGGCACGTGAGAGCTTTTAGTAAGTTGTTGAGACGTGGTTAAAGTGGCTGAGTGTGGCTTCAGCTGTGGAAAGGCTGCGGAAACCGCAGCTGTACAGGACGCACGCATGTACTTGTATGGTCAGGTAAGGTTACAGTTTGCATATTAGTCCCGGCACCTTTCAATCTATTCGCATGGACCACTGTCTTGGTTTTAGGCCTCTTCTAGTTAAGAGCTTTTGGTATGTAGCTGCTGTGGCAAACGATGGTTGCTGTTGGTGGCTGGCGGGTCACATCGTATGTGGGTTTGCGTTGCTCTTGGTGCAGCTGGTTTGCGCTTGGTTACATAGCTTAGGTGTAGCACTATACGCTGGAAGGTAACGTAACAAATTGGTTGCCTTTATCCAGGTGGATACAGGGGCGGGGCATTAGCTTACATGCAATACAGCTCCCAAAAATTGTTTGCATGTCAAACGGACGTTGACGATGTGACAAGTCTTCACGTTGGCTTCGGATCCCGAAAGGAATCAATCCTTCCCCGCGGCAATGGTGCAAATTCTCCAACCTGCTAATAGAGGAGTTATTCTTCTAATCGCCTGACCCGGGTAACGGGCTCCCGTGTGTATAAACCAACGGGCTCCCATGTAAGAAACCCTCGTCAAGACACTCCCATGAGCCTAGCCTAATAGAACACGAAACGTTCTCAGCAATCAGTCCTTGCAGCATCAATTCTTTGCAATTCACATAATTCGAGTCACATGCAGAGCCCGTAAGGTTCCCGCCCCAGGCTGCTGCTGGCATACTAGTCAGGGCTGTCACCTCACGGCGGAAACTCCCTGACATTTCCCGCTAGCTACAGTGCTAGCAAAGCTGCTAACCACATACTCCAGCCAAGCGCGCCACTACGTCCAAATGCTTTGATGCTCCAGCTCCATGGCAGGTATCACGTTGTGAAGGACTCTCCGCATCCGCAAGTGCCTTTAGCGTTGGGGTTGATGAACACGAACTCTTGCCTACGGGGGGGACAGGGAAAACGCCACAAAGATGTATTAATACGTCACAAGGGTCCAAAACATGAGAGACATAAGCGAGAAGCCAGCCCCCTGGGGAACTGCAGGCTATGGGGTGGACGGCCGGTGAGGCACTAGATGAGGGACCCGCAATGATGACAACGATGGGTGAAGGCAAGATGCTGTTTGGGGTTTACCTGAGCTTGTCCTCGACAAAATCCATCTTGGTCCCCAGAACGTGCATTAAAGCGGCCGGCTCAATAAGGATGCGGACGCCCTTGTCCTCAACCAGCTCATCGAACTTGCCCTTGGTGTCTGCATACGTAATATTATGTAGGTTATTGAAGGTGCAATTAACCATATCTTCCACGCCATGACCATATGGGTGACCTGGCATAACCACGTACCTGCGTAGTTGAGCGTATAACTGAGGCCGCTGCAACCGCGCGTCTTAACGCCAAGTTTCAGGTATTCCTGTACACGGAATCATCGTTAGTACATGCTTCGCGCTCTCGCTACCTTGAAAAAGAAATGGAAGTTTCCCACCTTGTGTCTCTTGCTAAGAAGCTCGCGGACTCGACCTTCGTGCAAACGGTTAAGCGTTGTTGCGATGCGTAAGTAATCATTAGGCAAGATTCGTTTCAGGCTCCTACTATTTCGCCGACACACCTGCTGCTGCCTCCGTAAGTTCTACTGCTGCCTTCTTCACTCTAGGATTCCGCGTTGTTTCTTTAACGGCTTCAGCCAAGCAAGCGAGGGTTGCCTTCATGGGCAGGCTGCGGTTGAGAGCCTTAGCGAAGTCGGATGTGGGCAACGCCCTGCAGGTGACTTATCAGTATTAGGATAGACAGTACTTTACTTCCAAAAAGTTTTAAACAGCTTAGTATTATGGCAGCTTTGGTTGTATGTGGACAGTCATCCTCGGCTGTGCTCGTACGGCTTGCTGCATCCAAACGTAATGCAATCCCTGCCTCAGAAGGTGCCTTCCGCTCATCAGGACAGGACACGACTTTACGAGTAGCCTGCTATCCGACCTCTTATGACAACTCTCTGTGAATTTTCTCTTTCCTTTTCTTGAAGCGAATGCTATGCAGAATGCAAATCCTTTTTAGGAGACAAGAATATCGACAGTCTACTGTTTAAAAATTGATAGACAGGGACCCCAGTTTGTTTCCTCACAGCTTTTGAGTCCGCACCTTGTTACCAGGAATGGTGGGGGAAGATGTCTCGGCAATAAAAGCGCAGATGGTTGAAAGGTATGAACGAATTCTTGGGCGTCACCGGCAGCGGAAGACAGGGTGCCTTCTGTTGATCTTAACCTGCCAGTCTACCGGTATACGAAAGAGCCCTTGGGGTGGCGCTGTGATGCCAAACGTTTGTGCGTAGGACCAACTTCAATCCCGTCCGGACGGTCGAACGCAGGGTTAAGCAGTATGAAAGCAAACTCGCAGCTCTGAATGCCATTAATAGCGCGCTCCAAAAGGAAAACGACAAGCTTCGCGAGGAGCTTGCTCGTGCTCAGGACCCTACCACGGATGCAGGTAGGAATAAGGGGTGTTACTTGTGCCGATCCCAGTACACATAGCGCGCTGGAGGGGTAGGCGGAGGGGGCATTCCACCAACCCTAGCTGCCCTCTGGCCTTCCTCTCAATACAAGTTCCACGCCTATCTATGCTGGGGCTCAACCCCCGTACACTTACTGACACGCTCTCTCCCCACCCGTCTCCCCGCACCACTCCCCTGTGCCCTCCACCTGAATCCGCTCCCACCCCACCGCCTTCAGAGGAGGAGCTGTTGGAGCTGAAGGAGGAGTTTGCGGAGCGGCTAGGGGCAGCGGATGCAACCATACAAGCGCTCAAGGTAGGCCTGCGGTGGGGTGCGGAAGCGGGCTCGGTAGGGTATGTGTGCAGGAACCAGGCGGGCCTTGGGCAGCGCGCAGGGACAGCTGCAGGCCGCTGTGCTTGCGATGACCGCGCCTAACCTCCCGGACCCCTCCCCGCATCCCGCCCGCGCCCGCGCCCCTCTGCAGGACGAGCGGTCGCGGCTGCAGGCCCAGCTGAGTGCTGCCACTGCGGGCGGGTCGGCAAGTGAAGCTCGGCTGGCTGAGATGTCCGCCAGCCTGCAGCAGCTGCGGGAGGAGGGGGAGGCGCTGGCCAGGAAGTCGGGGGAACAGGAGGCGGCGCTGAGGAAGGTGGGGTAGATGAGGATTAAGGTTGCTAGGCGGTGTTGCTATGGTTGGATCGGGTGGTTAGCGAGTGGCGCTCGGTACTGAGGAGGTTGGGGGAGGGAGGGGTCGTACGCTGGTGAGCGGTGAAGGTGGCTGGGGTGCGGTGAGGTAGGGTGTGATGCGGGGCTACGGCCGCAGCGGCGCCAGGTGCTGCGGGTGCTGCTCCCCGACAGCCCAACCATCATCCCTTCATGAGGGTCACTTTGCTACCAGCCCTCAGCCAGACCTCTCTCATACACCCTCAACCACCAACCTCACTATCCCTGCTGCTATCTTTTTAAGTGCATTTGTTGCCCTATGGCTCTGCCTTTTCCTGAACCCCAAAGGCTCGCGGGGCACTGCGGGAGGTGGAAGCGGAGCGGGACAGGCTCTCGGTGCGAGTCAAGGTGCGGGTTCGCGGGGAGGGGAAGGGACTGGCAGGGAGGGAGGCAGGCAGGGCAAGGAGGGGCCGAACGAGCTGGGGACAACCTTCCTTGGTTCGGGGGAGGGTGGGCTGGACAAGTCGGATCACATGAGTACCAGTAATTAAGCAGGCGTTTTGGGTCTGAGGGACGTGCTAGTCTTGGCCAGGACAGCCAACTGGGCGGCATACCTAACTGGCTTCTTAGGATCCAACTCCGAGACACGTGCATGTGCCATGCGGCATGTAGTTAGGCACCCCTCGACTGCATAGAGCACTCCCCTCCACCCCGGTCTCACCTCCCCCCAGGCGGTGGAAACGCAGCTGCTGGAGGTGCAGGAGAGAGCAGCCGCAGCGGCCGCCACCGCGGCAGCGCAGGTGGGCACTGTGTAGCAGGGTGTGCTCGAGGCAGGAGTGCCCAGCGCGCCGCCTAGGGTCGGTCTCCTGTCGGTTGTGCTTGTGGCTGTGGGCCCTGTCTGAGAGCTCTCTCAGTGCCGTTAGTCGCTTGCAACCGCCCTGACACCATATGTGCTGCTCGCGCCGCTAGGCCAGGGCGAGCCATGTTGACCTGCCAAGTAGGCTGCGTGCTTAACATGGCATGGCATGCACGTGCGCATGTGGCTGGTGGCCGCTCCTGCAGGCAGAGGAGCTGGAGCGGGAGGTGGGGGCGGTGCGACTGGAGGCCAAGCGGCAGGTGGCGGAGGCGCGCAGGGAGGCGGCGGAGGCGCTGGCAAGGGCGGAGAGCGAGGTGGGGGGGAGGGTGGACGAGGTGAAGGGGAGCGGGGCGAATGTGATGGGGAAAGTGTATGACAGGAATGACACGATATACGTGAAAGGGAGTCCCGGTGGGAGGAGACGCGGTTTCGTCGCCTCTTCAACACGCCCCCTCCAGGCGGCCCGTGGCGGTGCCGAGGTGGTTGCTGCCGCCCGCGAGCGCGAGGGCTCCCTGCTGGCCGCCATTGCGGAGCTGCGGGCGGGGCTGAGCGACACGGAGGGGGCGGCGGCGGAGCGGGAGGAGGCGCTGAGGAGGCAGTGCGGCAGGCTGGAAGACCGGATCAGGCAGCTGGAGGTGGGCGGGGAGGGATGGGGGCAGGGTTGCCGGGTGCAAGGGATGATAGGGGTCGGATGCTAGGTGCGAAGGAGGGGGGAGGGGGAATGAGGATGCATATGGTTGGCTCTCTTCATACCACCCCGCCGCTATGTCTCGCCACCCTTCATACCACCCTAACCCCCACCCCAGGGTGAGAAGGAGGAGCTGGTCGCCTCCACCACGGACGCCTCCAAGCCGCTGCTCAAGCAGATAGAGAGCATGGCAGCGGCAGCCGCAGCGGCCGCAGCAGCCGCAGAGGAGGCGGAGGCCAAGCTGCTGGCGCGCCTGCAGGCGGCGGAGGCGGCCGCGGCGGTGGCGGCGGATGCGGAGCGAGCGGCGCACAGCCGGGCGGGGGCGGCGGAGGCGGCGGCGGCGGCTGCGAAGGAGGCAGCGGCGGCGGCGGGGGCCTCCGGGGCGGAGGCGCGGGCGCGGTTGGAGGCGGCTCAGCGGCGGCTAGCAACTCTGGAGGCGGAGAAGGTGGGTTAGGGAAGTGCTGGAGAGGGATGGTGACTGAAGGCGCCAGGGAGGAGGAACAGCGGGGAGAGCAGAGTGTGGTACGGGGGTGTTTTGGTGCCGGGTGTGCTCTGCAGCTCGCGATAGGTTGCTGGTTGGTTGGAACTAGGCGCATGCGTGTTGGGCTATGGGGCGAGTGGATGTGGGTGCAGGCGGGGGTGCTGGTCCAGTTCCGTTTCAGGTAACCCTTCCTTTCCCCCACACACCCACATAGACCCACGCATTACCCTGCCCCTTCCCCGTTTCTCCGAATACGCTCACTGCATGGTTGGGATATGGGGTTGGTACTCCAGTTGCTGCACTTATCAATCCCCCCCCCTCCCCCCTCAGTCCAGCGCTGAGGAGCGGCTGGCTGCCGCACTGCAGCGGGAGGAGCGGCAGCGGGGCGAGGCGGAGGCGGCGCAGCGGGAGGCGCATGAGAAGCTGTGGGACGCGGAGGAGCGGGTGAGGGCAGGAACACCTGTGATAAGCGGGAGGCCAGGGGTCCCATGAGAATTTCTGTCCCCTTATCGCTCTCCTTTTTTGCCAAGCATCTTGCTCAGCATCCTGCGCCATACCATCCCTCGGCGCTGAACTGAGGGGGGAGGGGGGAGGGTAATGTGTGGGTGTATGTGGGGGTGGGGGTGGGGGTGGGGAGAAGGGTTACTTGCGACCTGGATGCCCTTGCATGTCCCATCTTCCCCCCCAGGTCCGCACACTGCTGGAGGAGCGGGACGAGCTCATGACGCGGCTGGAGGCGGCCCTAGCGCGGCTCAACAGCACCAGCAACAACAACACCGCCAGCGGGCACCTGCAGCAACAACACCTCAGCCGCAGAGCCTCCACCGCTGCGCTGCCCGCCGCTGCAGCTACCACAGCTGCGCCGGGGCCGGGGTCGGGTGCGGGCGCGGGGGGGGCGAAAGCAGGGGCCGGAGACCACCCGGGCAGCGGGAACGAGGGGCGGGAACAGCTAGCAGACGGTGTTGATGGAGGAGGAGGGGAAGCTGGCACGAGCAGCAGACACTGGCTGACGACTGTGGAAGAAGACGAGCTGGATGGCTTGTTAAACGCGCTTGTACGGCAAGCGGCGGCCTCCTCTCGTGCCGGCGGAACCTCTGCCGCTGGCAGTGGCCGGAGACTCCCCACCGGCTTGGACTCGGGCGGGAGCGGCAGCAGTGGCGTTGCCTCTGGTTCTGCTGCTGCGGGCGGGGTGGTGGACCCCGCAGCGGTTGCTCGCGCGCTGGAGGTGTTGCAGGGGCGGCTGCGGGCTGCTGAGGCGGCGCGGGAGGGCGCGGCGGAGGCGCTGTGTGCGGCGCTGCAGCGGGCGGATGCGGCGGCGGCGGACGCGGCGGAGGCCCCGGGTCTGCGGCGGCAGCTGGAGGAGGCGAGCGGCAAGCTGGACTTCCTGCTGGAGCTGCTGGGTGGGTGGGCGAGGGGAGGGAGGGAGGTGGCGGTGTGTTGCGAAAGGAGTTGTGCCAGAAGGTTGCACGGATGGGATAACAAGCTGCATTAAGAGCTGCAATGGGCTGTTTGCATGGGCTTGTTCGCGGCATGCAGGGGTCACCGCAGTTGCACTCGTTGCTGCCCGGTTGCTTTGGCGGTGTTGTGCTTGTCAACTGTTGTTGGATCGTCTTAGTGCCTGGCGCTCGGCCCTCTGGGTACATTGCGCACCATGAATCCATGATGCTTCCGTGCCGGGCCTCGGTCCTGACTTGTCCCCTTCCCTGGACTCCCCCTCGCTTCTAACGGACCGCAGGCGAACGCAACGAGCTCATAGAGCAGTTGCAGGTCGGTAGGGTGCGGGCGGGGCGAGATCATCTTGCGTGTAGGGCCTGTAACAGTGGTCTGCGCGTGTGCTTGCTTACTGCTACTGCCCCTTTGCGATGGGCCCAGGGCCGCTGTGCCCCAACGGCCTCACGGTCGTCCAGTCCTCTTCCGGATCCCTCTCCCTCGACCCGGACCCTTCTCCTCTTCCCTTCCCCTCCTTACCCCCCTTACCCCGCCCCTCCCACCCCTCCCTACACACCCCAGGAGGACATCCGGGAGATGAAGGCCATCTTCTGGAAGCAGCTGGAGGAGTGTGTGGGGCAGCTCACCGCCGCGCAGCAGGAGGCGGCCCGGCTCAGATCGGCCTCGCAAGGGGGGGCGGGAGCGCCCGCTGCGACTGCAGCTGGCAACGGTGGGGGTGGGGGGACGAGCGGAGGAGGAGCAGCAGCAGCAGATGGGATAGGTGGGCATGGGGGGTCCTCGAGGGCGAATGGCGGTGGTGAGGAGGGGCGGGTGCAGTCGCCAGCGAGGCGGGTTGGGGAGCTGAGGGGAGGAGGGGGAGGCGGTCGGGGCGGAGGAGGGGCCACGTCTGCGGCTGCGGCAAGGAAACGGTCGTAGGGCTGGGTCTGGGCTGGCAGCTGGGGTGGGGCGCTGGTTGGGGAGGGGAGGGGGGGGTGCGGCAACACGAGGCTAGGAGGGGGTCGTGTTGGTCCTCATGTGGTTGTTGCTGTACGCTGCAATGGCGCTGGGGCCCGCATATTCCTGCCACTAGGACGCTTACGACTATGCCCTCGCAGCTGTGCGTCCATTTCGGTGTGGAAGTGGTCGTGTAGCGGGGATGGTGGGGGCGGCGTGGGTGTAGCAGTGTCCGGGTAAGTTTTGGCGGCAGTCAAGTTGTGACGGTAACGGGAGTACCGGTAGTGGTTGTACGACCGCTAGACACGCGAGCGAGCCTGCGGGCGTGGCCTAGTGGCGCATGAGAGCGCTGTGATAGACTGGCAGGCAGGCAGGTAGGACCCGTGATAGGACGTGTGCAGTGTATGCTCATTCTCGTGATCAGTTAAGATTGACACGCGGTGCTCTTAGTGCGTGAGTGCGTGATAAGTATCGTTATGAGCTGTCATTAGGTATTATGTGCGACGCATATTCGTTGCATGCTTGCCGGTATCATTCGGGCGACTCCGGGGACTAAGTAGACGGTGTCAGCTGCGGGCGCGCCCAAACTAGGAGGAGAGCAGACCCTGTAGGCAACGTGGCTGCTGTGTAGGGTGGTTGCAGATTGTATATAGTGCTGGCAGTGGTTGAGACATCAGGCCATCAATAATGCCCACTGCGGCCCAACACAATTGCTTAAGGTTTACAAATCGACATCCAACCCGTCGTCATTGCAGGCTTCTTAGGGTGACGTGCACTGTTGCGAAGCACACTTGTACTAATCCAAGGAGCGCAGAACGCATTCCCATGTCGACCGTTGTGCTCCCTCCAACATCGCTCCCACACCGTGGCAAGCTACAGTTGTACCTGCCAACAAACCGCAGGTACAAACCGCATAAGGCCCATTAAACAAAGTTGCAGCTGCACTGACTACGGACAAAGCCCCCAAGGGCCGTCTAGCCTGCCGGCAAGCAGCTGTGCCCCAACCTCGCCAACCCGCGGCAGCAAGGGAGCCATGTCTCCAACTGGCACCTGCGCGACTGAGGTGCCGTATGACACGCACTCCGGACTAGCCCTCACTCCCTCCCAGCGGCCACCTCCCCACTCCCTCCCATTCCCGTCTCAATCACTCACCCGCATCGCCTCCACATCTGTAGCACCTCACGACACCTCGAGAGGCTTTTTAGGACCTATGTTAAAACAACCTACGCCCACCTGGACTCGCTCTCAGCAGCAACTCAATTCCGCACAAGGTACGACTGACCAGCCGCACATAGCCGTGATACGGCAGCATAGCAACGTGATACGGCAGCCTACGGCACATTCGCTCATTGGATCCTAAGTTCATGACACGTTATAAAGCGCATCACCTCTACGCGCATATCACCGGTTCACATATTGGAGCTGCGAGTGGTTGTGCAGTTTAACCATCGGTCACCAACACCGCACACCCGTCTCCCTGTATCGATCCTTCCAACACGCTCCTACCGGTACCAGCAGTCCGCTCCCCCGCCTATCCGCTCTCCACAGCAAACAACCATAAAACCCACCCACCCTCCCCGCCCCCTAGCTCCTGTGCGCCTGCTGCCCGCCGCCCCACCCGGGCAGCGGCAGCAGCAGGCGCGTGCGCTCCTTGTATTCGCGGTACTCCTGCAGGCCGCCCCAGCGCGCCTCCGCCGCCGCCTCCAGGGGGGGCACGCCGCTGAGGAAGCGCAGCAGCAGGAAGACGGTGAGCGGGCTGGCGGCGGCGGCGAGGCGGAGGGAGGTGGAGGGCAGGCCGGGGGCGCACAGCAGGTAGATGCCGCACCTGCGGGGGCGGGGAGGGGGGGGAGGAGATGGCAGCATGGGGAAAACGGGTAGTGGGTAATGGGGAGACGTGGTACGAGAGTGCGCGGAAAGGGTGCCAGGGGAAGGATGAGGTGGGTTGTACATGGAGTACATGGAATACACTACTGACCCGTGTCCAACACCACCCTCCCCCACCTTCGCCTCTCCTCTCCTCCCCTCCCCTGTTCCTCACCACAGCATCATCTCCCCGCAGTAGTTGGGGTGCCGGCTGAGCGACCACAGCCCCTCGTCGATCCAGCGCCCCGCACTACCCGCCCGACCCCGCCAGGCGGCCTTCTGCGCGTCAGCAACAGCCTCCAGAGCTAGGCCGCCGCCGTACAGCAGCAGGGCTGTGTGGGGGGGGAGGGAGGGAGGGAGGGAAGCAGCAAAGGGGAGGGTAGGTGGGGGAAAAGGGGTTGAGGAGGGAAGAAATAGTGAACATAGTCAATGCCTGGGTGCCCGAGGGAGAGGAGAGCAGGAGAGGTGGGGAACAAAAAGAAATCCAATGTGTGGTGTGATAGTGGTACATGTAGCTGAGGTGGGGAGAGGGAGGCGGGGTGAAGGTCGCCCCCCCACACTCGCACATGCTGTCTCGAACCGGAGGGTGACTGGATGGACGAGCGTGACAAGGAGGTGAGTAATTTGCGGGCCTTGGCAAGACTCCTATGCACACGGGCGCTTGGGGATTAGGTAAACTGAGCCGCGGAAACAATTACCGGAAAACCTGGGGGGGCAATGCACATAACCTACTTTCCCCTCCCCCCTCCCCTCTGCTCTCACCCCCCGCGTCCGCTGCCCCCAGCGCCGCCGCCCTCCCCCTGCCGTTCAGCAGCAGCACCGGCAGCAGCGTCACGAACACCCACACAGCCTGCGTACCGGGGGTGTGCGGGAAGGGGGGTGGGGGTGGGGGTGGAGGGACGGGGCCTTGCAAGGGAAGCTCCGCAGCAGCGACGGCAGCGGAACACATCTTTCCTCCGCCTGCCTGTGTCATTAACCGGTACGGCAGTTGGCTTCCTCATGTTGGCCCACCTTCCTTACCCCCTCCACCTGCCTGTGTTGTTGCATTTACCGGTATTTATAATTTTACCCCCTCCCCCCCCCCCCTCGCCCCCCCCCCTCCCACCTGCATGGTCCAGTACACCAGGAAGCGGGCGGGGTTGTCCCGCACTCCATCGAACCGCGAGTCCCTGCCGCTGCGGGCGATGCGGGCAGCCAGGTAGGAGCCCAGCCGCACCGCCCACACCGCAACCAGGCAGCTGGCCAGCAGCTGGAGAGGGGGGGAGCAGGGGGGTGGGGCAGCAGGGGGGAGGGGGGTGGGGCAGCAGGGGGGAGGGGCAGCAGGGGGGAGGGGGGTGGGGCAGCAGGGGGGAGGGGTCAGCAAGTCACGTCAGCTCACCCCTTGGCTCCAGTGCCCCTGTTACCACAGGCAAGGAATGGCATGGTGAGCAGGTGTCTAGCTACCCGCAGTGCAGCTACTCTGGTAGCCACTCACTGGTACTCCAGTGCTGTAACAACCCTTGTGGCCCCGGGGCCCCCTCAACCCCTGCTGCTCCCTGCCCCACCTGCCGCCCCCCCGCCGCCGCGCCTCCCCCCGCCAGCAGCGAGCCCCCGGTGAGGGTGAGGAAGCTGAGGCTGCCCAGCAGGTCGTAAAACACCTCGGTCTGAGGGGAGATGGGGGGAGGGATGGAGGGATGGGAGGACTGGACAAGTAAAGAGGGAGGGAGGGTGATGAAAGAGGGAAGCGGGGAGGGAGGCGTACAGTGGAGAAAAGGAAGGAAAAGGAACGTGCAAGGTGGAAGGATAATTTGCGAAGCACTTACGGTATTTATAAGCACAAGAAGTAAACCATGATGTTGTAGGACAGATGCACTGATAGCAGCGCTAACCGCCCTTATGCACCCTCCCACCTGCCCTGCACTGCGTTCCCACTGCTAACGGCCAGACAGGGGAGGGCGTGCCGTACCTTGAGCGCCGCTGCAGCCGCCCATCCCGCCCAGTTGATCCCCAGATCCAGCGCCAGCCAACCTAGCAGCCCCATGCCGGCAAGCCGTTGCTGTACGAAATGAGCGGTGGCTGCGAAAGTGGGCGTTGACCAGCTGTGAAGGGTGTTGACCAGCGTGCGTCCGAAGGAGCCGACAAGGCCGCCGGGCATAAAGGAGGAGGGCAAAGCAGCTGGAGGTAGAGCTGATGCTTGGGGTCGCGGAAAGGTCGTTGTGCGTTGTGCGAGGTTCCAGCCGAAGCTGGGACTCCTGGGTGGATGTTGCGGAGGGAAGTAAAGTGCACTCATGCAGTTACAGCTCCAGTATACAAATATAGGAGATGCTAACTGTTTACGTGCGTAGTATGTGTACAATAATTGTAAGCGAGCAGCATGCAAGCAACAGCGAAGTTGTGGCGCACCTTGCACGACAAGAGGATAGAGCTGCGGAGCGGCGTCGCGAGAGTTGGCTGAATACCTGCGCACTGCCCGATCTTGAGAAGGTGTTGAAAATATTGCTTAGTCCGATGGCACGCAAACAGCTAGGCAGGGGTCGTAGCATGGAAGGGATAGAGTCACAAGAATCCAAGTAGCGATATTACGCTGAAGGTAAAGAAAGCAGCATATGCGCTCCTAATGGCACCTTTCCAGGTAAAGGGTCCAGGAATGAGGCACGCCACAGGGTTCTATAACGGTCTCAACTGCCGCTCATGATAACGCTACGTTCCGACCCTGTAACCTTTGCGAAGGCATACTTCCTACTCGTTTTTTTGTTGATGCTTTACTGTATACTGTCTTTTGGCTTAAGACCGTGAATAAACAAAACGTATACAACTCGACTTCCTTTTGCCACCTATTATGCCTCGACAACAAGGAACACTAAAGAGGAGGCCTGCTCCTGTAGAAGAGTCTGAGGAGCCGAGCAGCGGCGACGACGATGCACCAGAGGAGCTTACGAACGACCAGCTGCGGGCTCTAAAGCGCTTTAAAGCTAACATAGAAGACGATGGGGACAGCGAGGAGAACAGTGAACCTGACGAAGATGGTGTGAGCGACGGCGGCGGTGCACATGGAACAGACAACGAAGACGAGGACGACGATGAGGATGAAGATGAGGACGATGGTGACGGGGACAGCGATAGTGATGGAAGTGATAGCGAAGATGATGACGACGAGAGGACGTTAGAGGAGCAGGTAAAGCAACGGTTGATTCCATCATGCCTCACCACCGCCCTTGCGAATGCCGGACAGGGGTCGTTTGAGGCATCCCCTAAGGGTCTCTACTGGCAAAGGTATATGTTGAAAGTCTCAGTCGCTGTTCGTTTCCGGAGGATGCCTCGGACTACATATTGGTAACGTCGCAACCAATGCCTCAACGGCCTCAAATTACTGCGCTCTTTGGGAGCTCTCCATGCCCCCTGGCCACCACCACTCAACAGGTTAAACGCCATCGAACCTGTTGGCTCTCCCCATGCCCCTCCTTTCTTCCAACGTGCGCACACTTACCTGCAAGCCCTCATGCCATTGGCTCGTGTCTCCTGAACTCCTTGCCCGCCCCCTCTGGCCGCCTATTCCCTCTCCCGCATAACGGCCCCGGCTGCCGGGCTACGTCGAATACTCCTTATGCCCTCAATCTGCTTTCCCTTTCCTCACGCCACTTGTTGTAGCGACACTCAACCCCCCCTTTCACTCCATTCCCCTCTCCCCTTCTCCCGCCCCCCAGGTAGCTGATGTGCCGTTTGAGGTGCTGGAGACATTACGGCAGGACGGCAGGGGGCTGGTGGGGCAGGTGAGCTGTGGGGTGGGGGGACCTAGGGCTAGCCCTATTGTGTAGTACCAGGGGTGGGAAGGAGGGCAGGGGCCCGGGGAAGCACAGGGTGGGGCGCACCTCCAGTCCCTTCCATCAGGGTGGGGCAGTGGGGTTGCGACGCAACCGTGCAGTGCCGTGTGGTGCTGTAAACGCTGCAGCGGTATGTCTAGTGGGCCCTGGCACCCAGTCTGACACCAGTGGGGGGTGCCAGGAGGGTGCTGCTGCGAGGTGCTGTTCCCATCGGGTGCGAGGTGCGAGGAGAGGGGCGTCAAGGGCGGTTTGGTTGGCAGACGACTAGCCAGCGAAGAGGCAACTACTCGCATCCCAGCACCCGCCCCCTTCGCTCTCGGCATGCTATTCCGTATTTCAAATCCAGTGTCATACGCTCATAGCCCCCCCTCCCGTGTGTGGTGTCCCTACCCACCTGCCAGGCCGCCCGCGCCGCTGCTGCCCGGGCCGCGGCGGCGGAGCGCTCCTTCAAGCGCGCCAACAAGGACCGCCCGCAGGAGATGTCCTCCAAACGACCCGTGGGTCGCTTCAGGGAGGTCATCCAGCTGCCCAGCAAGTGGGTGTGGGGCGGGCGGGCGGGCTGGGGAGGGTGTGTACGTGGTTTGAGCCCAGGAGGGGTTGTGGATGCGGCTGAGCGGGTGGGGAGTGGGTGATCCAGGACGGGGCGCAGGGTCACGAGTGTCCTTATGTGTGATTGAGTGGATGCACGGGGGGTGTCGGGCCGCCAACGCCCTCCTCAATGCGAGCATGTCACGGGATAGCTGTGTGCCGAGGTGTTGCGTACGGACCCTTCTTGCTGGCACCTCCTCCCTCACCTTTCACCTCTCACGTTCCCTCTCACCCTGCTCCCCTCCTCCCTCCCTCCCTGCCCAGGGGCTTCGTGGACCCCCGCTTCGCCTCCGCCTCCGCCGCCCCTCCCGGCAAGGTGAACGACTCCTTCCGGCGGCGCTACGCCTTCCTGTACGACGACATGCTGCCGGAGGAGAAGCGGGAGCTGCAGGACAAGATAAAGGTGGGGAGGCGGGGCGACGCGAGTGGGGGAGAGGGAAGAGGCGATGCGGAGGGAGGGGGAAGTGCGGGGAAAGAGGAGAGAAGGGGGAGAGGTGGAGGCAAGGAAGGGCACATGTTCGAGAAGGAAGGGGCCCAGGCAGGGCAGGGATGGCGTTGAAAGGCCTATAGTATCGTCGCATCTCAACGGGGGCGGGAGCTAGGTGGAGCTAGGAGCTGGTGGGGGGAAGGTGCAGGGTCCTGGTGAGATGGCAGGTTGCCCTTGAGTCGCCTCGCCCCGCTGGGCTCACGCGAGCATGGGCTTCCGCCAGACCTTTCACTTTTCAACCCCCCCCCTTCGCTTGTCAAGCCTCCCCCCTGATTCACGCCTTCCCCCGTTTCAACTGCCCCTGTTCTACCCACTTCGCCTTCCCCCGTGCAGAAGGAGAAGAACCCCAAGTTCAAGGCCAAGATGCAGGTGGGAAGGGTGCGGGCAGGGGAGGAGGCCGGAGGGAGGGAAGGGAAAGGGGACATCGAGCGGACGCAGGCTCCCTTTTGGCAGCTCTCTATCTACCAGGCTCATGTACTGGCTGAGCGTTTAATGCACGACAACCCTAAGCGTAGACTCGCTGCGTTGTAGCTTTTGTCCTCAATTCCTCAACCTTCTCCCCCTTCTGCCCACCCCCACCCACAGGCCCAGCTGCAGCGCATCGATACGCAGCTGCGAGATGAAGACCTCAGGTGGGGGGACGGACTAGGGCGGGGGTGGGGTGGGGTGGGGGAGGGGGTGCAACATGCGCCTTGTTGTACATGCATCTGCACCTTCGTACCCGTACCCAGGGATGTGTGACTGCACCAATCACCGTGGCCACCGTACGTCGCTTCCGATGTATGTGTTTTGGTTCTTTCCGGACCCCTCTCTCTCGGACCCCGCCCCGACCGCTCTCTCGGGCCCCGCCCTACCCTCTCCACCCTTCCCCCACCTCTGCCCTTGCGCCCCTCCTGCCACAGGCGGAGGACCCGGGCGCTGGAGTCCGAGTGGAAGGTAGGGCGTACGGCTGGGGGGGGGGCATGCATACCGCTGTCGTACAGCATGATCACGGAACCTTGCTGCTCTCCATTTCGAGCTCAATGGGCAGCACTAGACTGGCGCTTAGGTTAGGCTGACAATAGCGGTATGTGTTTTCGCCTTTACACCTGCGCCTGCGCTTGAACAGCCTTGCTTTCCTTGTTGGCCCTGTCTGGACCCTGTTCTGCCCCTACTCGCCCACTCGGATACATACTCTCCCCTCCCCCTCTTCTCTCCCCTCCTGCCCAGACCAAGGAGCGGTCTGCAGTGGCGGGCGGCAAGGCGCCCTTCTTCCTCAAGGAGTCCGAGAAGAAGCGGCTGGCGCTACTGGCAAAGTACCAGGAACTCAAGGTATGGGAGGGGGAGTAGGGATCCGGGGAGCGGGCCCGGGGAGTTTTTGAGGTGCTGCATCCCTCCCAAAGAGGTGCATCCTTATGTGCCACTATGTTCCCCATACTCCACTCCACTCCGTTCCGTTCAGAAACCCCCTCCGTCCCCCCTGCCCTCAACTCCCCAGCCCCCTTCCCCCTTCTAACAATCCCTCACTTCTTTTACTTATATCCCCTCCTTCGCCCTCCTCCTTCCCACCCCCCCAGGAGCACGGCAAGCTGGACAAGTTCATGGAGAAGCGGCGCAAGAAGAACGCGGCCAAGGACCACAGGTGGGCGAGGGGGGGGGGGAACAGGAGGAGGGGCAGGACGTGACGTGCCAAGAGGGGGGCGTTATGAGCAGGGCCAGAGCGTTGTGTGACATGGTGTGCTGCACTGCCCTGGCCATGCTCGGTGTTGGCAGGTGCGGTGAGGTGTTCATGACTGTCACTACCCACCTGGACTTGGGGAGGCTTGTTCCCCTGGTGTTCTTGAGGCCATTCATGTCCCTTACCCTATATGCCTGTCTCACAAATGCCGCTTGCATTCTCCCAACCCTCCCTACTCCCCGCCCTCCTCGTCAGGTACCTCCCCTCGGGTCGCCGCCAGCAGCAGGACAGCTGAGCAGCAGGAGGACCTGCGACCAGTACTGCTGCCCCGACCACGATTACCGCCACTTTTGTTGCTGCTTCACATTTGTCATTTGCTGTGTGGCTCAAAGTGCCTAACATGCTGCACAGGGTGGCAGCAGGGTGTTTCATGGCTGCAGGATTCAGCTGCCTCACTGTTATTGGTCATTACTGCCTTGGCTGTGATTGCGGTGCTGGGGTCAAGAGATACCAAAACCAGGTTAGGGGAGAGCAATGGGGGATGATGAGATTGGTGTACTAGTTGGACTGCTACTATTGCCAGGGGGCGGTACAGCACAGCTGGGGTACCTACCTTCCATGGTGCCACAACAGCTATTACTGACAAGTTGGAATGCTTTGGTGAGATGGGCAGTCAGGATGACGGGGTGTCATGGCTTTGGAACCGGCCTAGGACAGCGGTTACACGAGAACACTGCACCTGCCAGTGTACTCACCCACCATTCCCATTCCCCATAATCCGCATGGCAACGTGTAACTGATCTGCCAAAAAGGGGGGAGGATAGCTAAGTATGACACCCTTTGTCTTGGGTGTTGCTGGTTCCTAGAAGTATGGCATATTGTAACTATTGCTGTACAGCTGTCGCTCTTCTTGACCATGCAGCCCCCAGACTCAGGGCTGCAATGCCACACAAACAATGCAAGCATGTAATGAGGTGACCTGTGGCCCTGCTAACAGGTCACCAGCTTGCATGCAATGTAGTGTGTTGCCATCATTTTCTTACACCAGTGCTATTCAACAGCCAACAGTAGCCTCAGAGGACCATAATAATAGCTAGATGCAGCCTCCAGGTAGTCCCCCACAGGCCTGGTCCAGTGGCCCAGTCACCTTGCAGCTGGGCTCCAGCCATGGTGCAAGGAGGGCTTCACTGGCAGTGGGAGGCGGTGCATGCATGGGCCATGGTATACCTATGCTATAAATCCCATGGCTTAGGTGTGCCCCTTCCTGAGAACACGAGGAAGAGAGGAGAGTGCAGACCCCTATGGTGCTAGATGATTGACAGCCCACCCTCCTTATCAACAGCCCAGGGTCAACCCCCCTTTACCCAGCCTAAAATATCAAATGCTTCCTACTAAAACCCTCAAAACCACGACTGACTTCTTATATACAACTGTGCAGCCTCTGACTTCCAGCAACCCCTTATCCTTGATATTCACAAGAAATTGGCACACCAGTGTTGGCAACCACCAGTGCACCCTCCCTAGCACACACTGCAATACTCTTAACAAGCCTATCCTCAGCCCCTGCTGCTCCTGTGCAAGCCTCTTACAACCTGTTGGTAAAGTCTGTAGAGCTCCCAGCTGCAAAGCTCCTTAGTTTTAAGATGGTAATGTGAAGATGTGATGCTTCACTCAAGTAGGGGTGTGCTGGATCCGGACTGTTCCAGGTGCTGCTGTATGATGCATGTAATGGGGCTGCTGCTGTAGGTGATGGCCACCAAGCAGATCCTGTTCCCTTTATGGTCCATGTTGCTGTGTGCCACCCAGAGCCCCATCCTTCCAGCAAGCTCCTCTGAGATCCAAAAGTCAAAGATGCTAGCTTGATACACCTAAGCATCCATAAGAAGTAAGCCAAGCACCAACCAACAGGCATCCTGGCTTGGCTAGGGTTGGCATTAGGCAGACTCCCAACCCACCCAACCAGCAGGTGCAGGAGGCCAATGGGCAGGTGTGCCTTAGCCTACAGTGGTGTGACGTTCTTGTCCTGACAGGTGTTGCAGCACAGATATATACACTTCATCATGGGGTTGTGGCTGACATCTACCAGGATGCCCTTGGACTGCTGCAACTAGTGTGCCAATGGTGCCTGCCACCATTGAGGACACATTATGGCCCACTGTGTAAGCAATGAACATATTGATGACCAGCAGGTGCTGGGTTAGGTTCTCAGCACTGCAAGCTCTGCTCCGCTGCCATCCATGTGCCTTGCACCTCCACCTGCCCTGGAGCTGCCCAAAAAGCCTGCTCTGCTGGCATCAGTGAAAATGGTTCCACCTGGGCTGGTGACCTCACCTTCACCAAGTCCAAGTTCCCAACTGTCAGGGAAGATCTCTACCTATACAAGCTGCACCCTCAACATCTAACACAAAGGCTCCAAGGCAGGCAGGCAACCACTGTAGCTGAGAAGCAAACAAGAGGCTGTGCACTGCTATGATCCAGGCAAGCATAATCATTGGCTAACAGTTCCACCATTGCACTCAGGAGACAACCACATTCTAAAAAGTGACATCCTTAGTATTCTGTGCTTACCCTAAGCCGTTGGGGTAGGCCTTGGTGTTGTGGAAGCCACTGCCTTGGATTCACTTGACTCCTAATTGGATGCTGACAGTGGTAGTGGCTAGCATGGTAGCCAGCTACATCTTGCCCTGGCAGACCCTTGATGCTGCAGTGAGCCCTCTCCAGCACCCAGTTGAGGTCCTATCCCTGAAGCTTGTTGAGCTTTAGGCAGTTGCAGACAGGTTGTAGCATGCTCCACTTGGCCTGGTCTCCAAATCTCCCACATTGCCAGTGCTGTTGAAGGTGATGTGCTGTGACAATGATGTCAGGAAGACAGCTTGGAGCAGCAGCAGTCTAGGCTGTCTGTGAGCTGCCTTAGGTGTTCAGGGGTGAAGGAGGCCAGGGCCCCCAGGATGAAAGCCTTGCATTGGTCTTCAGGATGAAAGCCATGTGTTGGTCTCTGTCCTTGCTGAGGTAAACCTCCTCGAAGGGCAGGAGCGTGGAGGGCAGGGCAGCAGCTTCTGCATCAGCACTGTGTCTGCTGCCATGGCTTCAAGGCCACAGCCACACACTGCTCTGGTGTTTCTGTGTTTTCCACCTCCTCCACTAAGGTAGCCGCCCTTGCCCGGTAATTGAGGACGAGTTGGTTGGCACCAGCCAGCTCCTCCACATCTTCACCCTCCTCCAATCCCTCAGCTGCTAGTTCTGCATTTGCTGCTGCCAGCTGAGACCCTTCTCTGCTTGGCACTACTGCTGCCAGCTGGGCTCCTTGAACCCCTTCAATGCACCCTAGCTGCTCAGCTCTTTTAATTGTAAGGGAGGGGCTTGGCTGGTCCGGAACACTGGATAGCAACTGTAGCTTGCGCTTCATCAAGTTGTCTCTGGCAAGGTCCCTGAAATGTAGGTGTCTGGAGAGGCTGTTGCGGCTGAAAATCCTCCTTCTGTCTTCGACTTCTTGTGAATCTCTTGTATCCTTGCTCTGCGTGTGCCTCTTCTGCGGCCTTGGCTGAGCCAGCTGGGAGCGCTGCGCCAATTTCAGCCTGTACTGTAGCGCGTCTTCGAGCACCTCCAGCTCATGCTCGCCCCGTTCAGCTCAGCAACCTCCTCTGATGTAAAACTTCAACACGTTAGTAAAATTAACAATTTCTGCTATTTTGAGGTCGACATCCAGGACCGGATTCAAATATCTGGAAGCCATGTCTTGGTATCTTCTTGAGGAGAAGGAAAGTATTAGTATTTTAATGGTGTGAGGTATCAAACGTAGGTCGTCGCAGCCTAATAAGAGGTTCCAAAGGAAGAGGAAGAAATAGTAACATAGTAATCTCTGAGCGCAACTTATGAACATGTCAAGAAAATATTACACAAAGATACAATACCGAACTCGAGTCGAAGGATAGCCCACCTGGACTATGGGGCTGAATGCAGTACACCACTACGACAGCTTTGCCATCCCGCTGCCTACAACCCAAATTTTTACTTCGCTTACATAAAATGGGGTGGAGCGGCAGGGGGGGCATGATTGTGTCTGTTGGAGGCTGCAGAGCGTGGTTTACTCTGCTGCGCCTGGCTCTGCAAAAGTTGTCACTGCTGGTCTGATTAGTTCGGTGTGTCTTGCTGATTGAGAACAGCGAAGCTCAGGATCTCTAGCATCCTTTCCGACGAGGGCGCCGCAAAGTGAGAAAAAGCCACCAAAGGAATCTCGCACATAGGTAACGTGGCCGATTATACCATGTCTCCTATACAACCCGCAACGTCCTGAACAACACAAGAACTAAACTGCTGCTTCTGCATCCACCTAGCTAAAACCTTGTCCGCTGCTTGTAAAAAGAAAAGTCCAAAAGCGCAGCAAGCTTGCCGATATGGAGAGCAGACACCTTGCGAGAACGTAATTCTGCAGCTGCGTAAAAGCATCCCAAGCAGACCCCTCCCCCTTTCATGCCGTATTCCAAACTATAAGCTTCCCCCACGTCTAGGCTCGCCACTACCGCCAACCATGAAACCCGTGTCCCGCGCGCCAACACTCCTCCTGGTCACCATGCTATTATGGATCCCTCCCTGCCATCCAGCTCTGCACTAGGGGGTGGTAGAGGAGGGTCTAGGTCCGCCGCACAGGGTTGCCGCCCCGGACAATACATGCATGCCCCGCCTCAGCCGTTCTGGCATCCCTAGTCCTCCCTCCACCGTGCCGCCACGCTCACGCTGCCCTTTCTATCGCCCCTTTCCTACAAACGAGCTACAAATGGCGGTCCACCTCTCGGTACCGCGAAGCCTCCTCCACCTTTCCCCTCCCCAAGCAACCCAAATGCGCTCACTGCACGAGTCGGGACGTTGGGACTCCAGCTGCTTCACATACTATCCAAGTTTCCCCCTTCCACCCCTCTGTTTCTCCCTGGCCCCTCTACACCGCGCCCACCGCCGCCACCACCCCCACACTCTCGCTCTCCAGTGCCGCCGCCACCGCCGCCACCCGGCCCGCCCAGCCGTCCAGCCGTGCCTTCAGCCCCGCCAGCTGGTCGCGAGTGAGGATGCGCGGGGTCACCCAGGACACGTCCACGATGCCAGACACCTGTAAGAGAGGGAGGGGGGAGGGGAAGGGTTGAAAAAGGCGTAGTATCGGACTGGTGCATGCTGTGAACAGGGTTTGCGGGGGCTAACCGGACATATGATAGCTGATACACGCCATGGCAGCTGGTGAGCGGGGCGGGAGGGGGTTCGCAGTTGGGCCGCGAGCCAGACAATTAGTCAGCCAGTCAGCTAGCTCCAGGGTGGTTGAGAGGGTGGTTATGGTGGGATGTGGGGGCTGGGGGCAGCTTCTGGACTCTGCTCCAACTGCTCTCAAGGGCTCGTCAGCCACATGCAGGCCGCCAAAAATCCCAGGGGACAGCGGGCAGCAGTGTGTGGGGCTGGCAGGGTTGGGGAGAGGCTTGACGTGCAAATGGTCCACCTGGCAAGTCCACCTGGCAGGGCTCGAGCTGCTGCTGCCGTTGTAGCGACCGGCAGCCCCCCTGCAGTGCACCTCTTACTCCACTGCCTCCGCCTCCGCTCAGTGTAGCTTTCTGTCCCTGCTCCAGCCCTCGCACCCCTCCCTCCCTCCCTCCCTCCCTCCCTGCCTGTCTCACCTCGTCGATGACCCCCTCCACCAGGTGCAGCGACAGAGCCTGCAGGGGGAGGGAAACGAAGGAGGGGAGAGGGCGAATGGGTTGTTGGGACCGAGCAGCATGTCCCTCCCTCCCGCCTCCCACCAGCTTGCAGGCGCCTACCGACCCTAGCGTCCCTCGGACCAGCCCTCGCCCGTTCATCCTGCCCCCCCCGCCCTTCCACACCAGTCGCATTCCTGCCCTCCCCGTCGCCCCACCTCCCTGCCCTGTCCTGCCCTCCACCCCAACCGCCCTCAGCAACCCCGTCCTGCCTCGACCCCTATCCGCCCTCATATCCACCATGCGAACACCCACAAGCTGCCCCCGACTTCCCATCCAACTGACGCTCCTCCATTTCCTTATTCCTCCCTCCTTCCTGCACTTCGCTCCTCCTTTCTGCCTGTTATCTCCTTTCCTCCCTGCCCTTCCCCCCCCCCCGCCCCCCCTGCAGTCACCTTCATGAGCAGGAACTCCACTCCGTCGGTGTCCAGCTTGGTGCGCTCGCCGATGTACGACAGCGGGATGCGGCGCTGGAGGGAGGGACAGGCGGGAGGGGAGGGAGCGGGCGGGAGGGGAAGGATTGCAGAAGGTGAAAAGTGAAGAAGGAAACGGAACGGCATGGTACAGAGGACTAGAAGAGCTGTCCGGCTTCATGGCAGCCCTCAGCAGGCAGCAGGCAGCCACTAGGCGGGTGCCCCAAGGCTAGCATTTCAGGTATGCGAGCGACAGGTATGCGAGGGAAGCATGTCGTGGAGAAAGCGGGAGAGGGGTGCAGATGGGAGCATCGTAGCAGCCCAAGGTGGCGGGCTGCATCCCCCAGCAGCTGGAGGCGCAACCGCAACACGAGTCAGGATCACATCTGAGGTGAAACCCTGTACAGCCCCTGTGCACCCGCCCCGGCTCCCGCTCGCAACCTTGACACTTTGAGCCCTTTCCCACATCCAGCAGTCCACCCGCGAACCCAACCCGCAACCCTAGGAACACCTACCTCCCGCCACCCCCGCCGGCCCACCCGCTACTCCCCCTCACCTGCTCCGGGGGCGTGTCCGAGATGAGCGCCAGCAGGCACATGAGCGTGATCTTCTCCCGCAGCCGCCGCTCGTGAGACACCAGCGCGGGCTGGGCGTTCAGCTGGGCAAGGGAGGAGGGAGAGGAGACAGAGGGAGGGCGGGTGCCGGGCGGCAGGCGAGGGAGCAGCGTACAACTTCTCAGCAGCCGAGACTGAAGGCAGCGCCTTGACAAATAGTTACTGAGCGTAGGAGGTTTCGTTGGTTGCCGTAGCTGGGTGGGGCCGGCAGTGGCGGAATAAGACGAGGCATGTTTGGGGTGGCGAGTCACACCCACCACCACCACCACCAGCTCCTGCAGCGCTGCCACCGATTGCGGAGCCGACTCCTTAGCGGACCTTTTGTCCCTTCCGCCAGCCTCCACAAGTTCCACACGTGTCCCGCCATCCCAACCCCCCCATCCCACACATTGGGATTCTTCTTTTCCCCATCCATCCCCACCAACCCACCTGCTCCGCGTACCGCACGCACAGCTGGTCGTACAGGTGCATGTCGCCGTTGTTGAAGCACTGCAGCAGCTCGTGCAGCCACTGCGAGGGCGTGTTGTCCAGCGAGGTGATGATCGGGTGCTGCAGCAGCTGTCCGAAGCTGTAGATGTGCTCGCCCAGCAATGCCGCCAGCGAGACATCGACCGCCAGCCGCAGCTTAAAGTCGGGCTGCAGGCTGTCCGAGGAGACGTAGGACAAGTACATGAGCGTGGAGCGGTAAAAGTCGGCATAACTGGCCTGCGACTTGTGGTAGAGTGATGTGACATAGTAGACGGATGCTGAGACGGTGGGGTCAACGTCGGTGAGCTTGCCGAGCTGCTCTGTTACTGATTCTGTGATGGTCTTGCACTCCTGCATGGCGCCGGTCTCCAGCTTGTGCTGCGCAATGTGTACCCGCAGGAAGAGGATGGCCTCCGCCGTGCGCGTCTGCTTGAGCTCCTCTAGGCGCGCGATCACGTTGTGCAGCAGGTCCACGGCAGCCGTTGGGTTAGGCTGGAACTTACAAGCGTGCACTGCGAACTGCGCCAGCTTCAGGAAGTTGATTTTATGACTAAAGTCGACCACAAAGCCCTTGAAAAGGCGCACAGGAATGTCGCCGCGGTTAAACGCCGAGCTATGGAAGCATGTCTCGACCTTCAGCGTAAGCTGGTGCCATAGCTTGCGCTGATAAAGTGACGCCAATTCCTGGATATCTGCAGCCAAGTCTGGATACTCCGTCTGCAGCTGCTCCAGCGCCTCAATCGCCGTGGCTGTCATGATAAGCAGCGGTAAAGGCACAGTATGAGCGGCTGCTTGTCAAAAGTAGAAACAGTCGAGTGATCTGGGCAAAAGATCTTAGGCTTTAGGTGGCTCCACTAAAAATGCTAACGGCCTACAGGTGGTTTACAACTTCGGCGAAGTAGAATGTGATTAATGCTAGCAGTGGTTGGCCAGCAGTCCTTGAGCCTGCCTCACCTAAGCGCTTCCGTACTGCTGCCATTTGGGTAGACAGCGCCATTCCTCCTTTCGATACTTACACTTCTGGGAAGCGTTTTGCAAAACCGTTTAGTAAGCTTGCACTCCATAAATTTCGCACCCATGGTCCTCGCCAAGGCCCACCGCTTTGCGACAGATGCAATGTCAGTGACGGGCAATGGACAGCGGCCGCGTCTCCAAAGGGGAAGCTGGGGAGCCCCATTATCAACGTGGAGGATGGCCTAGGTTGTTAGGCGGGTTAGGCCAGAATGGCGGAATACACTGCACCTTTACCCCCGCAGGTCGCCCCTTTACGTTTATCCTGTACCTTTCGCCCCGTGCACGCACTTCGGCTTATTCCTTGCGGCTGGGACACTTGCTGCATCAGTGTACCGCAGTGGGACAGCTGCCACACACCTCACCTACATACATAACCGAACCAGCGTTTTACTCTTTAAATGTCCTGATACTATTGTCATTGGACAATGCCGTACATATGTTCACTCTTAGCAGCTTATTGCAGGCACGCCAGGCACTGGGGCCTCACAAACAGCATTCCCCCAAAAGTCAAGAATGGTTTGGAATGCGCAGATGTTCCTGCTACGCTGTGGATGTTGCCACGGAACCCGCCATGAAGTGATGACACACGGGATGTCCACAGGCCCTACCCTCACCACATACCCGCAGACCATTTATCTTCACATCATCCTGACTGCATGGCTTATTAGTCAAACCCGGGTGTCACCTTTCCGCCTCAGTCCTACTCCCCTCCGTTCCACTCTAATAATTCCCATTATTCCCATAACTCCCTTCCTCACTCCCCTAGCCCCCAGACCTCTCAACCGCCAATGCAGAACATCATTGTGGCTGGACCGCCGTGCGCACGTGTTGCAGTGTAACGCCATTCTGCTGCAAAGGTGGCGCAGCCTTCCCTCCCTCCCTCCACCAGCATCTTCTCTATCCCTCCTTACCTACCAGCCCTTCCGTCCCCGACAGTCACTGCCCGTTACCCTCGCCTCTTTCTCAGCATCCTCACCCCCCCTGCTCCCATGAACTTAGCCTTCCTCCTTCCCTTACCCGTCGTCCTCCCCTTACCCGTCGTCCTTCCCTTACCCGTCCTCCGTCCCTTACCCGTCCTCCGTCCCTTTCTCAATCTTCTCACCCTCCCCGTCTTCCTTCACCCCTCGTCTTCTTCCCCCTGGTCGCCATCCTCGTGCTCCTTTCCCTCCTCACCTTCCCGACCTCCTCCACCCACCTCTTCACCTCACTCCCCCAGCCCCCAGACCTCCTCCAGCCACCGCACCACAGCAGTGTGGCCGCCCAGCATGGCCATGTCGTACCACTCCGACCGCATCTCCTCCTCCACCACCCCCAGCCCCTCCGCCAGCAGCGCACGGCAGGCGGCCAGGCTGCCTTGCAGGCATGCCAACGTTAGGCAGATCCGGCGCTCCTTCTCGTTCCCTCCGCAGTGCGCCGCCCCCACAGCCAGCAGCTCCGAAACCGCTGCTGGGGACTCCATGTAGCCGCAAAGCGCCCCGTACCCGTGCTGCCGCGCATCCACCCCGGCCTTCCCCACCACGAACCGGATGGCCCCGGGGCAGAAGCCGTGCCTGACAGCAGCTGCTGCACTACGCAGAGTGTCCCTCGCACGCTGCGGATTGGCTGATGGGTTGTAGCGGTGCGCCAACATCCGCTCAGCAGTGCCCAGATGGCCCGTGGAAATCATCGAATCGAAGGCCTTTACGCCGTACTCCTGGTTCACATCGGCTCCCAGGTCCACAGCGACATCCACCAGAGCGGGCTGAGCGAAGATGCCTGCTTTGCAGAGGACCTCACCCAGCGCTGGCGAATCGGGCGGCAGCCGCGCACCTAGGGTCTTCAGCTCCCACAGCAGTGAGAGGAGAGGGTTAGGGGGAGGGTAAGCCACCACCACCTCCCGCACCGCCCTCTCCGGGCCCCAGCGTGACAGACACAGCAGGGCCAGCAGCTGCGGTTGCCACTGTAGACTGAGGGCTGTGTAAAAGAAGGACTTGCAGACGTAGCGAAAGCCGCCCAGGCCGCCCGTGTGCGCCGCGATTGTTGGGAGAATCCCTTTCGGCAGTCGGTCAAAATGATCAATGTCTAAAGAAGTATCCGGGTCTGGAGAAACCGAAGATGAAATCGAACAGCCCGAAGTGCATGCCATTTTCGTGAGGGGCGGTCGCAAATGCGGCCATACAAGGTGACCTGGCCTGGAACGTCGGTATGTAAATGACAGATAATACCTGTATGCGGAAAAGGAAGTTGCGTGTGCGTTTGAAGCGAATATACTGTCTTCATTCTTCGTTTCGCTTGCACAGCTCCGAAGCCTTAAGGGAAAAGCCTCTTCTTCACGGAAACCAGGTTCGCGGCAGATGTCCCGCGGGTCACGCTGACGCCCTTACCTTTGTGCAGAACGCATTATGAAGCTCGGGTGCGTGTTTGCAGTGATGCAAGAGCAATGCACAGTGCGGAGCCTGCGCCAGTATACACACCATGTTGGCGATATCTTCTTACCTTTACATGTGTACAAGCAAGCAAGCAGGGGCCAGCTGAACCTGCAGCTCCTGCCCCTGATACCGGTACATGACAGTCGCGGGCTGCTTTTCTAAACCACACACGTGTGCTCGTTACACGGCAAGCTATCCAGCACGCCGCACCTCCTAGCCTTAACATGGCTCAAGATAACCAGGACCCAACGCAATCCGCAGACAAGCCAAGCGACCAACCTCCACCGTGCAACACAAGTCCTATAGTTCTACGGTTAATTAACGATGGTTAGTCAGGTCACACGCATCCCCCAAACGTCCCTCCCTACACCTGTCGGAACACACCTGGCAAACCCAATGCACACTGTTCCGTCATCACTCCGGACTACCGCGGTAACAACTGAGGCACGCAATCTACATATAGGTGGCGCTCCTAGCCGCTAACGTTCCATCATAGTTTTGCCTCAGTGAAGCTGCGCAGGTTTTGCCCTCCACCACCGCACTAACCGCTGCCGTACACATATAATACCCTTTTCCATCCCAAGAGTCGTACGACTCCCTACCTGAAGCCGTATGCTCTAGTCAGATGCGGCCCGCCCCACCAGCACACGCACAATAGCAGCGGTGCATGGCGGGTCCAGGCAGCACAGCTCACACATAGTTGGCAGCGCATGACACACAGTCACACGCACATGATAGCCCTTGTGTACGACATGTCGCGTACCACCTGGCGCGCCCCCGCCTAACACGCCCCTCCGCAGCAAACACTCCTCTACTGCCAGCACTGCGGAATAGGGAGGGTGCTGGCACACCCGGGGCGGACGCCTGCCGCCATCCCAGCAAGAGCCCGCCAGGCACAACAGCAGGCGGGCAACCATCCGTCACACCATTAGCCTCCCTGCGTCTGACACGAATCAGCGGTAACATAGCGGGTCAGCATGCTTCGTGAAACCGTTGGGACGGCGGCGCGCGTTGCATGATGAAGAGTCCGGAAGGATGGCACTGTACGACAATGTTTCGTACAGCACCATAAGCTGCACGTGCGAGCATGATGCTGGTAGGGCGTTGGGAACCCACCGTAACATCAGCAGCCGCGTAAACCAGGGCCTGAGGGTCTGAGGCAGTCATGCACACCGCAACATCGCCACACCTGTGGACCATAACTCTTGCAACTATGTTCCAAGTGAAAACGCATCCGTACGGTACCATTTCCTGCTCTGGTGCCGCAGCAATGGGCTGCAACCTTTAGGACATCAGTCACATCAGCATATGCCGGTATCGCTCAAGTCAACGAAGCCAGCCAGTTGCACAGGCGACCGGAGCATGTGGCCGAAGCATGACCTCTCCCCAGCACGAAACAGTGACCACCTCTCAGCAACTGCCAACCAGGGCTCTCTCCCTCCCACAACGCGGCTTCACCCACTTGCCTAGCAGCGACTACACCTCAGCGCATTTTTGGCACCATGGCATCTCCTCACTTCGAAACGCCAACAGCTCCTCTCATTTTGCGGCTGGGACGCCTCAAATGAAGCGCCAAATACAAAACTGCCCAAAACTGCCGCAAAATCAGCTACAAAGTCGCCTCTCCTCTACAAGACAACGAAACGCCTTTCCTTCGTTCCTAGCCTTACGCTCTCCAGCATACAAAAGCATATATGCGTTCGGACTCAATCCCTGACCTCCTAGACCGCTACGTGCCCTCGCTTCCCTCCTGTCCTCAACCCATCCCTCCATCTCCCTAGGACGCCGTTCCTCCCCGGGGCTTAACTGAGCGCTTTTTCCCAGCTGCCGCCGCAGGTGCAGCAGCCCCTGCCGCCGGCGCTTCCGCTGACCCCTTCTTGGTCCGTGCCGTGGAACGAGGCACTGCCGCCGCCTCAGGCGCTGCTGCCTCCGCCGAGATCGCCGCTTTACCGCCCTCCGCCTCCCCCACTCCTACAACGCTCGGCCGCTGTGCATCACTGCTGATACCGCCAGCAGCAGGAGCGGCCGACACCGGCTCTGGTGCGGATGGGGGCCCTGCTGTTGGTGCCGCCGCTGGCGCTGACTCCTTTGGCGCCGCTGCCGCTGCTGCTGCTGCTGCGCGGTCCCGCTCCAGTTGCTGCAGCTCGTCCTCGTCCACCACCAGTTGGACGTCGTGCTCCTGCTCCTCCTCTCGCGGCTGCTGCTGTCCCTCCTGGCGCTGCCCCTCCTCCTCCTCGTCAGGCGGCAACCACTGGTCCAGGTCCTCCAGGTTCTCCATGATGGCGTCGAACAGCTGCAGCACGGGGGGAGGGGTGAGCGGAGGAGAGGGAGGGACAGTGGAGAGGGTGTTGGCGGAGTGCGCAGCTACGGCATAACTTTCTCTCCCACGGGGCCTTTAATAGTTGTCGCAAAAACACTCAGATCTCTCATACCTTCCCACCCTTGGCAAACTACACCTTATAAACCCCTTTCCGTAGAGGACGCCCGCTCGCCCTCCACCTTGTCTGCCCCTTACCCACCAGGAAATCCGCCTTGTCGTCAAACAGCGGCAGCTCCCGCTCCCCAGCCTCAGCTGGCGGGGGCAGCCCCTCGCCCGCGCCCCCAGCCGCAGCCGCCGCCTGCTGCGCCAGCTTCCGGAACGCCGCCAGGTTCTCCTGCAGGATGGAACCCAAGGTGTCCTGTACGGCAGCGGGCCCTACGCCCAAGTCCATGAGCATGTCGGGCAGCGAGTGCCGGAAGCGTAGCGTAATCTCCGTACGGGGCCGCCCGGGCTGCTGTGGCTGCTGCTGGGATGCATCTTTCCCTCGTCGCTGCTTGCCTTGAGCGGCTTGGTGTTGCTGTTGCTGCTGCTGTCGGGCGGGGGACTGGGGAGCGGCGCGGGGCGGCTTCTCAGTGAAGGTGATCTCGCCTGTGGAGGGGAAAGGGAGGAGGAGAGGTGGTGCGGGGAGATGGGTGGGCGGAGGGGTGATGTGCACTAAAGCGGTATTGTAACTGCAAAGACTGCAAAGGATACAGGAGAACGCCTGCAGCGTGACTAGCATGCCTGCATGTAGCGCCATGGGGTGAAGGGATTATAGGGTAATGTAAAGGTTGACGTAAGGCTCCCACCGGCACATCGACACATACGTTTTGCACACCCTAAATAATCGTGTATCTCGGCGAACATAATGACGGGGGCAGGAACCAGAAAGCGTTTCCGAGGTGAGCGCACCTGCCATGGGCATTCCCCATACGGACTCGAACACTATCCGCTTATCCTGCACAGCCTCCATCCGTTGAAGGACAAAGACAATCTCCATGGTGGGCAAGTGTCCTGCGATGGTAGTTAATACCTAGTCGGCGGTTGCAGGCATTACAAAGACCAAGCAGGCCGAAATGCCGACACCAGCCTACCGTGCCGATAGAAGCACTGGAACAAGGCCAGGTCCGGATTGTTGGGATCGAGCCCAATCTGCATAAATTACGCGTTTGTGAGCAGATCGGGACAGACGCGTACAAGGGCACAACATAAATCTACCTGGGCAACGAGGTCCAGAAATTCCACGAGTCTGTTCCAGTCGTTCCAAAGGTTATAGCAGACGCTGACTGGCGCATCAACAACAGTACTGACAACATGCTCGGCTATCCCTTCTGGATCCTCTGTAAAGTTAATGTAATTTGCCGGCGTGTATCCGCTAATTTCCTCTTCCGGCTCCGGCACCGCTCCAGACGACACCGCCAACCGCCAATTGTCTGAACTAACAGATCTTCTTGACAGGGGAAGGCCCCCGTAATTGTGGACAAGCCCTGCAGCCCTGGCGCCGCATGCTAACGCAGGCCGCCGCCCTCCAACTCTCTGCCCGTGTCTATGGTGCTGTGCCGTTCGCGACAACCGTGATAGCGGGACTGAGTATGAGCAACTGCAGGCCGACTGCTGAGCGGAGGGGCTATCGAGAGCCTTCTGACCAAATGCGTGCAAATTAAAGGGTGACATTCTATCAACTGATCCAAACCGTATCCCAGACACGACCAACCATTTGGCTTCACCTAAGGGCACAATTCGATAGGAATCCGGCCACTGCAAGTACCCTCCGGAACCATTTGCTTCCTCCGTACAAAGCTGATTTAGGGGCCCGGGGTAACGCTAGACCCGGACGCAAAGGTCAATGTGCGCAGTAGAGAACGTATGGCTCAGATACAGGGGAATTTAAGGGGTATACGCAAACCTACATGTTTCGCTTTGCACAACGCACAGTCCAAAAGGGCCAATTGCCTTAGAGGCCAGCCTCTGCAACTGTGCACGTTTTCAACATTGTGACGCGCAAGTCGACGGTGATGGCCGCTTGGCTCAGTATATTGAAGCGAAAGCGCACGTACAGCATGACACCGCCCACTTTTCCATCAAATGTTTAGGCTTACCAAGAATGAAATGAGGCATGATATTGTTTTCAACCACTAAAGTTCTCTTAATTTTCCACCTTCCACACCATACTCCCATCCTGCACCCCACTTTTCAGCTTTGTTGCAGAATAAAAATGCCTTTGTTGAGCTTATATGGGTTGGGTTGCGCATGCGCCTATGTGCACGCTGGGGAGGTGGGAAGTGAGCGCAGGAAAAGGAGGTTAGATAGGGGCCGTGAAGGGGCCGGGCGTCCTGGGTGGGTCAGCTGCATTGTTTGGATCGCAGGCGCTGAATTGTGAGAAGGGTTGCGTTGAGATAAACCGAAGGTCACGTTTGGCGTGTCCTGGGTAGCAAGGGGTGCGGGAAGTGATATGGCGAGGGTTGGGGCCATGTCAAGTGGACTGGGGAGGTGATTTGGGTGTGCGTTAAAGCAACCGTTAGTGCTTTGTCGCCAGGGGTTTCCAGGGGTTTTCCGTCCCGCTTTGTCTTCCCGTCCTATTTCTGTAGTACCGGTATTCCGCACTGGAGAAAAACTCCGCCGTCAAGACCGTTCAGCTACCGGTATCTTTCCAACTCTTGCATTCATACCATGGCATACCACCAGCTACCGGTATCTTTCCAACTCTTGCATTCATACCATGGCATACCACCAGCTACCGGTATCTTTCCAACTCTTGCACTCATACCATGGCATACCATGGCGTGCGCTTGCAGTATCACGACAGGGTCCACAGTACCAACCCACTTGCCATCGGCCCAGGCACACAGCCTAAAAGGCGCACGTTGACCATGGTCCTCGGGTCAGGCAAGGAGCAAGTCAGTAGACAGGTACTGCGTGGGAGTACCGGTATTTGGGTCAACGATGGCGGGCCACTAGATTAATAGAAGGGGCTAAGAGGAGGGCAGGCCCTCCCTCGCGTGCCCTCCCTTTGAGTTCTAAGGGAGCGGATCAGCCTAGCAAGCAGCCTTGATAACCTGTGACCAGCAGCCTAGCAATCAGGGAGCTCCGAAACAGCGGCTGTTTGCGGGTGTGTTGCCTTGAGTGTGGCATATCACCCGCAACCAAATCCATTGTATCCCTTGCCGGTCAGGAGTTCATTCTGAATCACCAAGTCGCGCACTCGGTGTCCAGGAGTTGACCACCCAACCCTGCATGACTCCCGCCAGGCCCTCGCCAGTTACCCCGTTCCCCGATCCTCGAGGCTGCGGCACAAGGCATGCGGCATCCGTACATGCAAATAATCAAGTGAACGCATCACAGTACGAGGCCAGGGAAGTGCACATGCGAAGCAAGGCAGTTGTCATGAGTCGACATACCAGCGCCTAATCAGGATAAGGCTGCGAAACATGTTTTCAAAGCCGACTATCTAACCGGCCGCACTAACAACTTAATTACCTTCAGCACAGCCCTCACATGCAACTATGACACATTGCTAAGCAATTTGGAAACCATGCCAACAAAGCCAACCCTACGTAAAAAACTGCAGCTACCATGCAATAACACCCCGAAGTCCTTGGCATTCTGCCTAGGTAAGCGTTCTACAAGCCTTAAGGCTTTTCCAGGGCCGCATTCCGTTGCTTCGGGTGCCCAGAGCAAAAGGTAAAACATCCTCCGCAGCCATAAGCCAGTCAGTGACTAACCCTTTGTCTGATTTGTTGCATTAACACTTTGTGCTTATGACGGTTCGGAGACGTCAACATCTGTCAGCTCGCATGTCTGGCGCATGCAAACTTGCAATCGTGCCTCGGGGACATCAAGGGCCTACAAGGCCCAGCAGCTGTCGTTTAATTGGTCAATTTACACATGAGAACCCTTATCCAACCAGGGCTCAGAGTGAAGGCAGCTGTACGGCAATGACGACAACGAGCGTGAGCATTGACCATGCGTTCTGGGTCGGGCGCAAACATGTTTACACAAGAAGCGCGGTCCCTGGTAAAGCGCAGTCGTTTAAGCTGGTCCATTTGCATCCCTCTTTAGCTACAGACGCTGCTTCGAGCTTGAAATATAATCTGAGACAGTAACATTCACAACTATTTCAATGTCTCTGGGTGTATGGTGCGGTGGCTTAGCCAGTTGGAGAGGAACGCAGCCAAGCCATCGAGGGGCCACCTCAGCCTTGGCGGGCAGTTGTAAACGAGGAGCACGGCGTTGTTCATTTATTCCCAAGACAGCTCAACGAGACGAAGTCGATGGTGCTGAAAGGCGGAGTCGCCTACCGACCCGTAAAGACGTTTCTAATGCGTCACCAACTAGCAGCACCCCTGAAGCTGAAGCCGAGGCTGCTACGTCAGCGACCAGTAGCAGCGACGGTGTCAGCCCTGAGGGTCTATCGCCTCCATTTCTTTTTTCTCCTGGTAGTGACTTACCTAACCTCGCCTGTGATCTGCGGAACCCGTCTGAATGCTTAAACATAAGCTCTATTGAGGATCCCCGCCTGGACCCAAGGTATGTAACTTACCTTGGGAGAGCAGACTGTGCGAAAAGTAAGATTATAAATGTTTGCTTAACTAAGCTCCAGCATCCTTCTACCGTGCTAGGGTTTACATCGATATCCACGTTGGCCTCGCCGCCTCTGCATCCCTTCCGTCCCTCTTTCCATACGCATGACCGCTGCTTCCTCGCACCCTTCTACCCACCTCTCCCCTCCTCCGTTTCCTAATGTTCTGCCATTCTGACCATTACAAACACACATTCATGCCTCTCCCCTCCCTCCCGCTCCCAGCATGTCCCGCCTAGTCCGCGACTACGTGGAGCAGCTGGTGGGCAGCGGGGTGAGCCAGCAGCGAGCGGCGCAGGTGATACGCGAGTGGAGCGATGGAGGAGGTGAGGGGGAAGGAGGCGGGAAGGGTGCGGGATGGGAGGAGGCAGGGGAAAAGAAGGGCCACCGTGTGCCCCTCCAGTACTGCCCTCCACAGAACTACATGTGCTCTTGGAGCCATCCGTGCACTACCCGGAGCACAGTGTGTGCGTCCCTGCCTCGCACCTCGCCTCAATTAGCGCGGTTACAGTTACGCCCCTACTGCTGTCCCCTGCCCTGCCCACCGCCCTCTCTACAAGTTGGCCTCGCCCCTGCCAGCGTGGCTTGCGGCATGCGGCCCCCCGGATCACCCCTTCGCCCTTCACTCCGCTACCGCCTCCGCATGCTCACCCCTGCTGCCCGCCCCGCCACATCTCCACCTCTCCCCCTTCCTCCATGCCCTCCCCCTTCCTCCCACTTCTTTGCATACCCCTCCCCCCCTCCCAGGCCTAACCCGGGTGGACCTGCGCAAGCTGCGGCGCCACTTCCTGTGGGCCACCCTGCTACCCGTGCTGCGGACCCGCATGCCGGAGGTGGGGGGGGTGGGTGGGGCGGGAGAGGGGCTAGGGCGAGGTGGGAGGAGGGGACCGCGCGGCGGACTGATACCGTTTTAGCCGAATGCTTGGGTTGTACGCATGCTCCCTCCCCTGCCCCCCCCCTTCCCCAGGCTGTGCTGGACCTCAGCCTCACCGCCGCCTCCTTCTGGTCGCTGGGGCAGCTGCCGGGTGCGGGCGAGCAGGTGCTGCACCCGGCGGTGCGGGGGGCGCTGGTGGCGCTCAACCTGCTCATGCTGGTGGGCTGGGCGGCGGGGAGCGTCAGGACGGCAGGTGTGGGGGGGGGGAGGGGGAGAAATTATAAATAAGTGCAACAACACAGTCCCGATCCCGAATCCCGAGGGGGGATGGGTGGGGGGCAGTGTGCATGGGGCGAGAGGTGAAGCGCATCGGAAAGAGAGGCGGATGGGGTGAGCTGGCGGTAGCACCTGTCCGGCCCCCCACCAGTAGGGTCACTCGAGCGGGGTCAGGTGGGTGTGGTATGGGTGCGCGAGGCTGCCTGCATGCGGGTGGTTTCGTACGGTTTGCGGCCGGTGTTCCCACCTCGTCCACCCCGTATGCCTGCTTACGCCCTTGCTACTTCACCCAAACGGGCTCCTGTTCGCCGGGCCTTCCTCCCCTACCTCCCCATATCCTTATTCCCCTCCCCCCTCCTGCCCACCGCCCCCCAGGTCGCGTGCTGCGGCTGTCCCAGGCCGCCCTGCACTTCAGCAATCAGGCGGAGCTGGTGCTGCTGGCACTGCAGGTACCCACTGCCCGGGGGGGGGGAGAGGAGGGGTTTGGGGAGGGGGGGAGCATGCAGGGAGGGCAGGGCTGCTGGCTGCATTCCGGAGGCATATCGTGGAGGAAGAAGGTCTGGGTTTGGAAGGTTGGACGGGTGTGGACACTTCAGGGAGGGAGGGATGGAGCAGTGTCGAACCACCAGCGCGATATGTTGCGTCTTTTCCGCTCACCCGCCCCCACCACCTCGCGTCTTAGCAGGGACCCTTATCCTGCGTCTTCCCTCCTTTCCTCCCTCCCGCTCCTTCCCCCCTCTCCCGCAGGCTGTCTCCGACGGTCACGGCCAGCTGGTGCTAGCCGCCGCCGGCTCCCCCGCCGCCGCCGCGCTGGCGGAGGCGGATGTGGACCGCATCCTGCTGGCGGCGGCGGCAGCCATGCGGCACGCCAAGCGGCAGGCGGCGGTGGAGGCGGGGGCGGCAGCCGGGGGAGGAGCTGTTGAGCTGGTGGAGGAGAGGCGGGAGGGGCAGCGGGGTCAGGGGCACCCTGGTGTTGGCGGTGGCGGCAGCGGCAGCGGCAGCCGGGGTCTTGCGGCGCTGAGCAGTCTGGAATCGTTCCTGGTGCTGCAGCAGGCGGCGGCGGGGGCGGGGACGGTGGGGAGGAGGGGGCCGGGAGGTGCGGGCACGGCAGGTGGTGTGGCAGGAGGGGGGGCAGCGGCCTCTGCCGACGCAGCTGGAGGTATCGCGAGTGGCAGTGGTGTCAAGCAGGGGTCGGGAGCAGGGGGTGGTGCAAGTGGGTTCGACCCGGTGGCGGAGCTGGGTATGACGGCGGAGGAGGCGGCGGCAGCCGCGGCCATGTTCGCAAGGTGGGGGTGTGGGGAGAGCGGATTGGGGCTCTGGCTGCGGCCCCGGGGAAAAGAGGGGTGATTGGTGTCAGTATTGATGACGGGTGGCGGGAGGCGCAATGGTAGGGCAGCTCTCTGGAGGTCGGTGCCAAGACGCGACAAGTGATGCGTTAACGCCATGAGCTCAAATCCTCCACCTCTCTCCTCCCTTCCCTCCTCCCGCTTCCTCCCCTCACGTACGACAGGTACGGCGATATGTCCCGGGGCAGCGGGCGCATCGGGGAGTACGAGTTCAGGAGGCTGCTGCAGGTGGGGGGAGAGGGGGGTGGGAGGGGCGAAGTTGTGTGCGAGCAGTCCTGATGCTATGGCCACCATATTTCAGGACGTGACACGTGTCTGTTGCATTGTGGGTGGTAGCGGGATGGTGGCAGGAACCCAGCTGTGGTGCCTCTCCATGTCAACCCTCGGGAGTACGGCGTCACGTGTACGGCACCACCACCTCTTGGCTACCTGGCTTCTTCCCTCCCCTCACGCCGCCAATACCCTTGAACCCATACCCGCCCCATGCATGCACCACCCATGTCCGGCCTCACCAAGCCACGAGGACGTATGTGTTGCAAAACTTCGCACGCGTGCCCCCAACGTCCCACACCCTCCGGCCCTATCAAACGGTTAGTTTCCTCTCCCCCCCCCCGGGCCCCCCAGGCTGCTGGCGCCCCTGCGCTGCCCCCCTGCGAGCTCACGCTGGCGCTGCTGCTGCACGACGGCGACAAGAAGGGCTGGCTGAGCTTCCGGGACTGGGTCACCTGGTGGGTGAAGGAGGGGGAGTGGAGCAGGGGGGGAGGGGAGGGGAGGCAGGAGGAGGAGGAAGGGGTAGAGGCGGGGAGTGATAAGGGAGGAAAGTAGGTGCCACGATGCTCGCTCTAGCTTGACCTGGGGACCACAGGGGTGAGGGGGAGGAGGGGTGCGGAAGTGGGAGGGTATTGACGACGGAACCCTTCGGGAGGGGAAGGGTAGAGGTAGCGGTAGACGATTGGGCTTGAAGAGTGTTCGACTGCAGCGGCAGCAGTTGTCGCTCCAAACGACGGATGGAGCGGGTGTGCACACCCCGGTGGCGAAACGTTGACCTTGCCTGGCTAAACTTGCTACTGGGATCGAGATGGGCGAACCGCTAGAACGCTTTGTGCCCTAGCCTGCATCAAGCAACCAGAAACAGGAACCTTAGGAGCGTGTTTCATGTGCGGGTGTTTTGTTGTACAACACTCATACGATGCACGGCTTTATCGTATGGAAACGTTACATGTGCCATTTGCTAGTAGCTCGTCGTTCCTTTTTGTTATTTTGTGGTTGTGGTAGGGTTCGTGGTCTTCGTACGGGAATGTGGTAAGCGTTGTCTGTCTAGTGTTTCTGTTGTTGCTGCTGTTGTCGTTGTACTATAGGAAGATGGGACGAGGAGCCGCTGGGACCACCACGCACGCGCTACGGTGTGACGAGGCTTTACGCGGATGTACGGTATGGCTGATGCATGAAGTTTGTTGACGTAATTGTACGGCTTTTGGTGTAATGTACGGAAGATTTGTGTCATCCCTGCGAGGTGTATCATAGTTCGCCGATGATGTTTGTATGGTATGGTCGCGTGCTTTCTTCGCAATCTGCTTCTGAAGTTTGCCGATTTGTTTGGACTTAATGGGCTTTTCGTTTACACTTCAGCCTCCTCGTTACCGGTACATCATCATGTTTGCAGCCTCATCATTACCTAGTCATATATTTGCAAAATGGTTGTGAAGAGTACCTGGCAAGCTTCGAAGATGGAGGTACGGCAGCTGAGTGTTTTTCTTATATGGTGGTGTACGCTGACCAACATGGTGTCTGGGTACGACACCCCCACTGCAAGCCCGTGACAGCGGCTGATGTTCACATGCAGGCATGCAAATGCAACCGCATGTGCACGAGCATATTCGTTACCATGTATCGGCCGGAGGCAAGCACTCACTTTCTGATTCTTTGCAGCGAGTTCGCACATGGGCCCTGTGCATGAGGCTGTATGTGGGGTGCTTTATGATGGTCGTCTGCCGATGAACGGCATGGCGGGAGATGGTGGCGGCAATTACCGGTATGGCAAGGAATTGACGTCAACTTGCGGCTTCCCTTCCTGCTGGCCTGACGCGTCCAGGAAACAAGTTGTTGGGGCCGCTGTTGCGTGGATCTTTGAGAGTCTTGGTGATGGAAATGATTCTGTCGGTTTGGTGGTTGGCTGGGGTGAGTACGAACGCCCCAGTGCGACCCGTGGGTCCTTAGTAGCCCCATAATCCGGCAAGGAGCTCAAGTCGTCGACATTCATGTTGCGAGGCTGCCTGCAATCCCGGAATGAGAGTTTCCGGTTTGGTGATGTGCGGTTGGCAGCGTCTGTAGTTGGTGTAAACTGGTTGCGCTGACGTTGGCGGCGCAGCCTGGTATCACTTTGCGGGGCAATAGGAGTTTGGCGATGCCAATTGGGACGCGCGCTGCGCTAATATGCGAGCGGTTACCTGCATCTTGGTTGCTTGACCGGTGTTACCGTCTAGGTTTCACCAAGATAGGCTTTTCCCTTGGTTGTCGTCCATTTTAGCGTTGCATAGAGCGTGCCTGTCAATTCTTTTGTTATGTTGCCATGCAATAATAGGTACGACCTGATTGACCAGGACTTTGCTGCAATTAGTATTTTTCCTGGAGCACCAGACTCCCATAGTATGGTGTAACGTCACCAGATGGGGCAAAGCTTGTTTAATTCGGAGGGTGTGTAGGGTGGAAGATGTCATGGGGCAAAGGATATATCAATTGGTAAATGGTAACCGGGCTGGAGGGGTAAAGGGGCTTTCTCCCCTTTAGGGCAGAATGCATGCGCTGGCTGCCGCTGGGCTACAAATCCTTCCAGCAGCCTATTCATCTAGCAGCGTATTACATCGAAGGGAGAAGCAGCCGAAGTCATAATTTGTGAAGCGGGCCCTTCACATTAGCCATCCTCACTACCCCACACACAATACCCGTACCCGGCTTCTCCTAAAGTGGCCCCTGTCCGAAGGCCGGCATCCACTTCACCTCATCAGCAGGTGGTGTACACAGCTACACCGCAGGCGGTGTGTGCCACCGCTTCTGCCAGGCCCCGCAACTGCTGGTGGGGTACTGGGGTTGTGTCGGACTGCTTGGCAGGGCTATCCCTATTATTAGCAACGCAGCTTGTTCCTGAACCATGCTCTGACCTAGCTTGCTCAGCTCTGCTCCTCCCTCGCCTGCCACCCCACCCTGGCGCTCACTGGCATGCAGGGTGCGGCGTAGGATACCTGGCTGAGGTGCGGGATCCGTCGTCATGATAGGATAACGTTCGTCGTCATGATAGGATAACGTTCGTCGTGATAGGATAACGGTTTGTGCAAGTGCATGTCCGTGTATGCATACATACTTCCATTTTAGACCGCCAAGTACCGAGCTCCCGCTATGCCAACAAGAATCAAAGGTGCTTTGGTTTCGAAGCTGGTTTCTCCTGTCCACGCTTTCGTGTCATTCGCGAGCTATGTGTCTAACCAGGCTATTTGTGCATCTGGATACGAAATAATATCTTATTTACGATTTACAAATTGAATTGTTAGCTGAGACGTTTCTATCCACTACAGCAATGGCCAGCCCCATGGTGCGGGGCGGCTTAGAGTGCAGCAGCAGCGGACGTGGAGTATTAAGGATAGTTGCGCCGCCAAGGTCACGTCGGGTATCTGCGCTTTCGTTCCCAATCGCGTCTTCGCCAGGCAGGAACTCGCTGCGACAGAGCCCTGCGCAGTATATAGGGTTCAATTGTCTTTACTGTAACTGCGTTTTGTTACTGCAGTCTTTCGCTCGGCGTCCATTCAACCCGCACCTAATGCCGATTATCTTCGTCAGCCGCCGCACGGTCGGAGGGCTGGAAAATTGAGACATCAACCGCTAAGGGTTGCGCAGTTGGATGCTGTTAGCATGCCAAAGTCAGCGGATGACTTCGAAGCGTAAGTTATATACTCCTTGTCTGCATTTGCTTCGAGACGTGGCTACGCCGTTTGGTAAAATGGGCCCCCCCTCCCTGCAGGTACGTCAATGCGCTTAACGAAGCTTGGGCAATTCCGGAGGTAATTGAGTTCGGCATCGGGCAGGGTGGCCTCCCGACCGTCCTGCTTACACACCCGCAAACGGGTATGAAGCTGGTAGTGTACCTGTACGGCGCCACCATAGCGCAATGGCTCAAAAGCGACGGCACTGCGACCTTCCACGACGGGCCTGAGGAGCTGTTTCAGATAGGCATGCCGCTCAGGTGGGTTCCTGGGAGGAGGGCGATTGGTTGCGTGGCATGGCTGATGGGATGGGTATGTAATCTGCATTCGCTCCAGGTGATGCGGGTTAACTAAACTGGCCTCGAGTCGGGATCGGCTGGTTCGCCATACATCCTTCTCCCTTTCTCCTCTTCCTCTTACCTTACTCCCTGCCACCTTCCCGTCCCACCTCCCTCAGGACCGGCGTGTCGCTGCACTTCCCGCAGCACCGCGAAGGAGTGCTGCCGCTGCACGGCTTCGCGGATAGCATGATGTGGGAGGTGGTGGGCGCGGTGAGTGAGCGAATGGTGCGGGGAGGCGGGGAGGGGCAGCAGCAATGCCGGAGGCCGCTCCAACCGGGTACGGCGCGCCTTGGAACCGCTAGGGCCTAGGAATGGCGGCAAGGGGGCGGCCGGAGACGGCGGTGCTAGGGGCGACATGGGTACGGTAATACGATAAAGGGACGGACTGTACGCCTGGTGCCTCCTAACCATATGGCCTGCAAGGAGCGGCTTGCGTGCTGCGTTTCGGCTGGGCTACCGGAGTCCTGCTGTTTGTTAGGGCAGGGCGGGAAGGTCTGGGGTGTGCTTAGCGCGACATTACTCAGCCCCGCACCATCCAACAACCTCCATACTGTGCTGATAGTCAAGGGACATGCACCCTGACGCGAACGTCCCTGTTAGCCCTCGCCCCAGCATGCATCCGCTGTTACCATGGCGCTACGGTGTCTTGGGTTTCCTGCTCTCCTGCATGACACACATGAACCCACCTCCCCGCAATCCCACCCACGACTTCACACCGCCGAACTCCCATCCTCGATACCTCATCTTCCCTTATCCCCGCACCACCCATGCCCCACTGCACCCTCATCACCACCTCCCCGCATGTCCTCCCACACAGGGTATTGAGAACTTCGAGATGCTGGCTCAGATGTCGGGCTGGTGGGAGTGGCTGCAGGAGAGCGGCGCACTGGACCCGCAGCTGCTGGAGGAGGCGGAGGAGAGCGAGGAAGCAGGTCGGAGGGGGAGGCGGAGGAGAGGGTCGTTGGACGGGGTATCATGGGACCGAGGAGGCAGGCAGGGCGGAGGGACCGCGGGAGGGCGTGGCTGTGGGTGGGCCTGGGAGAAGGAACGGGTAAGCAGGTAGGCCCTTGTACAGTCTGACCGCAGCTCGGTGCCAATGTTGGAGGGAAGGGGGTGGCTAGGAGGGCAAGGGTGGACTTTGCACCCTGGCATGCTTTGATCCCAAGTGACTGGGGAGTAGAAGAGGATGAGGGACATGGAAGGTGGTGTCTGAGAGGCGTTGCTCCCGGGTGTGTATCAGGGGCGGAGGGTTACGAGCCAGGGCGGCGCATCACAGTCGGCGGGAGGGAGGATTGGAAGGACGGAGGGAGGGAAGAGGAGCATGGGCAATTGGTCTGGCAGCAGCAGGGCCTGGGCTAGCGGACTGAGCACCTCTGTAGCGCTCTCTCGCGACCCGTGAGTCCCAGCTCGGATGTACTGGAGCGGGCGGGCGTGCACTGCTCTCCTCTTGAATTCTTCCTTCCCCACCTGACCGTCTCTCTTTTTGCCGTGCAGCTGAGAAGGTTCGTGCGCTGCTGGCCTCCCGGCCTGCCCCCGACAACCTGGTGGACTCGGACATGGCGCCCTGCATCACACTGCGGCTGCGGGACACTCCGGAGACACGCAAGATGTGGCCGCACAGCTTCGAGCTGGAGTACAAGGTGGGGGCTGGCTGGGGAGCGGCGGGGAGGAGGAGGGAACAGAGGAGGGGAGGAGAGGGAGTGGCTGGTGTTGGACCGAAGAGGGAGGGAGGGTAAGAAGAGCGGACGGAACAAGGTAGGGAGGGTAACGCGGCCTTTGTATCAGTGCATGTGTGCTTAGCTTACTGGTGTTTTTGAGGGAGGGGGGATCAGAACAGCGGTGTGCGGACTAGCGGGGGCATACTGCTGAGGCAAGCCTCAGGCGCCTAATCCCATTGTTGCTCCATATCGCTGCCGTACACCTCCTGCACCCCGCCGTCGTACCATCGTTAGCAATTTCCCAACCACCTCCCGGGTTCCGTCCCCGCTACCAGCTGCAAAGCTGTATGCCGCCACGAGCGGTATGACTGCGCAGTCTTGCACTAGGTGGTCTCATGGCCTCCCCTCCGCACACCCGTCTCTCATTCCTGCACGGTACTGCCCCCTACCCTGTGTAGGGCATCTCTTATGGTCTATCTGAACTCCCCGTCCCTCCCATCCCCTCTCCTGTCCACTCTGCTTCAAGAAGCACCTCTCATGCCCTGCCTTCCAACCGTTGTTCCCTCCGCGCGCTCTCCCGCGCCCTCCCGCTCCCACCCCCAGATCACTCTTGAGACGCAGGGCCAGCTTACCGAGGAGGAGTGGCGGGACATCCGGCGGAGTAGGGGAATGACCGATGAGCAGGAGGCGGCGGACGAGGCGGCGGACGAGGCGGAGGAGGAGAGGCTGATGGAGGCCCTGCTGGGGGAGGAGGATGAGGAGGGGGAGCAGGAGGGAGGGGAGGGCGAGGCGGAGGGGGAGGAGGAGACCTCGGCGTTCGCTGGCAGAAGGGAGAACGAGGGCGGAGATGGCGAGGAGGGGGCCGAGGAGCTCTCGCCGCCGGTGGGTGGGAATACGTGGGCGGGAGAGGGAGGAGGCGAGTGCTCACGCAATTGCCGTGTGTTTGGGGGGCAAGGAGGTTGGGCGCGGACAGCGTATTCGGACTGAGTCCCGGACCGGCTGCGATGTCATGTACGTTTGCACCGGAGTACTTGGTGCGCTGCCATCCTAGGAAGATGGAGTGCTCCCTTTGCCGGTTGCTCCTTCGCTTGCCAGGCGACGCCCCGCCCTCGAGGCTCCTTCACAACCCGCCTCCCAGCCCCCACACAGCTCAGCAGTGCTCCATACACCCGCCCTGCCTCCCCCAGTGGTGCAACCCTTACCCAGTGGTGCAACCCTTACCCCATGCTTGCATCCGCTGTCCCCACATGCCTTGTCACGCCCTGTATCGTCCTGTTGCCTACCAACTGCACCAGAACTACTTATGCACCAGAACTCCGACTGAAGTCCCAGTCTCTGGCCTACGCAATATTTCACGCACCTCTTGCTAACACCGCCGGCCCTTACCCCTGTTGCACCCTACCCTCCAGGAGGCGTCCCGCAAGAAGCGAGGCCGGCCACCCAAACAGGCGGCGGTCGCTGGCGAGGCGGCGGGCGCGCAGGGGGCCGAGGAGGGCGAGGTGGAGGAGGAGGGGGAAGAAGAGCGGGCTGGGCTGGCGGAGGACGAGGAGGAGGAGCAGGGGGAGGATGCGGGCGCGGTGGGGCCGGAGCCCTTCAAGCCCACCGTGCAGATACGCCAGGAGTTCTGGGTCCGGAATAAGGGTGAGTGGCGAATGGGGTTTAATTTGCCGCAAAGCATACAAATCGCTACTGAACACATCAGGTTAGGTGGTTGCAGAGGGGGAGGTTGGCGGTTGTGGGGATGGAGGGGAGGTGGCCACACTAGGGGACAAGCTCCTGGTGAGTAGAATTGAGGCAGCCGGGCCGAACGTGCGATGGTTGGACCGTTGGAAAACGTATTAATGGGCGAGAATGAGGGTTCGGTTGGAAGGCGGGCGCAGGTGCGAGTGCGCGCGAGTGGGCGTGTTGGTGTCTTGGAATGGCGGATTGGATGCGGGCTGAGGCGAAGGTGGGGGCGAAGACACGGAAGCAAGAAGTCCAGCATGTGGGGTGGTGCATTGTAAGCGCTGGTACGGGTGTGGCACTTTGAGTAAGGCTGCTAGAAGGTGCATGGTAGAGTTTTGGAGGAGGTTGAGGAGAGGAGAGTTGCCGCTGGTAGCCGTCCTAGCTGCTGGAATCCAACTGTCCTCTCCTTGTTCGAACCTCCCTCACACTGCCTCTGCATTAAAAAGCATGCTCTTACCTCTTTCCCACCCTTCCCAGTGGCGGTTGCATTACCCACCCTAATTTTCTGTTAGCTTCATCTCAACTCATTAGTTAACCTCTCCACCGCCTGCCTCCGCTCCCCCTGCAGACGAGCCCGGCTCCGCCCCCATGCGCTTCAGCCTGGGCTCGCTGGCTCGGTTCGTGACGCTGCAACAGCCCGACTGCGGGGACTGGATCAAGGTGTTGGGTCTGGGAGGAAGCCAGGTGAGGCAGCGGGGGGGCATGGGAGCCATGTCCTCGCCTGTCTCGCATGTTGCACCATCACAGCCCTGTGATGCGTTCACCCCCACCACCGCTAAGTGTCTTTCACCCGGATCCTTCCTTACCTTATCTCCCCTCCTCCCTCCCTCTCCCTCCCTCCCTTCCCCGCCGCCCCCCTGCCAGACGTTCGACTACACCGAGGACCCTCGCTACCCGCGACTGGACATGTGCGATGACGACTTCGTGCACTTCAGAGGTACGGCGGAGGGCAGGGCTTGGGTAGTGGTGGTGTAAAAGAGGAAAGGCTGTATGACGAGGCTTCACCATGCGTTAAGGGGCCGCAGGCCTCGACCGGGTTCGGGAAGGGGTGGTGGGTCTTTAGGCTTCTCAGTCTTGCAGTCGTCGTCCGTCTCCTTAGTCCTTACCTGCCAACCAGTCGCCCACAACCCAGTTTGTTGCCCGCCCATCCTGTCATACTCTCCCGGGTGTCAGCTCTTTCCGCCCCCTCTCGTTTTTATGTCCGCCTGCCTCCCCACCCCTGCCCTCCTTATCCTGTCCCCCCCGCAGGCGAGCCCATCGACGTGACCTACATTGGCGCCGCCGACGCCACGCTCTACCTGTGCCCCGGCAACCGCACACACTTTGAGTTCATCCAGCGGGCGGGCTTTAACGACATGTTTGTACAGCACCCAGGTTTGGATGCCGTACCCGAGTACGACAGAGTGGCGACGATAGGAACTGGCTACGTTGCCTCCACCAAGATGTAAGCATGTTTGGTCTGGAGGGAGGATGGCATTGCAGGACACGTGATTGTAGAAGTGGGGGGCAAGTAACCCAAACACCAGCAACACACTGAGTTACGGGTAGAAGTTTAACGAGAGGTTTGAATTCTGAGGGTTTGTTATCTGTATGAGGCGTGGATGAAGCGCGGGGAATATGAGGGCTGAAGGGGGGATACCGGTACATGCATGTGTGTTCGATGTGGCCCAGCTCGGTAGGGAAGAAGGGTTGGGTGGGTGAAAGGGGGCCGATGCGTATACATGCAACAGTCAGACATGTGTTTTCCGTCCTCCCTTCTCCCGCACCCCCCCCCCCCATACAGCCTGCCTGCTGGCGAGCAGTGGCACGCAGAGTCCATCATCCGCTTCCACGACCGCTACTTCCCGCCGCCGGTGTTCGGGGATGACTCCATGCCGCCGCTGCCGCCCATTCCTAAGGTGGGGCCGTAGGGGTCCTAGTGGGAGGAGGAGCGTTGGGTGGCTGTGAGCCAGTACAGAGCCGTCAGCGGCCTCTGTAGTAACGCATGCAGCATACAGGATGTGCAAGTAGTTGAAGTGACTGATATGGCAGTTGCGCTGCATGCACAGGCTTCTTGATGTACACGCAGTGGTCCCCTGCAGTGGACTTGCGACGATCTCGTAGTTGACGAAATCAGCCAGCTGCACTGTAGTAAATGGTTTCCGTGCGTCAAGCCTAAGAATATTGTATTTCTCAAACCCTCTCTATTCAATGACGACAATCATGGGAGCAGGCAGGATGGTGCGCCTAAGAACACTTCTCTTTCCCGACCCTGGCTCTCTTAACCCAACCTACCCTATGGTTCCGCAGGATTTGCTGACTGAGGAGGGGGGTGAGGGGGAGGACCTGTACGAAGGCATGACCGGGGAATCGACTGAGGAGGCGGGGCTGCCAGAGCAGGAGGAGTAGCATGAGAAGCAGCAGTGAAGGGAAAGAGAGATGGCTGGTTGAGGTGCCACAAGGCAGCAGTACTGAAGGAGAAACATGACGAGATGCCGGTGTTGGGTGCCCTACGGACACGGGCTTGAGGCAGGAATGTTCCCTTTAATGACACTGTTGTATGTTGTTCGGAAGGGCTCCAGCCGTGGGAGGGTGAATCTGAGCCTGTACTGCTGGCCGATGGGCTGCCATGGGCTTTTGTGCGTTATGGTTTGGGAGCCGGGGGGTGTGGGCTTTCTAACTTTTGGACCGAAGAGGTTGACTGCAGCACTACATACAAGGAGGCCTGGCGGGTTTTACATCGGGGTTTGGAGGACTGGAGGATGGGCTTGTACCTTGTGGTGCGTATATATATATTGAAAGTGCAAATAGCCATAGTGTGAATACGTTCTAAATCACACTCGCTTCGTCCCTCTATTACTCATATACTCCTTGCTTTTTATGCTTTTATGCCCGCTAGGTATGCTACCTAAGTAGAAAGCAACCGGAGTTGCAGCTTATGTTTTCCATCCCACAGTAGCCATCGGGCTACGGGGGTGCGGGGCTACGGGGCTGCAGGGCTACGGGGCCACGGGGCTACGGGGCTATGGGGCTACGGGACTGCAGGGCTACGGGGGTACGGGGGTACGGGGCTATGGGGCTACGGGGCTACCGGACGACGGGGCTACAGGGCAGCGGGTCTACGGGGCTACGGGGCCACGGTGCTACGGGGCGACGGGGCTACAAGGCAGCGGGGCTACGAGGCTATGGGGCTCCGGGGCTAGAGGGCCACGGGGCTACTGGGCTACAGGGCAACGGAGTTACGGGGCTACTGGGCTACGGCTCTCATGGCAAGAAAAGCCCCCGCCACACCTGGCACTGATAGCTCCCGTTTATCCCAGGTGCACGGCCCTGACTGCTCCCGCCCGGCCCTGACAGCCCCCGCCCGGCATGGAGGGCCCTCGCACGGCACGGGCAGCCCCCGCCCGGCATGGTGAGCCCTGACACGGCACGGGCAGCCCCCGCATGGCGAGGACAGCCCCCGCACGGGCACAAACAGCTTTCACACGGCACGGACAGCCCCGCACGGCACGAACATCTTTCACCCGGCCCCGACAGGCCATGCATGGCACGAAAAGCCTCCGCACGGCACAGACAGCCCCAGCACGGCACGAAAAGCACCCGCACGGCACGGACAGCCCCCGCACAGCACGGACAGCCCTCGCATGGCACGGACAGCCCTCGCATGGCATGGACAGCCTTCACACGGCCACGAACAGCTCCCGCACGGCACGGACAGCTCTCGCACGGCACGGACAGCTCCCACACGGCATGGACAGCCCCCGCACGGCACGGACAGCCCCCGCACGGCACGGACAGCCCCCGCACAGCACGGACAGCCCTCGCATGGCACGGACAGCCCTCGCATGGCATGGACAGCCTTCACACGGCCACGAACAGCTCCTGCACGGCACGGACAGCTCCCGCCCGGCCCCGACAGCCCCCGCCTGGCACGAAAAGCCCCAGCACGGCATGGACAGCCCCCGCACAGCACGGACAGCCCTCGCATGGCACGGACAGCCCTCGCATGGCATGGACAGCCTTCACACGGCCACGAACAGCTCCCGCACGGCACGGACAGCCCTTGCATGGCACAGACAGCTCCCGCACGTCATGGACACCGGCAAGGCACAGACAGCTCCCGCATGGCGAGGACAGCCCCCCCACGGGCACGAACAGCTCCCACCCGGCCCCGACAGCCCATGCATGGCATGAAAAGCCCCCGCACGGCACGGACAGCTCCCGCACGGCATGGACAGCCCCAGCACAGGACGGACAGCCCTCGCATGGCAAGAGAAGCCCCCGCACGGCACGGAAAGCCCCCCCACGGCACGGACAGCCCTCGCATGGCACGGACAGCCCGAGCATGGAATGGACAGCCCCCACACGGGCACGAACAGCTTTCACACGGCACGGATAGCCCCGCACGGCATGGACAGCCCCCGCACGGCACGGACAGCCCCCGCACGGCACGGACAGCCCCCGCACAGCATGGACAGCCCTCGCATGGCACGGACAGCCCTCGCATGGCATGGACAGCCTTCACACGGCCACGAACAGCTCCCGCACGGCACGGACAGCCCTTGAATGGAACGGACAGCTCCCGCACGGCATGGACACCGGCAAGGCACAGACAGCTCCCACATGGCGAGGACAGCCCCCCCACAGGCACAAACAGCTCCCACCCGGCCCCGACAGCCCATGCATGGCATGAAAAGCCCCCGCACGGCACAGACAGCCACCCCACGGCACGGACAGCCCTCGCATGGCACGGACAGCCCTCGCATGGCATGGACGCCCCCCACACGGGCACGAACAGCTTTCACACGGCACGGATAGCCCCGCACAGCATGGACAGCTCCCGCACGGCACGGACAGCCCCCACACGGGCACGAACAGCTTTCACACGGCACGGATAGCCCCCGCACGGCACGGACAGCCCCCGCACGGCACGGACAGCCCCCTCACAGCACGGACAGCCCTCGCATGGCACGAACAGCTCCCGCCCGGCCCCGACAGCCCCCGCCTGGCACGAAAAGCCCCAGCACGGCATGGACAGCCCCCACACGGCCACGAACAGCTCCAGCACGGCACGGACAGCCCTCGCATGGCACGGACAGCCCCCGCACGGCACGGGCAGCCCCCGCACAGCACGGGCAGCCCCCGCACGGCACGGAAAGCCCCCCCACGGCACGGACAGCCCTCGCATGGCACGGACAGCCCGAGCATGGAATGGCCAGCCCCCACACGGGCACGAACAGCTTTCACACGGCACGGATAGCCCTCGCACCGCACAGAAAGCCCCCGCACGGCATGGACAGCCCCAGCACAGCACGGACAGCCCTCGCATGGCAAGAAAAGCCCCCGCTACGCCCGGCACGGACAGCTCCCGTTTGGCCCCAGCTGCTCCTGCACGGCCCTGACCGCTCCCGCCCAGCCCTGACAGCCCCCGCACAGCACGGACAGCCCTCGCATGGCACGGACAGCCCTCGCATGGCATGGACAGCCTTCACACGGCCCACGAACAGCTCCCACACGGCACGGACAGCTCTCGCACGGCACGGACAGCTCCCGCACGGCATGGACAGCCCCCGCACGGCACGGACAGCCCCCGCACGGCACGGACAGCCCCCGCATGGCACGGACAGCCCTCGCATGGCACGGACAGCCCTCGCATGGCATGGACAGCCTTCACACGGCCACGAACAGCTCCCGCACGGCACTGACAGCCCTCGCATGGCACGGACAGCTCCCGCACGGCATAGACACCGGCAAGGCACAGACAGCTCCCGCATGGCGAGGACAGCCCCCGCACGGGCACAAACAGCTCCCACCCGGCCCCGACAGCCCATGCATGGCACGAAAAGCCCCCGCACGGCACGGACAGCCCCAGCACAGCACGGACAGCTCCCGCATGGCATGGACAGCCCCAGCACAGCACGGACAGCCCTCGCATGGCAAGAGAAGCCCCCGCACGGCACGGAAAGCCCCCCCACGGCACGGACAGCCCTCGCATGGCACGGACAGCCCGAGCATGGAATGGACAGCCCCCACACGGGCACGAACAGCTTTCACACGGCACGGATAGCCCCGCACGGCATGGACAGCTCCCGCACGGCACGGACAGCCCCCGCACGGCACGGACAGCCCCCGCACGGCACGGACAGCCCCCGCACAGCACGGACAGCCCTCTCATGGCACGGACAGCCCTCGCATGGCACGAACAGCTCCCGCCCGGCCCCGACAGCCCCCGCCTGGCACGAAAAGCCCCAGCACGGCATGGACAGCCCCCGCATCGCACGAACAGCTCCCGCACGACACAGACAGCCCCCCCGCATCACGGACAACCCCTGCACGGCACGGACAGCCCCCGCCTGGCACGGACAACCATCACATGGCACGGACAGCCCCCGCACTGCATGGACAGCCACCGCACGGGACGGAGGCCCCCCCACGGCATGGACAGCCCCCACACGGCACGGACAGCCCCAGCACAGCACGGACAGCTCCCGCACGGCATGGACAGCCCCAGCACAGCACGGACAGCCCTCGCATGGCAAGGGAAGCCCCCCCACGGCACGGACAGCCCTCGCATGGCACGGACAGCCCGAGCATGGAATGGACAGCCCCCACACGGGCACGAACAGCTTTCACACGGCACGGATAGCCCTCGCACCGCACAGAAAGCCCCCGCACGGCATGGACAGCCCCAGCACAGCACGGACAGCCCTCGCATGGCAAGAAAAGCCCCCGCTACGCCCGGCACGGACAGCTCCCGTTTGGCCCCAGCTGCTCCTGCACGGCCCTGACCGCTCCCGCCCAGCCCTGACAGCCCCCGCACAGCACGGACAGCCCTCGCATGGCACGGACAGCCCTCGCATGGCATGGACAGCCTTCACACGGCCCACGAACAGCTCCCACACGGCACGGACAGCTCTCGCACGGCACGGACAGCTCCCGCACGGCATGGACAGCCCCCGCACGGCACGGACAGCCCCCGCACGGCACGGACAGCCCTTGTACGGCACGGACAGCCCCCGCACAGCACGGACAGCCCTCGCATGGCACGGACAGCCCTCGCATGTCATGGACAGCCTTCACACGGCCACGAACAGCTCCCGCACGGCACTGACAGCCCTCGCATGGCACGGACAGCTCCCGCACAGCATGGACACCGGCAAGGCACAGACAGCTCCCGCATGGCGAGGACAGCCCCCGCACGGGCACAAATAGCTCCCACCCGGCCCCGACAGCCCATGCATGGCACGAAAAGCCCCCGCACGGCACGGACAGCCCCAGCACAGCACGGACAGCTCCCGCACGGCATGGACAGCCCCAGCACAGCACGGACAGCCCTCGCATGGCAAGAGAAGCCCCCGCACGGCATGGAAAGCCCCCCCACGCCACGGACAGCCCTCGCATGGCACGGACAGCCTGAGCATGGAATGGACAGCCCCCACACGGGCACGAACAGCTTTCACACGGCACGGATAGCCCCGCACGGCATGGACAGCTCCCGCACGGCACGGACAGCCCCCGCACGGCACGGACAGCCCCCGCACTGCATGGACAGCCCCCACATGGCACGGAGGCCCCCCCACGGCATGGACAGCCCCCCCACGGCCACGAACAGCTCCCGCACGGCACGGACAGCCCTCGCATGGCACGGACAACCCCCGCAAGGCACGGGCAGCCCCCGCACAGCACGGGCAGCCCCCGCACGACACGGACAGCCCACGCACGGCACGGACTGCCCTCGCATGGCACGGACAGCCCGAGCATGGCATGGACAGCCCCCACACGGGCACGAACAGCTTCCG